AGTATGCGGCGTGGGTTCGATTTGCCGGCCGACAGAAGCGTTTAGTCATAGCCCGTGCGAACAAGGCCTGGGGCAACGGATCATGACGCTCTTGGAAGTACTTCATGAGTGACAGAAACTTGACTCAGGGCTGGGAGCAGAAGTCGGGCGCCAGCCTCCGTATTTAAACTCAAGCTATAACTTCGGTTCTGATATAGACGAGATAAGATGTGCGGCCTGATTGGAGCAGATATCCGCTCTACACCGCTGCTCACCTTGGAAGGCAACCTGGTTGCCTTCTGGCGCTATTCTGGGCAAAGGATCGTGACAACATGCATGGAGATGACGGACCTCCTACATCCGCGTACGCTCGTCTATGAGGCAGAAGGCGTACCCTCGTCCTCCCGCAAAGCCAACCGATGGGTGTGTGGTGCAGGTATGGTCAATCGATCGTCCCGGAAGCTATACAAAGTCTACACTTCATGGCGTGTCAATTGTCAGCCCCGAATGCCTTCTTCAACAACTGTTGCGAAAGGCGGAGCCGGACAGGTGTCCTGAATGTAGGCAGCCGAACTTAAACGTGATAATCGAATACGACAGAAAGTTTCCAAGCTGCAGGAGACTTCCATACAACCGCCCACCCGGGCCGTGGGGTGCTGATGCAGTATCTTCCAATGTGATCAGTTGCACGAAGCCATCGCTTCTTTGGTCCTGCAGGACGAGAGCGCCTACCCACAGAACTCGGCATCCAGTCGCCAGCCAGGCTTTGCGCAAATGCCGTATGACTAGAATCACCTTGGGGGACTCATGTGTTCGTTTCTGCATGCAAGTGCGTTTGAGGTTACACAAACATCGGTTGCGAAGGGTCGTGTCTCTGGTGACGGCTTCGTTGACTGCAAGCGACTCGATGCTACGACGTCGAAGTCCTCGCGAATAGTTCACCCGGCGAGGTACTCGTTGCCGCGGCGTCCTATGGCGTTAGACACTATCTTCTGCAGCCGAATGCTTCGAGCTAGCATTAACAGATCGACCAGGCTTAGCTTGGCTAGGCAACATCTGCAACCCTCCCGCTCGTCAACTGCGAGATGATAAAGCCCTCTCATATGTGCCAGAAGCAGCATTCGGATGCTACTTGCGTGACGCGCTTACCTCGAAAAGGCCAGTCAAGTGAGCACCACCGTTGAGAAAGGCGTCGCAAGAACGATGCATTACCAACCATCTCGGGCCTGAACCGCCCTCGTACTGAAAGCTCTTGACGTGTTGTTGAAGTAGCCGCAGTAGCTCGGACGCCCTGCCTCGTATAGCTGGATCACAACCAGGTGCAGGAGTACATATCGCCTGATGACGAATATCGACCCCGTCAGCGTCGTGGTCTGCCCAACCAATCGGCCTTGCTCATCGGCAGGAGCTGAAGGCCGCCCGGATTACAAACACCGGGTATTTCTGAACACCCACAAAGAATTCTGTGGCGGTTGCCGGCATCTTGCCGCACGTTACTGCTCGTCGTTCGCTTCAGCCTGATCTGACTTCGGAGCTGGAGTTACCGCCGATTGAGTCAATTTCTGAGTTAGCTGTACCGATGGCGTGGCGTGCCTTTCGACGGACACCGCACCGGAAGCGGCGGAGATCGATCTGAACAACCCGCGGTTGACCCATTGGAAGCGGAGTTTGTTGAGGTCGCGTATGTATCAACTAGGCATCCGGGGTATCCTCTTTTTGGGGGCGGTTCGTAGGATGAGCTGGCTGTCAGCAGCTGATTCCCAAGCTCACAAGATATTTTTTGGGAAACATGTAGTCATATTGACGTTCTGTGTGATCGGAGAGGCGAAGGAATGTCAGAGTCAAATGGTTGCCTGCCGTTGCCTGCTTGCGAGCTGCAAGCGAACCCGAGCTACGAAGTGCGAGCCAATGGGAAGCTTCAGGGACTCGATGGGCTGAGCACGTTGGTGACGTCGCCGGATCCGGCGAGATGCTCCCTCGGATGTGCACCAAACTCTCTCCGCGAGCACAATGTCCTTCTGGAAAAGGATGATGACTTCAACCAGCCCGTGACCGACTCTACTCGAGTCCAAGACGAGATCAGATACCAAGACCATAGACCATACTCGTTTGGGATGCACCAGCAACGGAATTGCCACGGGATCTGGTGCATTAATCCCGTTGACCTTGTTGACCTCGAGATTGAGCATCTGCATAGCCTGAGTGATGCAACACTTTGCGTCAATAGATTGGTGGGTAAGACGGTCGACCAAAGGAACATCGGGAGCACCCAGGTATCACGCGAGGCCATATGATAGTGTGCAGAGCCTTCAGTGCGCTTGACTCTCTCTTCGTCAGAGGCAAACACACCTACGGTCGCCAGTCTCATGACATGAATGAGAAGGACGAGCTTCCTCAACGTGGATGACCGCGTGTCCTCGATGCGACCGAGAAGGATTCCACCGGACTGCCTGTTGCACGTCACGTTCCACTATGCCTGGCAGGAGTCAGATCATCCTGGTTTCAACTTACTATACCTGAGCACACCGTATTCGACGGTTCAACGTTGGACCCTAGTACTTCCTGGGATGGCGGCAGTCACAGCCTCTTCAGCTCTTGTTCTCTGGCGCAGACTTGGTTTGAGGTATGCCTGCTTGACACGCTGACACAGATTTAGCAACAGCAACCCACCGCTCAATACGTACTGAGCGTGGCTATGCAGGTATCTGATTTGTCGGTTCGTTTGCTCTTTCAGCCCTGATATTGGAGCCCTGGCTTTTCTCCCTAGCAGACCTTGAATACCCAGTACTGTGTGTGATTCTGGCCTCTTGACAGGCGGCCAATCGACCACCGTTGGAGGCCGCATGTGACTTGACCCGTATTTAAGCGCCTAGTCGAGGCAGTGTCCGATCTCCGTGGGACTCCCGTATGGGGGAGTATTCCAACTGTGTGGCGCCGGATACATTGTCGTTCAGGATTAATGTCAGGAGCGGCACGGCATAATGGTTCGCGGTGCATTCGGTCCCGCCTTGAACGGTCTCAGCCGGTGAGCCGCGCGGACTTGGAATTCTGTGCTTGGGCACGGAGGTTGGCACCTGCGGATAGATTGAGCACTGTAAACTGCTCGAGCCTGAAAGGCCGTTGCCTCCACGACTGACTATTACCAATAACGTAACACGACGTTGTCACAAGACACCTGTCACCCAGCGTTTGTACGAGATCGTGTGAGATCTTCGAGATATGTGCATACCCCGATGTCGACACAGGGTCCCTCAAGGTGATCGGGACGTGAAACACATGTTCATGTCGCAAGTCCGCCCGAGCGCGGCTGCCTCCCAGTGTTACCGAAGCCGGCCGTTTAGAAGACCGAGGCCGGTCACCGATCGAGCGCGTACGGGCAGCAAGGCGTGAAGTGACCAGAGGAAGGCTCCCAAGGGGCTGCCTCGACCGATGTTCGATTCTTGCTAGGCTGGGCGAGCGGTAGCTGATAGAAGAGACAGCCGGGGAGAGTGAAAGGAAAAGGAAGTCGGGCGTCGGGTTTCTCAGCCTGATAAGACGTGAAGTAGGTACAGAAGTTGGTACGGACCTGGCGATATTAGAACGCTGCGGATGCACGGCCCAATATATCAGAGAGCATTCACTCACGTCTGCCGTTGTCGCTGTTTGGAGGGTCACAGAGACTGTGGAGGAGCGCTTCGCTCGAATGAAGATCACATCAAGATACCTCGAGAAGATCCCTCTGCTGGCAAAAACAAAGTTCAGTCTCCCACTCAGTTGAACTTCATGAGGCGTCCTTTGGATGCGCAGTGCTGCTCTCGTCTTGGTGGCGGTGGGCCGCGGACCGGCAGAGCCGCATCTCACTACCTAGTACTGCCCCCCCTGGCAGGGGCCTTGATTGGCCATCTGCTTGGAAACCGGTGAATCCACTAATACGAGCTGTGCGAACTATGCGAACGACGAGAACCCTGCAAAAAAGGCAACCAACAAGCAGGGGCGCGCTGGCCAATCAGAAGGCGGTTCGCATGCCAGTCAGTATGTAAACCAGATCCTGCCCGCCAACGACACAGCTTTGGTGTGAAGTTCTTCGAACATTACATGCTCAAGCAGGACAGCATCAGACTCTCAACACTCAGACAGGGTGGTATACAGCAAGAGGATATTTTTGACGCCAGAACCAGAACCAGAACCGTCCGCGGAAGCACTCGCAATCTCGAGCCCTCATTCTCACCACCCTGTCTTGAGAATTTCCCTGACGGACTCGGTGAGTTGCACCTCCAGCACCAATACATGTCTGAGCAGAGAGCCAAAATCGCCAAAGTTCCCAAAGCCCGTCAGCGCCCAGAGTTGACAGAAATTCCGGTCTAGCACCCTCGCCATGGCTTCCCGATATCTAAGCGATTCGAAGAGACAGCACAGCCCCATCAATCGACCGCAGTCGAGCTCCCCCGGCACTGCTGCACGTGCTGGTGCTGGTGCTGGTGCTGGTGCTGGTGCTGGCGCTGGTGCCGGGTCGGCCCGAGCGAAGCAGGCTGCGGACTGCGTGCAACACCAGAGAGTCCACCGCTTTTCCCAAAGGTACCCACTGCCTGCGCGTCATCTCCTTTCCGCAGCAGCCTGTTCTAACACTTCTCGTGCCTAGAAGTGCAAGCTACAGCCAACGGCAGCCTGGGGACGGTGACTCACCCCCACGCCATCCGTCACCGCACATCAAGCAGGAGCCTGGCTCGCCGTATAACACAGCTGCAACGAGACCTTCAAAACGACCGGCCTTTGACGACGAGTTCCGGCCATCCAAGATTGGACCCGGCTCCGCGTCACCAGAGTACTCTTCCGGCCCTTACGAGAATCCTCTCGTGCTACCTCTGGATATCAAACGACCCCGGTCCCCTGTGTCTCCTCGGCTATCGTTGCAGCAGTTCTTTTCCTCGTCGCGTCAGAGTACGCAGTCCCCCTATGGGCAGGAGGTGGACCGGAAATTCTTTGATCCGGCGCCGGGTTCTCCCCTCCAGCCCGACCATGATGTGCAGTACGAGGACACGGGGATGCTCCTGCAGCCCGACACTAGACCCATCTCCCAGGAGCAGTTAGTGAATGAAGTCAAAGGCATCTACGCGGGGCTTGTGATGGTTGAGAAGAAATGCGTGGAGATATGCCAGCAGCAATCGCAAAGCACGGTGAAGTTGTCCAACGAGCAGTGGCAGGCACTGATAGCTCTACATCGCACCTTGCTTCACGAGCATCACGATTTTTTCCTCGCAAGCCAACACCCTACAGCGTCACCGGCCTTGCGTAGACTCCCCACTAAGTATGCCATGCCTGCACGCATGTGGAGACATGGCATTCATTCATTCTTGGAGTTGCTGCGCCATCGCCTCCCGCATTCTCTCGAGCACATGTTGAGCTTTGTTTACCTGGCTTACCAGATGATGGCTTTGCTGATGGAATCTGTCCCGGCCTTCCACGAGACTTGGATTGAGTGTCTAGGGGACCTCGCCCGCTATCGAATGGCCATCGAAGAAGCTGACATGCGCGATCGGGAGACGTGGGCAAATGTCGCGAGGATGTGGTACAACAGAGCTAGCGATCGCTCCCCCGACACGGGCCGCATCATGCATCACCTCGCAGTCCTGGCCCGTCCCAACATCGTCTGCCAGCTGTTCTACTACTCCAAGGCCCTGGTCAGTGTCAACCCGTTCCCCAATGCTCGCGACAGCATCATGCTTCTCTTCAATCCCCTGCTCGAGGCATATGGGTTGCCAAGCGAGAATCCCAAAAAGGAAGCCATCACGTCCAAGTACTCCAAGTTCGATTACTCTCTGGTCACCGCAGCGGGGACGCTGTTCACGAAGGGGCTCATCCACGATTACTGTGTCCACGTCTACCTGTTTGCCTCGGAGCTGGACAATCACATAGCCCGATCGGGATCTAAGTGGAAATTGCAGGGCACTGAGGTCGCTTCGGCCTCGATTTCATGGATCCTTGACTTCGGCTCCGACGAGAATTTCTTGTGGGGCGCTTTCCGGGCACACCACGACAAGCTGAGGGGGAGCCAGCCAGAACTGCTACCTGCCAATGTTGCCTCAAAGATCGATCACATCGCCAAGGAAGACTCGCATCGGAAATTCTGGATAAACAACGAAATCAGCGCCGCGGATTTCCGTCAAGCCACTCCATCTGCCGGCGATCAACCCGGCGTAAAGTTCACATCCTCGGACCAAGTCACCTCGTACGCTATCCCAGTCTGGGCTCACATCGTCGCCATAGTCGCCAGCAAAGTTGGTGACCGCAACATCCTGCCATTCTTACATGTTACGTTAGCATTCCTTTGGTCTCTTTCATACGTTCCTGGTGGCCTCATTTACCTCGAGAATGACATTCCATGGGCGAAGCTGGTCCTCTCTTTAAATACGTTGAGCAGGTCTGGGGTGGTGGACGCCCGCGTCGAATCCAGCGAGTTCCCTCAGCAGCAATCCGGCACTGGTCGGCAGTTGCCCGAAGATTTCCTCATCCGTGGTCTTGTGTGGGCACCGTTCTATTTCCCCTCGGATTTCTTCGAGGGACAAGTGGTCGACGAGGACGAACGCACTCTGGAACTACCTAGTCATGCGGCACCACGGGCTGAACGATGCATCTGGTTGGGAGCTCGACTGGCATCGGTATGTCTTGCTGTCTGTGCACACCTGTCGCCGCTGACTTTGTCCTAGTTGAACCGCTACATCACCTATAGTCTCACGACGAAGCAGTTCGGATGCACCAAATTTGCACTGTCGCTCCCGGGGCACTCCTCGATGAATACGTTTCACGTTCTGTCACCCGCACCTGAACGTGATGTTTCCATGACCGACGTCTGACCCTAAGGAACAGGCTGTGGTACAAGGACTTTTTCTCGTCAGCACCCGCCAGAAAGATGCTCAGTGCGGATTGGGGGGCACTTCACGGGTGCTGAAGAACAAAAAGCCCTGGTACCACAGCACGTCTCGTACCCATGACGGACTCTGCGTCGCAACCACTACGGACGACGGGAAGGCGCCCGGGAGCTATCGCAAAATGGACATGGACAAGGAAACATGACAATGGTCCTTGGATTGCATTCTACTCGATGTACTGCGGCAACAGGGGCAGGGAATCATGGTGAGGCAGACCTCCTCGCGGAATCGAGTTGGAGAGGCAGGCAGAGCACAAAGTAAGTCACTCACGGTGCTTGTCATCGTACCTATCCTTGAAGCTATCAGGCAAGACAACGAGAACACCCACTGTCTGGACTTTGGATCGCACAACGGCATCCCCCAGCGGCTTGTGTCAGCCCACCAGAACTTCGGCATCTCGGGTTCAACAGTACCGAACACCGGCTGGGACCGGGCCGATGCAATGACAAGGCTGGTTCCATGCCTGGTGAAGCCGAGTGGGTTGACGCATCTGCTGGAGTCCTGCATCCCACAGGCCGGGGGGGCTGTTCTGGTGTGTCCCAGTCCCTGGCTCAGAGGTAGTCGAGTGGATTCTTTTCCAGACATACATAATCCTTGTGTACGTATACGTGTACGTGTCCGTGTTAGCTTTCGACGTCCTCGGGGGTACGCCACGAAAAGCATCTGTCGTAACGAGCAATAGCAATGGAATGGTTGAAAAATTAGCTTAATGGCACCACCGAAAAACAATGGAGTAGATTCGTGAATGAGTGAGCGAGCGTGCGAGCTACTGTCGTGAGTGTTCAGACCACCAAAACTTCTCGCTTCCATTAGGCCAAAGCCTCGCGCCACGACCACCGGTGGTGTGAAGCGCAAGGTCCCATTATGAGGAGGACGGTGGAGGGAGGTACAGGAAGTTCGGGACGGCAGAAACAAGACGACGAACCGACATTGTCAAAATCACGACGTTAGGAGATATTCTGTATGTGTACGGCACCATACGGTATATGTTAGGTAGTACGTGGTCTTGCACGAACGTGCGTCCTGCGTTATTTCCTTCCCTTACAACCCAGTGCGCTGCTAGTATCCAACAAGTCAAGCACCGAGTTGCTGTTGGATTCAAGAGATGATACAAACATGGGAATGATCGTGGAATTCGCACTCGGTCTAATATCCAACCACCTATCCTGCCTATCAACCGACCATCCTTCTAATCGCCCTCGGCTGCTGCAGGCACCTACTTCGAAGGACGTAATGGAATTGTACTATGTACAGCTTTGGTTGAGGCAATGGTTTGAATGACAACGTCTGGGGACTCTTGTGCTGTCAACGACGCCATGAACTTGTCTAGGTCGAGTTCTGATTGCGACGCGGCATCTCTTTTTGGAATGCCGCAGCTTGCGGCGGTAGCAGGGAGACGGTCCTTCGTCGAATGCAGCTGGACAGCTCTGTCGATTGTGACTGAGCTTGAGTTCGAATCTGGTGCTGGAGTGGATGAAAAGCCAAGACGTGTCGGTCCCTCCAGCTGAGCACCGGACATTCTCTTCTCCAGGCTTACGTCGACGGACTCCTTGCTCCTGAGATAGGCACACAGCATTGGATCTTCAGGGACGGTGAGCAAAGTGAAATGGGTGAGCGGGACACGACGACGGCTGGACCACATTGCTCGTTAGCAAGACACGTACAATCGGATCAGTCGGTATCAGGACACGGAGACACACTCTTCTCTCCTGTCTGAAGTGATCATTGGATTCCTGATTCCGGAAGGCTTCCTTGACCTCCAGATCTGCTCAGACCTCCCGGAGTTCGCATTCTTGCTGGCCATGGTGTCTGATCTCAGCCAGGGAGGTGGTGTGTGACTTATCAGGGTCGAACGTCACAATAATAGATGAACCTAGATGAACCGGGCCCAAGCTTGATGAAACTTTGACGACCGAGATGAGTGTGATGGGATTGAAATTCTCAGTGCCGCCCAATCTGTGATATCATGGAAAGAAGAGAGGAGGGAGGGAGATCAAGGTCGAGGGGTCCGGGGGAGGAGCAATGCTCGCAATATCGGCCAGGCAGGCACTAGTATGGTTCGCGACCAATGATAAATGGCCATGCAAGCGCTAAGTTGATGACGACCAATGGGGAATAGCCGACCTTGCGCTAATTCTTCGACTCCGACGATGATTCGCCACAGTCTGATTCGGAGGAGGACTCGGAGCTGGTTCGCGTGCTGAGGAATTTCGTGCCTTCGGATCTTTCAGCACACTCATCTGGCACCGGTCGCTGTTGTTTGTGAGTCGCCATGAATTCGAGCAGCTTTGACTAGACTGGCTGGTAGAGGAGCCGGTGACTGGAGCTTGTAGCAGGGACTTCGTCTGAAGGGACTCCTGTGTGCGTGTGCCCAGTGCAGACCCTGGTGAGGACATGGAATCCTGCATCATCGAGGGTGTTGCCCAGATCCTGAATACAGCTATCATAGGTCTCGAATCAATGGGACCGTCCTAGACAAGCGCAAGAGTGACCGCTGATGGATTTGGACATCGGTGGTTCGCAAGCCGGGCCACCTCAATGCCCTGGATCATTTCCAGCACGGGAAGCCATCGCATTTGGCCTTGACCATGACCACATGCATGCAGAAGGAGGAAACTCATCCGAGCTGAATGATGGCCATCAATAGAAAGCAGGTGAGCCAGGTTGCAAAGCCAAATACTCTTGGGGACATATAGAAGCCAAGCACTCGACCATCGTTGGGGAGCACCGGGGTGGAAGCCGATAATCATTCAGCCTGGTGCTGTTAAGGATGATGCCAAAAATCCCGTTGTGTTGATCAAGTATTGTAGCCAATGTAGCGGGATGAAAGCCTCGAGAAGTTCGAGAGATAGTCGAGCGGTCAGACCATGCACCGCAGCCGCACTGCCGGACCTACACCCGCGCCTCAGCGGTTGCAAAAGTTCAGATATCCCGAGAGTGCAGGTGTTTGTCCCGACCGCATGCGACAAGCCGCTGCAGACTCCACCCAGGCCATCAGCAATGGCATAGGTCTCGTCCAGAGGAGGACGTCACCCGCGGTGGGTATCTCATGGAAGGGTATTTGAAAGTCCATGAAAGAGACAACACGCTGAACGACCACCAACAGCGCTCAAATGAACGAACTCTTAAGGAAGCATATCGCGGTGATCGGACCGTGCCTGAAGCGCATATCAGCCGAACAACGAGTGGAGTGCAAACCTATAATCGGCCAGGACCATAGACAGCTAGCTCGCCGCGGTATTCATTTGGACGTCCGAATCTCTCCTAACACTCAGAGTCCGAATTCAACTCTTTGACCACATAGCAGGCTCATGGATAAAATCTTCTGAGCGAGAGATAAGCCAGGAAAGTACGGGATTGAAGCACCAAGCAAGGGAGAATAGAAGCCCGTGTGATTCATCGACTATTCGGGGACAATCCCGCTTCGCTCTTTACTTAAGTTCAGCGGATCGGACATTTGACACAAGTATTGATGGTGGCGTGGCCATTTGCGAGACCTCAGAAGACCTCATTTCTGGGCGGCTTGTGAGTGTGCCGCCTCACGAATGGTATCGCAAGGTGCTTAGACACAGGAAGAGGTGGGAATAAGTGTGCATAGCGTCGTCGTGCCGCGATGCAGTGAAGCAGAGTTGAAGTGACACTGAAACAAGGTTCATAAGGGTCCTGGCACGTGATTGGTGAAGGCCTATGAGGCGGTGCAGGACTGTGGCTGATACATTCTAAGACTTGATTGGCCCGAGGCGGCAAGGGTCAGCCACAAGGACTTTTGCTCGTTCCGGGCAGCGCAGAAGCCCAGAAGCACGTTTACTATAGGCGAGGACTTAGTGCTGCCCTCGCGAAGTGGGCGTGCGCCACCAAGCGATACCTGAGAGATATATGGCTCACGGGTTCAGCTGTGAAAAGTTCTCGCCGCTCGTCTTTCGCCTCTCTCCTCCTTGACGACAGCTTTCTTCTACGGCGCACCATCTTGGAGCTGAACCGTGTCCAGCGCAAACTGTGTGCGCGCCACTGAGCTTGCCACAGCGGAAACATTGCACCTTGAACCGGACCAGCTCGCGAGCGGCTTCAGCTGCTTCCTGAACCGCCAAGCCCTTTTTGTGACAGCGACGGCAGGCCCGTTCTTGCTGTTCCTTGTCGATCACCCTGCCATTGCGCTGAACCAACGTTCTCAGTATCCCGAGCGAACAGGGAACACAAAAACACCAAGGACCAGTGTCGGTTGATCGACGACTGGTTGATTGGCCGTGGCGAGGCTCAGCCTCACACCGATCGCCACATTTGATAATGCTTTTCCTGGGTTCGATGTTTCACAGTGTTCGACGGTTCTTCTAGTGATTCAAAAGCTGATTCGAGTAACAATGACCGGAACAGTATGAGGTTGTTCCGAAACGTATTCGCTCGCCTCCGACGCTCTTAGGGTCACCGGCTATCGGCCAACCACTGGGAAACCTGCCGGCAAGCCCGCTATCAAATTTGCTGACGCGGACTTAGAACAAAGCCGATCCTTTCGCATTCCTGGCGATTACTGTGGTCTGTGTGTGTCTTGCTTGCCTTCCATCGCTTACGGCACAGCCACACAACCGAAACCATCATCTTTCCGTGGCGTGAAGATACGACCACACAGAGCAATATGCGGGGCTTTGAACTTGGGAACCCTTGATGAGATGCCTGTGAAGACGCATGATTCTGCCGGCAGGCTGTGGCGAATGACGTTTTGGGACTCGTCTTGAGTCCCGTCGCTGCGATCATGGTGGTCAACTGGTGCGACTGCGGGCCTATCATTATGCCAGGCAGGGATGGATATCGCGCGCTGTCAAGCAGCAACTTCCTTGCGACAGGTCGCTTCTGGCCGACAGTCCTCACATGGCCGTCTTGCCACTGTTTGCACGAATCGCACCATGGAATCCCCTGTTTCTTGCCCGGTTCTGCCCAGAAAGAACATCGTCTATCCTCCACTTGGGTGCACACCTAGACGGAAAACTGCCTCCATTGGGCATCGTCGCTGTCATCAAAAAAGGCGTCCACTAGGCAGAATGTGTACGACAGGTCGAGACGACGTTATCCACTCTACTGGAGCTGGCTCCTTCAGAACATTTGTCCTTTCGTATACTGGGTACTGGAAACCCATGGATGGCCTCGACTGGGGCCGTGGTTGCCTTTTCACACCCTATCCATTAGTCTAGTGCGATTCCATTCGGTGCATTTTATTCTCGACGTTGCCGAAGCTTTCTCGGGGTCGACGACTGCGGCCAGCATCCAAGAATATTCAATACGAGCCCGGGCTTTGTCAAGTGACCTTCATCCAAACGGGGCCTGAACCATGCTTGCGCCCTCCTGCGTTTCATTTCAGTTGCCTTCTGACTACATCATCACCAGTGGAGAGTGGTTTCCAGGTTGGAGACCAGTTGGCTGGTAGCCCGTGGGTACTAATCTCAATGGGACGACAGGCTAGCAACGATTTTCCGGGCGGCAAGGCTTCCCCGGAACGCGCACAGACTCTTTCAATCAAACCATCCCATTACCGGGTAGGCATCGAACTCCTTCGACCACTATCGTGGATTGCGAGGGGATCTGACACTTCTCTTCCAGGTGCTGCAAGGCGGCCACTTTGACGCATTCGCATTCAATGCTATGCACGGACGTCAAAGTTCTCACTCCCTAGTCTCATGCAAGTGGTGGCTGAGAGGACGCCTTTTCTCCCTGCAGCAGAAACAGTGATTCAGCCCGGACGGCACGAGAATGTGGCTTTCTCGACCAGCTTGCCTGTCGGGCGCAAGTGAGGTTGAGTCATTGTGATGCTTGACCATTTTCTACACTGGAGATAATATCGCTCAACATGCGCTGTCTTTCCAACGCACACCACCGCCTCGACTAGTTCCGCATGCCAAAGTTCTGGATGCCTCTTGCTCCACAGCCATCGGCGGTGATATTCGGACAAGGTGGACACGGATGGACCGCCCACACGAAGCTGCTCCTTGAATGGACAACCCTTGACCGGTGACGGCCCAAGGCGCTGAGATTCAGCCACTCAGCAAGCCCATGCACACCGAGCTGAATGTGCTGTTTCCAAAGCGACCTCTCCGTCAGTCCGGGCGTCCTTTCCTCGTAGTCTCGAGGCTTCGCCAAGGCGTCTCAAATCCAGAACGAACTTGGCACATTGCTGTGTCGGTTCACGTACGTCCCAGATGGGTCCGAGGTTGCCTACCTACACTTGGCGATTTCGAGACGGCAGGCAGAATATGACATGGCAGTTGTTACTCGTCCTGCAGGACCACGGCTTCAGATCGGTTTCCGAGTGGAGTCCACCGTAGCGCTCCTGCAAGACGGCATGACCGGGCTTGGATGTGAGCCTGTCTCCCCTTGGCGGAGCTGAACTCGGGATCGCCTGATGGGATCCTGGCAAGAGCCACACAACAGCCTTTGTCATTGTTTACTCCCCTTTGCAAGCACAAGGTGCAGGAGGCAGCACTCTCATCGGCGACGACCGCGTGTGGGAGGGTTGTGTTCGAACATTTGCCTATGCCCATCGCTCACAGCCCAACAACTTTAGCTCAAAAGTAAATGCCGTCAAATGGTCCCGGTCGCCGTGGAGCCACAAAAGCAAGTAAAGACTCTCCCTGGTCTGATCCCTGACGCTGCAACAGGAACCGGAGTCGAATCTCAACTTCGACTTGTGCGACGAGACTCTCTTTCACTTTCCAGTTCCAGGACCAGCACGTGCAGTCACTATACCTCTGGTCTCATTCCCCTTCCCTGACATTTGCTTCGAAGACACTTGCTCGTGATCCCGTGCTTTATCCGTCCGCTGTCACCTGTCACCTGTTTCCGTTCACGATCTCATGGCTGACTCGTGAGCGTCAACTGAAGACCACCGCGACCACGAGGAACAAGCACCGATAGTGTCTATGGTCGTCCCATGCAGACCACCAGACAGTTTCATGTTTGGCAATCCTTCATCTAGCCACTCAGCGAGGTATCCTTGTCTTTGGCAATAACCTACACGGGACGTGTGTATACTGTAGGTCTCCTCGTCAGGAGCATATACAAAGGATCTCACAGCAATTGGACATACAAAGGGAAGGATGAAACGGTACATCATGCCTCGGAGCAACTGATTCAATCCACATCAGCAGATCCAGGCGGAAATGCTCTGAGCCACGACTATTGTAGCGTTTGCATAGAAGTGCACGTCGCTCGGCCCTGTGAAGGGAATGTTTCGTGGAAGGGCCAGCGAGCAGGGAAATAGGCAAACTGAAACGTGTACGGCCTCAGGTCAGACGATGGTCAAAAGTCTCTCACAGTCATGAGTAGACAAGAAAATCAGGCCAGGGACTATGCACATAGGTACTTATTGTGGTATGAATGAGTGCACGGTCAACCTAGAGGTATCAAGACGAGTATGCGCTTCGGAGAGGGGCACCTCGTTCATCCCTCGGAACGCGTTCCTTGTCATTCATTCATGCGAGCAATGAGTAGATTGTATCCATCACACGGCTTCTGTCTGAGGAGTGTATGGGTAGGAACAGGACAGGTTGGATCAGACACTTGTCTTGCGTTCTGTGTCCCGTAGTTCCTTTCACATTCCCGCCCTCGTTCCTCTGTCACGGCGAGGCTTTATTGATATATTTTGCCCGGAAGAGGTAAACCGTCTACCTGCTGGACGACCTTTTCCCGGTAACAAGATGGTACAGTTCCCCTCTCCGTCATTGTTTAGACCTTATTGCTCTTTCTTCTGGCCGGAAGCTTGTTTATCAGCGGTAGCTCGAGGCCAGAATGCCGGCGCCAATTTCATCAACACCCACAGGAAGCCGAACGTGATGGAGACGACCGTCAGCATCTGGATCGACCACGAGCTGGTGGCTTCGAGGTTCAAGACCGGGATGGAGATACGTTCCACCAGCCTGCCGGAGGAGGCTCCGTCGGGCGCAGGGTCCAAGTGATAGAACATTGTTCTAGGCCCGAACAGCCCGTCGAAGCCAAGCTGAGTCCTGTCGAAGGGGTTGACGGGGAACTTGGTCCCATCCTCGGCGGTGCATGCCCAAAATACGATAGGCCAAGGCACATCCACTTCCGAGGTGCCATTGTCATTCGGGGCCAGATACCGCAGATGCAATGGAATGGTGACGTCCCAGCTTCCGCGGCTCGACTTTGTCCCGCCGAGAGTATTGTTGGGTGTCTGGATGCTTAACAACATGGTTGAGCCCCATTTCTGGACCGCGTAATCTGGGGCCTCGAGGTCCGTTTCGCCGGCAATGGAATGGAGCTGGCCAAGGTGGTGCGAGTTCTGGAAAAGAGGATCGTTGCTGAGGAAGGCGTACTTGTCGGCAAAGATGTGGGACGGGAGCGTCAGGTACGTCTGTAACGCGCAGACACTGTCAGCAGGCTTATTGATGGGCTCAACCAGTGATGAGGCCGACGGGAAGGAGATCCGCAGCGTCGGGTGCAGCCCTGTAGGTCGATCGAATGAGACGGTGTACTTCTGAGCCCGCGCCTGGTCCTGGTTCAGAGAGTGATGACGGGAAGGAAAGCTGAACAGCGTGGCCTTTGGATGATCATCTTCTCCCACCACGGTGAGAAAGCCCGAGAGTTGCAGGTCTGACGGTTCACTGGCTTTACCCGCGCTCAGGATGCCCACCTCCACCCTATCGTCCCCTTTGGCCTGCACATCGAGGTTCCAGGCATCAAAAGTCGTGAAGTCGCCGATTGGATCGTAAAACACCGGAGGCTGTTTGGACCAGAAGACGGTGAAGGTCAGGGCGTGGGAGATGCTGTCGTAGTCCGCGTCCACTGAGTCAGCGATGTTGAGGAGGGATACTGTGTGCAGACATTGGAGATCGTCTGGGGCGCAGCTGGTCCGGTAAATGTACGCCACCAAATACTTCAGAGAAGGTAGGGAGGAATAGTACTGGAGAGATGAGGTCTGAGCGAAGCGTTCTGACACTAAAGGCGGGCTGATGAACGTGGCGTTGGGCGAGTAACATCTCAGTTGCTTTCCGAATAGTCTGTGAAGAAGGTCGCAAAGTCGATCGGACTGAGTCTCGTTCAAGGGGGTGTACTGGACGTGTAACCCTGGAGAAATCCGCGACAAGAACGGTGCGGTGGTGTTGTACGTCCGCTCAGGTGCCCATCGAATGTGAAGCTCGTGACATTGTCGTAGATGATCCGCCAATTCTGCTGGTAATTCCTCCAATCCGAAAGTCAGGCGTTCTTCTCGAGCTGCCTTCAAGCCGCCAAGCAGCAGCTGTGTCGGGCGAACTTGGATGTCTGCTGGATCGACAGCTCGACTGGGATGAGTGACATAGGTTGATCTTCTGCGCATCGTGATGAAGCAAGCTGGCAAACTCGGGGAGGATCAGTTGTAGTGGGAGAGACACCGACGCGATGGATCAATGAACAGCACGTGAATTAGAGTTTAAGGTTTATCGATAGCCGAATGAAGCTTAACTTAATTCAGCTTAGCTCACTTCTGCTTGACCCCGAGTCCAAGTTATTCACATTTCAAGGACAGCTATACAGGACAGCACGTCCTTGCTAAATGCACCCTATGGAGAAACTAAACTCCGTATCCTTTGGAGTATCGTTATAACCTCGAAGTAGTCTCTCTTCCACAGTTCTACCTGGCCTGACTCGCATCTCGACATGGCACCCAACGTGTCCTCTTGCCGCGTCCAGCTATCATACCCCCTCTATGCCGCAGATTTTGACCCTTTCAATCCAGACTTCCTACTCGTAGGCGGGGGAGGCGGCTCATCCGCGACAGGTGTGCCAAACAAGATTTCACTAATCGACGCCTCGCGACGGGATCAGCTGAAAGAGGTGGTCGACATCGAATTGGCAAAAGATGAGGATTCGGTCACCAGCCTCGCCGTTGCGGACTCGTCGCCAGAACACTTGACTGCGTTTGCTGGCATCAACAGTTCGGTCGCAGACCATAAAGCAGGAAAGAACGAACATTTACGGTCATTCAGGATTGGTCTACCCGCAAGGAAGAGAAAAGCCGATGGGAGTGCGGTGGAGGGCGGCGCCGAGAAGCCGCTGGCCTCAGTACAAGTGACACAATCTCTGGGGCGGGCTGCATTGTTTGGATCTAAGGTGGACACCAAGAACGAGACGTATCAAAGAGTTCTACGGTTTTCGCCGACTCAAAAATCTGGAGAACCTCGGCTTGCAGCTATCGCTTCCGGACTGGGTCTGACAAACGAGATCGTTGTTTTCCATCCGAGACCACAGCCAAGGCAGGATGATGTGGTCTCGCGCGTAGAGCTTGACACCAAGGAAGCCGAGGACGTCGACCTGGCGCCAAATGAAGGCGAGAAAGGTGGCTATGTGCTTGCATACTGCACCAACGACGAAGTCTTCATGCAGCAACTTCCAATAACATCCACCCCTGAAGCCCCAACATCTCTCTTCCGGGCTGCTGAGATCTCCACAAATCTTCCGCCTTCGCAGAGGCCCAAGTTTCGCGCCATTCGCTTCCTTACGCCTCGCCTGCTCCTTCTCCTCCGCAACCGACCTCAGAGATCTGGGGCCGATCTTTTGGTTCTGCGAGTCAGCAAGGATTGTTCACAAGCACGCATAGTCCTGCGCAAACAAGCCAACAAATCCCTCAAGGCGGCCGTTGGGCTTGATGTTGCACCACTCAGCGAAGTCGCGGGAGAGAGGCAATTTGTGATAGCAGTGGGTGGGATCCCGGGAGAGAACAGCGCCGTCGAGGTTTTGACCCTCGACTATTCCCGAGATGCGGGCCTTGGGACATTTCGCTCTTTCACATATCTCAAAGACGTCCACAACGGACCCCTTACTGGCCTGGTCTTCTCCAACTTTATCGGGCCCAAACTACCTGTGACTGGAGATGTCGGACCTCAGTCTCTAAGGCTTGCTTCTGTGGGTGTTGACAAGTCTGTCATAGTCCACTACATTCCATTGCGACCGTTTCCGTCGCCCGACATCAAGAGCCCTAGATACGTCCTCATCCCGCCTGGTCGGTCGGAGGTCGTGCAGACCACGTTCAGTGTCTTCTTCGCCATTGTTGTCATTGGCTTTGCGGCTTTCCTCATGCAGGTCTTCTGCGAGATCCGTGGCGTCGTTCCGCCGGTCCTTGGAGCGCCAGATTGGTTCTCGCCTCGTCTGCGGGAACTTATTGGCCAGCCCTATTTGCTCGCCAACCAGGCGAGCTCTGCCGCCTCAGACATTCCGGTCGCCGCGCACAGCGCAGTCGACGAGTTCAAGAAGTCAGCAGACGACATCTCTGCTACCCTTTCTTCCGCGGTTGCAGCTGCGACCGAAGGTCTGAAGAATCTGGTCGAGCAGAACTCCAACCTTGAGACCCCGAAAGCAATAATTGTGCGGGAGGAATCTCTCGGGGAAATCTCGACCGAGGTCATTCACTCGGACGCCGAGGTCGTCAAGCAGGAGACGTTGAGGAAATGGGACGAACTTAGCGAGTCGCAGAAGAAGTCGTGGAAGCGAAAGCTGATCGATGCCGGTCACTGGGCGGAGCAACAAGGCGAGAACGTATTGAAGGGGATCCTGTTCTCCGAGCTCGCGGGCGCTGTGGGAAATATGGTCGGAGGAGGTTAGATTGCACGATACCAGCAAGGGCGCAAGGCATTGATATTTGCGGGCAGTGCTGCGCCCGACTAATTAGGCAGTCATTCATCCTCTGGGGCGAGTAAGCATGTATTGTGCGCATGGCACAGCCGTCCATTCTTCCGGCGGCCTGTCCTTTTTATCTAAGGTAATGTGAAACGATAACCTGCCGCCGTTTCAGCACATCTCCATGTCTTGTACATCTACAAAGTACTCATGAAAGTCATGATCTCTATTCTCGTGTTCGTGTTGTCGTCCTCGTCGTACTAAAATGCCCGGCCGAGCAATCAAATCACATGCATGCTATGCCGAACGTCCTCTACCCTTCTCCCTCTCTTGCTGAATGCTGGGTCATCGGGTGCCATGCGGCTACTCGCCGTTCTCTTCGTCGTCAATACGTCTCATCGGCACTCACGCCGTATGTGCCGCCACTGGCGTACCACGCGGCCATGATCAGATCACACAGATCCTTGGCCTCGACGTCCTTTAGCGGCAAATGATGGCCGCCCTCAAAATCCATCTGAAAGCAATGGTCGCTCTCGCACACCTTCATCAACTCGACACACCCGGGCTTGACGTGGTCGTCGCGGCCCCACGCATGCACCGTCGGCACGGATTTCAGCAAGGCATAGTCGGCCGGGTCGACGTCCTGCGCGAGGCTGATGGGCGGGAACGGCCCGCCGATCATGACGCCAAAGCCGAACTTCCACCGGGACACGCCGCCGGCGTGGTCGCGCTCCTCGATCTTCTGCCGCAGCAGCAGTCCGGCGACGAGACGCGCGCCCTGGCTGAACCCGATGACGCCCTTGAACGAGTCGACGCCGCCGTGCTGCTCCATCAGGGCCGTGAGCTGCGCGTCCAGCCGCGCGACCTCGTCCGCGGGCGTGGGCTCGACGTCGGACTCGCCCGCGCGGAATTTGCGCGACACCCACCGGTAAAAGGGCTCGCACGAGGCGAAGACGGGGAGCATGCCGAACCCCGGCGCGCCCTCGATCGGGGCCTGCGCGAACACGAAGCGGAACTGTTTCTCCAGCGTCCAGAGCAGGCGGCGCGCTTGGATCTTGAACACCGTCGCGTTGGACCCGCCGCCGTGGAGCATCAGGATGGCCGGGAGCGGCGTGCCCGTGTGGCTGTGCGTCGGGCGCGTCGTCATTGTGGCGGATTAGCCGCTAAAACAACAATCTCCTGACTGAAGATGAAGACGCTCACTGTATCGCAGGGATTCGAAGAGAGGGAGTGGTGACGAGCGAGGTGATCTTTTTCCCGTGTCTGATCCTATTCCGGGATTTGAATGTCGCGCTCGAACCGGCCTTGGCACGTTATCCTTGTAATGCGAAATGATCGTTCCGGATAATTCGATCTATTGACCCGCGGGATCTTATGCTGTCATACTAAAGTACGCAGCACTTGTGTAGTGCGTCAGATTGCGATTGAGAAGGATGCCGAGCTGAAGACGAAGCCAAGACTCGCAAGGCTGAGATCCGGCGACCGGCGAGGCTGAACTCACGTCTGTATGCTGTCTTTCTAATTATCTTTAATGCTGAGAACAAGCAGTTTAGGGAGTGAATACTAAATATCTCTCGATACAACTCTGTCAACACGTATGTATACAGCCACTGCTGCGTTCCTACGGTGGCCCCAGAAATGCTTCACATCAAGAACGTCCCACTGTTGGAGTGTACGACTATCCCCGTCGCATTGGCATCCTTCAGGCAATAGAGGTACGCCTCGGCAAGATCTTCGGGCTGTCCGACCTTGCCAGTTGGGATCTTGCTCTCGTGGCTGGCGAAGAAGGCCTTTTTCCCTTCCTCACCCATGCCCTGCCACAGATCCGTCTCGATAACACCCGGAGCAACGCAGTTCACCCGGATCGGTGCAAGGTCGAACGCCAGCTGCCTTGCTAGACCGTTCAAGCCAGCACCAATGAGTGCCAGCATGGACCATCCTCCTGCGATTGGTTTCTCCGAGATCGAGCCGCCGGTCAAGACAATTGAGGAGTGTCGGTCCTTCTTCATGTACTTTGTCCCGATTTTGACAACCAGGATGGCGGCAATGGTTCTGACTTGGTTGCACTTCTGCCACTTCTCGAGCGTGACGCCCTCCAGCGGGATCATGGGCAATCGGTCGCCAGCCATGTAGACAATGTGGTCAATCTCGCCGACCTTCGTGAAGAGTTCTTCGATATTGGCTTCGACGGTCGGGCTGGCCAGGTCGCAGGCATGTCCCGAGACTTGATCTCTAGCTTCTGGATAGGTGCTGATGAGCTGGGTACAGACTTCTCGGACTTTGGCTTCTCGGGAGGAGGAGAGGATGATCGACGCGCCAAATTCGATGAGAGCTTGGGCGACGCTCATGCCAACACCACCGGTGCCTCCCACCAGAAGGACACGTTTGCCGGCGAGCTTGTTTGAGAATCGTGGAGATGACATGTTTCGTGAACGTCGTGTGGGTTGGTGTGAGTTGTTCTGAAGTATCCCTTACTGATGTGTTTGACATTCGACGAGAAGCTCCTGCCTTTATCGTCGTCGACCTCCATCTTGCAACGCCTTCTAACTCCGCAACCTCCATCATGCCCTGGACATGTCGCCATTAAGTCCATGGCAGCGACGACCCGGGTGGAGCTGCGATGTTCAGCCCGGGCCCTACAATGATGGCCAGATGGGCATCTGTATGGATACAAACGCCACAATCACCCGCCAAGAATGCGACACGAGATATTGGGCCAGTGGGCAAGTTCCTCAATGGGTAATTGCGGTGCGCAAAGCGACGTCATTTGTCAACCCCGGTGGAACCCCCCTGCTCCTCGGACTTTGTCGTTAACGCAGGTCATCGTGTGGCAGCTGCAATACCTCGTACAACCGTATCTACTCGACAAAGGTCAACAGGGCAACACCTGGATTGGCCATGTCCGACACTGGTGCCTCTCGATTGTCAGTCCGACTGGTCACTGCTCGACCGAAGCAATGCTCCAGTTGAGTAAGAGAGCGGGCGATATCACCATATATGTTGAACAAGAATCCTTGGCCGCGAAGACCATTCAGTAGCCCAACTTCGAGCTGCACTCTATCCTCTATTATGATTTTGAGGCGTCACGTCGGTCGTCTATCGATTGGCAAGGACCATCTGGACACCTCGATTACTCAACCCACGTGTGCTAAGCAGGGTTTATGACAGCCTTGCGGGCCATCCCATTGCACTTTATCCTCCATGCCCATATGCATCTTTTCAAAACCTGTCGCCGAGAATCGTAGTCGATGCCTCCGAGGCCTTTCGAAGACCTCCCGCCCCAGGTCGCACGAGCACATGTATTCGCTCCCATGCAGCTGATAAATCTGTCTGTTGCAGGTCTGCTAATCAAGGACTGCACATGACAAATGTTCCAGCCTCTTGGGATAACCGTGTATATAATTTCCTGAGTCCACATTGTGACTGTTAAATATGGATGCTGGACCGCTTTGCTGCGAACAGCAGATTCTTTCCTCCACGCAAAGATCGTAGCACGTTGAGCCCAGCTCGCCATTTAGTCTCCAAGCAGCAATGTCGAACGGACCCCTTGTCTTCGTCACGGGAGCTACAGGCCATGTCGGCTTCGCAATCCTCGTGCTCCTCCTCAAAAAGGGTTATCGAGTCCGTGTGTCCAGCCGCAACCTCACAACTGCACAAAAGCTCAAGGACCTGCCCTCTGTTGAACCGTACGCGGACCAGGTTTCGTTCGTGGAGATCCCGGACGTGTTCGCGGATGATGCCTATGACGATGCGATGAAAGACGTCGACTATGTCGTGCACGTCGCCTCGCCCCTGCCCGACGATTCCCAGACCGGTACGGACTTTGACGTCGAGCAAACGTACATCGCGCCAGCCATCCAAGGCAACCTCGGCTTGCTCAGGGCCGCTCAGAAGTCCCCGACCGTCAAGCGCGTGGTCATCACCTCGTCCGTAGCCATCCTCGCCAAGAAGGAAGGTCGCGACACCGTCGGCCCAGACGACCTCGCTCCCGTGCCCGAGGTCAAGGACATCCCAAAGCACCCCTTGGCAGCGTACGCGGCGTCCAAGCTGCTCGCCAACGCCACAGCAGAGGATTTCGTCAAGACCAACAAGTTGCACTTTGACGTCGTGCACATCCTGCCCGGCTACGTCCAGGGCCGCAACGAACCCGTCACCTCGTCTCGTCAACTGGTCGAACGACCTTCTTCCAACCAGACCATGATCAAATTTCTCCTCGGCCACAAAGACGACCAGCCCCGGGCAAATGATTTCGTCCTGCTCGACGACGTCGCGGCAGTGCACGTCGCGGCGGTGGAGGCCCCGGACATCAAGACCGGCGAGCGGTTCATTGCCGCCTACCCCCGGCCTGTGTCCTGGGTGGATGTGGAAAAGGTGGTGAAGAAACTGTTTCCCCGCGAGGTCGAAAGTGGGATCTTGCCCTTGGGTGGCGAGTGCCCGGACTGGGGGTTGCACTTTGATTCGAGCAAGACGACGGAGAGGTTGGGCGTGCAGTTTCACGGCATCGAGGACATGGTGAAGAGCTTGGTGGGGCAGTATGTTGAGTTGGTCGAGAAAGAGACGAGGCAGAGCACAACGGCAGCTTGAAGACGTTACCACCACCGCCGCCGCCGGCCCCCGGCCCGCCTTGTTGCCTAGTCGAGTCGAGTCGAGAGAGTTGGGCAGACTTATGATTGAGGGAGGTAAAATTGTGCAGAGAGAGCATACCATGGATGGGTGTGTCCAGAGAGGGAGAAATGCAGAAACTTGTACTTACGAGAAGGAATGCAGGACCTTGTCCTCACGGGGAAGAAATGAAGAAATTGGTCCTCACTGTATGTAGTCATACCAGTACACATTGTGCGTCCAACTATACCATGTACCGTGAGTAGGGACCTCTGTATGAGTCCATCGGCTCATTTTCCAAGGTCATCATGCGTGTGCGTCGTTCACTACTGTAGTCCACTCCGCATGACCCAGAAGATGGCTTCAAAGATGGTCGTCGTGCGAGCTGCACGGATCCTCAAGAGGCAGACAGTCAGTCAGACCTGCTACCCTTACATCCCGACCCGACTCGGTTCGACTCGACTCGACTCGAGGCTGTCGTGCACACGATCCCGGCTGATCCCAGATATGCTGTGTTACCGCTCACATATGGCCCAACATACACACACGACACAGATCAGGCAGTCAATCGTTCGTCCACAATACGTGCGGGATGCCATGCGACGATGTGTCTGTCCGCAAGAGGAAGCCCCGGAATTTTTCCCGCGTGGATGTCGGTCGATGATGAGCGACGCCATCGAGTGACCAGTGTGGACTTTTTGTCATTGTCATTATCATCATCTCGCTTCGGTCACGAGATATCCGCCCTGAAGACCAAGCTGACGCCGTCATCTCCGGCTGTGACGATTCTGTGTCCGCCACCCCGCTGCACGAAGCCCAATACACCGCCACCCTCGCCCTCTCCTCTGTGGCCCTTCCACTCGCTGACGAAACCTTGCCCAGCGGCCGTGGTCCCGCCTCTGACGTCCCAGCGCCGGACCACGCCGTCCATGCCCGCGGTGGTTAAAAGCCAGCCTCCTTTCTGGGAGTTGCGCACGAAATCGACCTTCACGACTGCGAACTCTTCGTGTGCTTCTTTGATGTGTCTCCGCAAGGCGAACCGGTGAGCTGTGTCGAAAAGGGTGACCGAGCCGTCGACACTCCCGGCGGCCAAAATAGTCAGGGGTGGCGCCGAAAAGGACAGGGTTTCGATCCCATCGGTCTGCGCCTGCATCGAAGCTAGGATCTGCCCCGCCGACGAGGCAACCTGCTTGGCAGCGCCCTTGGGCTTCGTCTTCTTATCCTGGTTCGCCGCCTGAGGTAGACCCACAACTTTGATGTGCCCACCTGCTCCGCCCACGGCAACCAACGACGCGGTGCAAGCAACGCTATACAGCCCGCCCTCGACTTCGAAGCGTTGATCCGTGGCCGTTTTGGACACGACGGCCTGGCCTGTCGAGAAGACGTCCCACACGTAGAGGCTCCCGTCCTCGGACACCGTCGCCAGGAGGTTGCCGTCCGGGGTCCACGCCCCGGCCGTACACGACGCGGTGTGCAGATAGAGGGCCTGCACAATCGTCAGGGGCGAGGCTTTGTCCTCTCCATCGATCTTATACACCCAGACAGAGCCGTCATTGGCGCCTAGAGCGACTACGTTTTCGTGCTCCTTGTTCGGCGACGCAGCCACCCAGTTGATTTCTTCCACCTCGGCGGTCTCGGCGACGAAATTCCACGCCTTGGATCCGGACGGGTCGGCTGACCGCCAGGCGCGCAGTTTTCCATCCAACCCCGCGGTGAGGACGTAGTCACCGCGCGGGTATGTGAACGCCACGGCGTTGACCGAGTCAGTGTGTCCGTCTAGTTTCTGTAGTGGGGCAATACCTGCTCTTTCGCCTTGCTGTTTTTCTTGTGGAGCCGGTGGTATTGACGCGTCGAACAGGTATGCGACGTCGTCACCACCGCCTGTCACTACGAAGTTCGCGTTCGTGGGGTGTTGCGCTATGCAGAAAATGCTGTCTGTGTGGGCATCAAAGTGGGCGGCCGAGTCATTCTGTAGTTGGATTTCCTGTTCTTCGCCGTCGAGATCGTCATCGTCGTCCATGGGGTGATCGCCGTCTTCGTCAATGATCTCCTCAGCGGCTTCGTCGGCGTCGAGGAGGTCGTCGTCTTCAGGCTCTGTGGCATCGGGAGGACGGGGGACAGGATCGGGGGCCATCGTGAGTGAGGTGGGAAGGGGCGACAGGACGAGAGGAGGGGATATCCCGAGGAACCGAGAGCCTCAAGACTGAAAAGAGGTGCAGGAGAAGATCGAGGGAAGAGAATGGGAATACTGACAGGAAGCCAGGCAGGTTTATGAATGGCTCAAAATACTGGCGACGCCGCTGGCTTAGAAATTCATTTTCTGAAGTTGCCCGCAGCAAGAATGCGTCATTGGCTTGGTGGAGAGCCAGCCTCGCGGGGATCCTCAGCCTCGCCACGGGGTATTCCGTATGTAGTCTGTGCTTATATAACCAAACCTTGCGGTGCCTATTGGGTGCCTATCATCCACCATTGGGTGCTTATTGTGTCGTGTGTAGGCGCTTGTCATCTTCCAGTCACCACCGCATCCTCTCACCACCCTGGTATTTTCATCAACGCTCAGCGCAAGGCGGCCACCACCACTGCGCTACAAGTGCAAACTCTGCTGCATTGTCGAAGTGACTCGCTGTATCGAAGCAGGTCCACCGGAACATTAAAAAGATGCTCTTAATATATCGGTCTCCTCGCTGATACGGGGGACAGCCGTCCTACTCGTACCTACGGCAAGCCGCTTCTGAACCCTGTGTTTCGGACGAAGCCCTCCATGGTCTAAGCGACGGTCGGACAGCCGAATCCATCGATATTCCGTACTTAATTCATAGAAGCCACGCCGAGCACGTCTCTTTTGACCTCTTGTCAAAAGTCTGATCGCATTTAGTACTGGTCTCTCGGCTCGGTTCTCTTCCACCGGGCTGTGACCGCAGTCCTGAAACAGCCGGCCACATGGTGGTGGAGATCTAACTTCTCGAGGGAGTGAAGCAGCAAGACTCTGAAATGACAGGAAATCCCTCTCCCGCGTCCTGAGCAATAAAGTGGTGGAACAGCGTGACCGACATGCGTGCTGTGGAACGCGACAGGAGACGCGACGGAAGATAGATCTGCATCTACCCGACACGGGCATTATGCGCATGTGAATGAGAATTATCAGCTATGGATGTTTGGCTGAATGAGTCGTCGCTGGATTTCCAACCACTCCAGACGCCTCCTGAGAGTGTTTCAGAAGTACTGTGGTGTCCGAGACGCGGCCACCTTGAGAGGGTCAGAGTTCATCCTCTAAAGCGCAGATCGAATCTACGCTTGAGGAAGCTACCTTCCGAGGTATCGGCCGCACGCGCCTTAGTGGTTCAATCGTAGAATTTGATCCTGGTCGCTGAGGAGCTTAGGTAGGGTCCATCCTGCAAGGCGAGGCCCAAGGAGCCCTATCGCCATCCTCCCCCCGCCTGTCATTTGCTTGCCTCCCTTCTATCAGTACTCTTCTCCATTCATTTTAGCCGCCCACCGTAACAGCGATATGACCTAGCTAGAGGTCATTTGGAGCTGAGACCAATCCAACTTGCCTGCATGCTCTGACTGGTTTCAGCCTGATCCTGGGTTACAAAGATGTTGCCTCCAACATGGAATGTACTTGAGATCTTCATATTCATTTGCACGAAGGAAGCTATCCACTCAGGGGTTCTTAAGAGCGCTGGTGCAAAAGAGCACCCGCCCTGTTAATAAAGAGGAGTCTCGACTAGACTCGAGTGTTAGCATTGCATGTCGAGGCATATCATAGTAACGAAGGCCACTTGGGGGTCTGTCAACGATCAAGCCCACAATCTTCTTAGCCGTCCTTGGCACATTGAGGCTTTCGGGTCCCTCCCCATGGTCCCTAGCACGCAGATAATTATTCTCCCTCTATCGGCGCAGTCGTGTTCTTTTCCACGAGACAGCTTGAACTAGAAAGCACAAAGTACTCCCGGGCAGCAACTCAACGAGGTGGTGACTGAGGAGGAAGAAGACCGCACTCTATGCTCTTTTGAACCGGACACCGCCGCAAGTGCCAGGGCCGACCCAGTCGAGAAGCGCGGATCCCAGCCCCAAGTCCTTCGACCTCGCTGCCCAAAGTCACGACTCCATACACAATAGACAGTACAGGTTGAGCGAACCTCACGACGTCTTCCGGCCTCTGCTCGCTACTTCGATCAAAATAACAGCCGCACGCATGCCGCCTGTGCCAACTGCTCCTCAACCCACCGCTACCCCTCACTGAGCACAACTGCTGCGACATACAAGTTCGACCTCTTGACTGGCGGCTCCGCTCAGTATCACACACGGGACGTGTAACAGAGCGCACCTCCAAACGCCATCCGACAATGGCGTCTGGCCAGGAAAATGGGTAAGTGGTCTAGAAGCGATTCGAGGCGTCACTACTGTCGTTTATTCTGCGATCTCGTTCCTGACCTCCACCAGCTTTTACTCCGGTCAATTCATGAACCCCGGTCCAGCTCCTCGTCCTCCGACCGACAGACCCCGACATCTCGAGCTGCAGCGCTCAAACTCGTCCATACCGACCGCCACCTTCGAATCCATGTCTATCGCCGCGCCTGCGTCGCCTGCGGTCAGCACTCCAAGCGCCCCGTACTTTTCCAATGGAAGTTCTCTCTCGCTGTCGACGTCTGGAAAGCCCTCGGGGCCTGTTACCATCATCAAAGAAGGCCATGTGCGCTGCAAAGAAGACAAATTTCTTGCCCAATGGAACCAGCGCTACCTCATCCTGCGTGAATTCAGGTTGGATTTCATGAAGAGCGAGAATGGGAAGCTGATGCAGTCAATCCAATTGAACACCGTGACCGGAGTGACTCGGTCGGAAGAGACCCGAATGGCCTTTGAGATCACTCGTCTTGCCAATCCCAAAGACGTAGGAGGCAAGGTCGTCACGCCCCGAGACCTACCCACCCGAACGATGACCTGTGAGGTGCGCAACGACGACGAAATCTACGATTGGATTGACAAGATATACGAGCGATGCCCGGGCATGGGGGGCGTCAGCAACCCGACCAATTTCAGCCACCGCATCCATGTTGGCTTTGATCCTCAGACCGGTGGTTTTGTGGGCCTCCCGCAAGAGTGGGAGAAACTGTTGAACAATTCCGCTATTACAAGAGACGACTACAAAAAGAATCCCCAGGCTGTCATTGAAGTATTACAGTTTGTTTCAGACCAGAAGATGCGTGAACAGCACCCCGAAATGTATACCCCTGGCATGGTCACCCCACCAGCCACTCAGCCGAACAAGCAGCTCGGGTACTCGGCAGGCGGCAACACCGTTGCGCCTCCGAGGCCAGCACCACCTACAGACGCACAGCGGTATAATGCTAATCAATTCATCAAGTACCAGCAGGATGGCCCAGCCCGGACTGGAACACCACCCACCAAGCCCCAGCTGCAGCGGGCGCAAACAGATAAGGGATCCTACGATATGGAGGCTGATGCTGCACGGATAAAGGCTATCGCTATGGAGGAGCAGAAAAACCGACAGATGGAGGCCGAGGCGAAGCGCGCCCGTGAGCTGGAAAGACAACAAGAGCGAGAGCGAGAAGAGGCAGAACGGGTTCGCAAAGAGCAGGACGCCTACAACGCTTCGCTGCCAAAGTCCCGTCCAACCATGGCTCAGCAGGAGGTTGGGGGCTACGGCGGCGGCCCTAACCGACAGGATCCCCGATACAATCCAGCTCGAGCGGCTCCAAGCGCTCCTCAACAATCATCGTCGCTGAGACAGCAGCCTACAGCACAAAGACAAGCTCCTTCGGCCCCCAGTAGCGGTTCGCAGAAATCCATCCCTCAGTCTGCCTCAGCCGGTCAGACTTCGTTGCGCTCGCCAGACAGCAGAGATCGCGACCGTCAGCCTTCACCAAATGCTAGGTATCCGCCCAAAGAACCCACAAGGAAAGACTCTGCTCCCAAACCACAGACAAATGGCGTCAATGGACAATCCTCGACCCGGTCGCAAGGTTCAGTACAGCAACCCAAGCCCCTGAACGTGGCCAAACAGGCGCAGACCAAGGCTGCAGCTGACCCTCGTAAAGAAGCAGAAATTGCTCTTACTGCGAAGAAGCCGGTGGAGGAGCGCGCCAAAGAGGTGCGAATGTCAAGCATGAGCGAGAGTGAGGTTATGGCCAAGCTTAAGCAGGTGGTCTCAAAGGATAACCCCATGGAGTCGTACAGCAAGCAAAAGAAGATCGGTCAAGGCGCTTCCGGCTCAGTTTACGTTGCCAGGGTCAAGGAAAGTGCCACATCGGCCGTTGCACGTGAGATCTATCGCACTCACGGGCCTAAAGGCCAAGTCGCCATCAAACAGATGGATCTCCGCAATCAGCCACGGAAAGAATTGATCGTCAACGAAATCATCGTCATGAAGGACTCGAAGCACCCGAACATTGTCAACTTCCTGGACTCTTTCTTACAGGAGCAGAACAACGAACTCTGGGTGGTGATGGAGTTCATGGAGGGTGGTGCACTCACGGATATCATCGACAATAACCCGGTGATAACAGAAGATCAGATCGCCACCATCTGCTTCGAGACCTGCAAAGGACTCGCCCATCTGCACTCTCAGGACATTATCCACCGAGACATCAAGAGCGACAATGTGTTGCTCGACCGCGTCGGAAATGTCAAGATCAGTAAGTCGCTGACACGCGCCATATGGCCCCGTTGCTAACCAACTGTCTCCAGCCGATTTTGGGTTCTGTGCGAAGCTCACCGAGTCGAAGAGCAAACGCGCGACAATGGTTGGCACGCCGTACTGGATGGCACCCGAAGTCGTCAAACAGAAGGAGTACGGTCCCAAAGTTGATATCTGGTCGCTCGGGATCATGGCAATTGAAATGATCGAATCCGAACCGCCCTACTTGAACGAAGAGCCACTCAAGGCTCTTTTCCTGATTGCCACTAATGGCACACCTCGCCTAAAGAACCCCAACAAGCTGTCCCGGGAGCTCAAGGCATTCCTCAGTGTCTGCCTCTGCGTCGACGTTAGGAGCCGTGCGAGCGCTGAAGAGCTCCTCCGGAACGACTTTATGCGCATGGGATGCAGCTTGGCAAGCCTCAGTGAACTGTTGAAATGGCGAGAGAAGGGGCGACAATAGTCATGCAGCATTGGATCGGAGGGTTGGATCCGAGTCTTATCCATCCGGACAGGGCTCTGGAATACGTTTGTTGGGGGAGCATCAGTCAGGCGTCGAAACGCATTTCGGTCCATACGGCATTTTGGATAGGCGTGGACCGTATTTTCAGCACCAGCGACGAGACTTTAAACCAGCGGGGCCGGGTTTGCCGTGGAGCAGCCTGACGCCTTAGAGAGATACGCTGACCAAACACTTCATCTCGGGCAAGCAAGAGGCGTGTCCAAGTTCGCACGGGTAATGCACCTAGGGTGCAATCATTGTCTGCATAGCCCATTCTGGAGGGTGCCCATCAAAGACGAGAGGAAGAGAAAGGTAAAGGGGAAGATCATGGTCTCTATTTACGTGTGATGAATGAATGGTAATGGATCTTTCGATATTCCTGCTTGCACATCCATGTTGCGGATCTGCCCATTTCAGCTTCAAACAATGGGCCCGAATGCTTCGCCGAGGTGCGGAGGACGTCTACGGCGTACGGTGGCGATGGACTGGATGGATAGATGCACAGTGTGAGCATGGTGTGTCGCCATGTTGAGGTCCTGCTCATTGCTGAGTTGGGTGGTTTGGAGCCGAGCAAGAGACGCCGCATGAATCTCACAGAATGGCATCAACAGAAAGCAGAGACTCGGGAAGCAGCAGAAGAGCCATGAGCCTACATACTGGGTAGAGAGGGGCAAGGACGTACTGTGTAAGAAGTCCAAACGGCACAGTTCAAGAGTCGATCCTCAAGCTGATTTATTCGCAACACAAGTACTCCGTCCGTGGCTGTGCGTTTGGTGGATGCCGTACACAGTGAGACAGTACGTTGAGACTCGGCAGCTGGAGCTCCATTAATGCTGAGGCCTCCCCCTTTCCAAACTTAGGGCTGCCCAAGGTGAGATGCTTATCTGGCCGCAGTCCTCCACGGTCCCCGGAGCACCAATGGCGCCTCTCGCGTTGCAGTCGGCTACACGACACGATCCGTGGGCAGATCTCCGGCCACTCACAGCGCCTCTGAACACGGGGGCAGCGCGCACAGCTACCGGGAAGATCTGGCCAGGCTCTTATTCTTATTTGCTGTTATGGCTGAAGCCTGAATTCATGCCCATAGCTACCGCCCAAAGCCCCTATGGCACTCCCGTTGCAGCACTCCGTAATCCGTATCCTCCATAGCACTTCGTCCTCACAAATTTGTCCGGCTCGCGGTGCTCCGACTGCCGCCAAACAAGTCAGTCCAATCCACGAATTATCGCCTCTTTCGGTCCATGCATACATTACGTCAAGACCGTATATCTAGTCGCAGTCGATCAGGTTGATCATTATCAATCACCTCGGGTTCATTGCCGGACGCTTGACATTCGTCTTCCTCAATCACTTACACCACAGGATGGCGGTGCAGCCACGGTAGAAGAGGCCTTCGCAGATACCACTTGACTCCGATCGGACCCCGACAACAATACAGACACGTCCCTAAAAGCGCCGCACTTCTTGCCTTCCTTCTCACAGGATGCTGGAACCAGAAGATGCCTTTGCGGAGGAGGCGCAAGAGGAGGCCAGACTGGCAGAGGACTCTCATGGCGCGACTACAATCAACACACGCTTCCACGTCAGGGACGGGCAGGAGGACGATACAGGCGAGACAAGCCCCTTGATGAGCCCTCGACAACGCCGCAAGAACCCCGTTACATACACCAGGGCCAGAACAAGCTACGAGCGAGCCATCAATGAGCCCTGGACTGGAGCTCATGGCGCAGGCGATCTTCCCTGGCACAAGAAACCTTCGGTATGCTCGGTGTCCTCCTCAAGCGAGTCTTCCAGATGCTGACGAACTCAGATACTTTGGCTTCTGCCAGCCCTCTTCCCTTTCTCTGTTGCGTTCGGCGGCATCATCGTGCCCAAGACATATTTGATTCTCGACCTCATCTGCAAACAATATCTGTCCGAGCAAGCATTGAAGGACCCCACGTTCAAGTTCCTCCCGGTCGTACTGGGGGAGGAGAACCCGCAATGCAGAGATCCTCACGTTCAGTCGCGAGTCGCCAATTTCAACCTCTACGTAAATCTGCTCTCTGGCGTCTTCTCCGCCATTGTCTCTCCTCATCTGGGTTCGCTTTCAGACCGGGTCGGGCGGAAAAAGGTCATGGTCTGTGCCTCTCTCGGCGCGCTCGCCTCCGAAATCATCACCATCATTGTGGGTTCCACCGATGGCGCCGTTTCCGTCTACTGGCTGCTCCTCGGCGGCTTGATCGATGGCCTCTGCGGCTCATTTACCACTGCTCTCGCATTGACTTTCGCGTACGCCTCAGACTGTTCGCCCCCTGAGCGTCGAAATGTGGCGTTTGGCTACTTCCATGGGACCCTGTTTGCGGGCATTGCGATCGGACCCGTCATGGCGGGCTACGTGATCAAGGTCACGGGGACGGTCATGGTTGTCTTCTACATTGCACTCGCATGTCAGGCATGGTTTATCCTCTTCGTGTTGTTCGCCGTGCCCGAGTCCCTGTCCAAGGAGCGACAGTTAATAGCCAAGGAGAAACGACGCTTCGCCAAAGCGGAGACCGCAGGCAACTCTTGGTGGACAACCATAAAGAACTACAATCCCTTCGAGCCGTTGTGGGTACTACGACCGACTGGCATCGGTTCAAGTGCGGCACTGCGGAAGAATTTATTTGTCCTTGCAGCCATCGACACCATGATGTTTGGAGTGGCCATGGGGACCATGCAGATCATCATCATCTACGCCGAGTATCGCTTCGGCTGGACGGCTGTCAACGCCAGCATGTATCTCTCCGCCGTCAACATCTGTCGGGTTATGGGACTGCTTCTACTCCTACCCCTCCTGACCAGGATCTTCCGCGGACCACAAAATGTGCAGTCGAAAGGGCACAAAGGCTCCGACATGCTTGACATCTGGATCATTAGGGGGGCCATTCTTTTCGACCTTCTTGGATATGTTGGTTATGCCATAGGGCCAACCGGGGCGGTCATGGTGGTCTCAGGAATGATTGCATCCCTGGGTGGCATTGGATCGCCTACCTTGCAGTCATCACTCACAAAGCATATCCCGGCGGACCGAACAGGCCAAATGCTGGGCGCGTCAGGTCTGCTGCATGCCCTGGCTCGCGTAGTGGCTCCCACGGTTTTTAATCTCATCTACAGCCAGACGGTGGGTATCTATGCGGGCATTGTCTTCATTTGCTTGGCCTCCATTTTTGTGGTTGTTTTTGTTTTCAGTTGGTTCTTGAGGCCAAATGGTACGTTTTTAGCTCCACATCCCAGCATTTCGTGGTCTGCCACTGACGACATCTAGTCTTTCTCGCTGAACCATCTACTGTCGATCTTGATGAAGATGGGGATCAAGCGCATCATTCCGGATGATCCGAGTGTATGTTTTGGCGCTTTTAATCTCACGACGACTTATATATAGACGGGTGGCATGGTTTGAATGCGCTGGACTGATCCCCAGCGATTATTGACAGGGATGTTCGATCGGACTGCGCCCATCGAACTGCTCTGACTATGGCAACATAGCACCAAACTTTTCTGTATTCAATTCCAAGTGTGACAAGAAGCTTTTCCCCGGATCTCTGGGCATTGGATGGATATGGCTGGGCGATCGCCTTTACCAGATAGGGGGTGAGATACTACGCTACGGTAGCCTCGAGCAGCCTGGGGCCCGCGGGACGCCTGATCAACACAGCAGCGATTACGGAGTACTTCACTTCCTATACAGCAAGATCGTCGTCTCGCGTCCTGGGCAGCGGATGCACCTCCATATAACAGCTGTCAGACTCTCGCCATGGCGTCTCCCACATCCGGGTGGGAATCATTGCAACCTCTCCGAGGTGTACTCGTTGTCCTATTCGCGCTCAGGTCTGAAACCCCCGATCCCGGACGAGCCACGGCAAGAAAACAGCAGAGACGTACAGAGACTGCTGGACTACCAGCCCACTGATGTTGCGACTGCTTATCTAGTGTGTCTTCATCCTGGTCTTCCTGACTTGTTGGCGTATTTGGGATGCGATGCGACGCGATGCGCGAGTTCTTGAACAATTATTACATGGACGACTTGGTCCATCGCATGTTTACCTGCTGATCTCGATCCTCTCCGCTTTCTGTTGCATACGTGACCAGGACATTGACATGGCCCAGGCTTGGGCCATCTCGACCTACCTTACCATCCTTGGCAGCTTCTTGCTCACTGAAATGATCTATTCGATCTTTATTGTCTGGCTGCGCAGACTTGTGCTTGCCAATGGCTGCTGAGAGGGCCCTTGATCGGGGTGATGGATCATGGCCCTCCACCTGAGAGGTGCGCGGGCTGTTGGCCCCATTGCGAGCGCCATATTCTGGGAATACCTGTGCCCTGCCCTTCTCGACACAAAGGCTGCCAACAAGTTTTTGCAAGTCGAGTAGAAGAAGGCACTCGACATCCATCATTTCCAGTACGGCTGGCCAATTTCTTCAACATCATCATCCTCGGCGAAGGTGTCCTTCAGCTGGTCAAGGACAGATCCTTAGGTCGAGGGCTCTACAAGCAGCACATACAGCACGGTATGGATCCTCCTGATCTACTATGCATTCTCTTTCTTGTACCTGAACTGTGACGGCAGCCAGAAGGTCATCCCAGCAGCGACCCATAGGAGACAGAAGACTCTAGTCTGGGTCCTCTGGCATGTTTCCCTTTTCGTTTGAACCTGGTCGTCGCCGCAAGCGTCATGGTCATCATTAGCCATCAGCCGGACACGCATTTCAACGCAACCGAAAGTATGAACGGCGAGCAAATAGCGGAGGACCAACCCCCCGACCACAGTTCCGGGCGATCTGGACTTGTGCGACTTCGCCATCTGTCATAATGCTCAGCATGACAATTCTTGCGCGGCTTGACCAACCATTGATGAATCCGGCCTGTTGAAGGTCAACAATCGATACGGCCGCCCCTCTATGAGGGGGGTATTCGTCATTGTGATTTTGTGCATTCCCGTTACACCACAACTGAACTCACAGCTGTTCCTTGGACTCTCTGCTACGATGTTGTTCGTTGTGAGTTTCTGTGAATGGAATGTCAGCCTAGACCAGGGAGGTGCACTATTCGAGCTAAAGGGTCTCAGTCTGTTGCTGAGTCGAGAACCGAAGTCCTCACGGTGTCATACGGGAGTGGCACTGTTTATGGGGGAGCCTCGTAGATCCATTGTAGCCGAAGAGGTTGTCTTCGAAGTTGAACCTGCATGTCACAAGGGTCTTTTGGGAAGTTGCCCTCGAGCACTCAATTGGACTCCTAGACCACACCCACTATGACAAAGGGTTTCTGGGGAGGCTTGCCAACACCTCGCACTGCTGGTTGTCTGTGCTTCACCCACGGTACATGTGGGTCAAGAACCGAATTCCAAAACTGCCTGAGCAAGGCATCCAGGCCGACACGCGCCGGGTTCCGCCCGCAGAGATCCGAGTGGGCTTCTGAGACGACGTGCTGCATCGAAAAGAGGGCTGTGGAAAGCATCTCGGCCTCGTGACTTGTGGATGTATTTTCCCCGGACGCAAGCACGGCCGGACTGTGCATATGCGAGTGGGTTCTAGAACGTCTGACTGTCTGAAGTCGAAGTTCTAGGCCCTCAAAACCGAGATGTGTTGGAGGGCGAGCGTGCCATTTTCTCGTGGCACGATCAAAGGCGTCAACACGATGGTGGTATAAAAACCTTCAGGGTCCGCTCTGTCGGTCATCGACCCTTAGTAGGGACCACTCGCCTACGCCGAGTCCCTGCATGCCATCCGCGTAGAAAATGGTTAGAATCGGCGACATTCTGCCGACATTGTCCCTCGAAGCCATTCCTGACGCCAATGGAACCATGGTCCCAGCGACCGTGGACCGACTGCGCCAAAGGAATCTTACCTGCGCCAGGAGCACACAGCATGATTGCTGCATTCCGGCATTACTCAATGGTGCGGCGCAAAAGCAATTCTCAGCGTCGAAACACTCAGCCTGCACCTGTTCGTGGTCCCCACGGGCTTTTGGCTGAATGCACCACCCCGAACAGGTGCCCAGGGGTTTACTGATATTGTCCAGAGCTGGGAAACTACCGGGCCGACTTCACCAGACCGCTACAGGTCCTCTGCCACCGTCTCCGGTGGAACTTTGCCTTGCTGTGTCGTATTGCCATCGAGTGGCAGGCTCGCAACAGCAGTGAAGAGAGACTATTCGGATCGGATTTGACTGTCATCGTCACCGAGAGGCTGTGGCGAGACGAGACGGGTCGGCGAGACGAGTGGGATCGATGCACCCAGGGAGAATATCAGGAAGCTCTCGGGAAGTTTCTGCAGGACATTCGAGGGTGTCTTCCGCCTACCACGATGCGCGGGAAAGGAGGACCAGACGCCAACGGCGATATCTCCCCTACCACGGCTTTTGTCCTAGATAAAGCTGGTAAATTCACTGTGCAAGTCAAAAGTATTGGCGTCGAGTGATAGGGACCAGTTCGGGGCCAAGGCAACAATCGATATATTTTCCTGCTGTGGGACACTAATTTTGGTTTTCTTGGGTGGTCACTGCATACCCTCACGAAGGCTGTAATGCAACCAGATGTTGATCCATACCGATCTTACTCATGAGCGTCGGTCAATATAGAAATTCTATGAGGCACTCTGTCGAGTCCCGTACTGCGAAATCAAGGAGCGACTACGGGGGATCAGGTACGTCGGTGTACGTACGGAGGAGCTTTTATGCAGGTTTACGTAGGTAGGCAATTGACTCTCCGCAGGCGGGACCTCGAGGACTTCTCGTCGCATGATCATATATCGCCCACGTCTCAACCTACGAGCCACCAAAGTCGACCAGGTCTCTACGCGCCCCAATGTACTGGCATCGGCCGGACCTGCAGCTGGACGAAGTCACGGGCATGAGGCTGTCATGAAACCCCCCGTCTCGTTGACCTGTCGGTCACCTGTCGTTCCATCGAAAAATGCCCTCCGAGCTCTGCGTCGACTGGCCTTGTCACCTTCTGTCCTGGTCGTCAGCACCATAGGCAGTGTCTGCGGCGTAGCGACCCTCAATCATGAAGTCAACCGGAGGGTCCGCCTGGCGGAACAAGCTCTCGAGTCAAAGAGGATTATCAGGTCCCTTTCGCATGGAAGAGGTGCTGCTCAACTGAACAATATGATTGAGGCGGCGGAGAGAGGCGATGACTTTACATTAGGCACGAGGGGCACTAGGAGGAAGAGGAAGAAGACGAGCACGACACGATCATTTTCGGCTGTCGCTCTTCAAGAGCCATTTGAGCATACCCACGACGACATTCCAGAGGAACCTCCTGTCCAGCTTGAGCGCCCGCACGTACACTTCTTCCGCAAGATCGACCCTGGCAGATCGACTCCCCGAGCTGACCGGCCTTCGCCACCGAGATCGACGTCCACGAAGGGCGTGCACAGCTTGACCTTTGAGAGGATTCTTCAGGCCAGCAGCACACCTCATAAAGTGCCCCATCATCGAGCACTTGGCCAGCCCAAAGTCCAGCAACAAATCGAAGTTGATAAAGCCAAAAAGTTACTCCAGCATTGGTTCCGGCCTTCTGACGAGGGTGAGGATTTGGTGGTTCCGCAGCCACGTGCTGAAGCTAGAAATTCGACCCCGGGCCGGCGGATTAGGTACGTCGAGCCCAGAGACCGGAGTGGAGGAACTCCCAACGTGAGACACATACAAAGACCTCCTTTAGACGCCATACCCACACACAAGGACCAATGTGCTCCGACCCCTGCACCTCTAGGCGCTTCACCTGAGCCGCCTCTACCACAAGATAACGTCCGAACGGTAGATACACCTGGTTGGGCATCCAGCACTAGAAGTGAGGCCGATCTGCAAGCGCCGGTTGTGGGATTGCGGTCCAAATCGTCGGATCTTTCAGGAGCAAACGGCGTGGAGAGCCCGAGTCTGGCTCCACCGAATCATAACATAATGCACTCTCCAGGACCAACGGAAACGCACTTATTTGGGTATCTCGACAACGATGAGACTATGGATCAGCATCTTCGAAAATGGATCAAGAAAATGCCACGTGTCGGAGCGCAAGCCAATATCGAGACAGAATTAACACCAATGCCGAAAGAATTCGCCGACCACGCGAAAAACACTTTAACCGACGGGACATTGGTCAGCCTGTACCGATTCATGCGAGATGGGAAGACTGGGTCGGGACGTCTATCGCAACAAAAATGGCTAGCTGTCATGAGGCATTTGACCAGCCAGCATAGTACTCTAAACTGGACGATCGCGGAAGCCATCTTCTACACATACCGGGCCTCATGTAGAAATCCAAGGCATCTCAACGTTCGACCCGTCTTCGCCCTGATACAGCATTTGCTAGCGACGGTTCCGTCTTCAAAACGGGTAGGGCAGATTCTCTTTCCCAATCCTTCGGTCAACATGGTGGACGCAGCTGCGACCTTCGAGTTGCCAGTCCGGTATCTGCAGTTTTACTGTGAGGGTCAGCACAGTACTCCCGACTGTGTACGGGAACTGGGTCAGATTCTTGACGTTGCGAAACGCAGTGGACTGGTTCCCTCCAAGGACCTCGTCACACCTGTCTTAAGAGCTCTTGTCCGCGCGAGGGACGTGGACAGGGCGGAGACAATGCTTGACGGACTTTCACCGGAGTTTGGGCCGACTGAGTCTCTGGCTCTTTTCGAGCAGTATACCTTTCTCAATGCATGCGAAGGCAACTGGGCGGTCGTTGAATCCATGCTTGACAAGTTCCACACTCTGAACCGGTCCAGGAGCCTACCCATTGAGTATGGACGCTTTTTCGCAAGGCTCTTATTGCAGCACATCGCGAAGAATCCGGCCGCTCGATCATTCCACTTTACCGTTCACGCCATGAAATACGCTGGCCTGGTACCGACGAATCATGTCTCTAGGACACTTATTTGTGCCTTCGTTCGAGATGGCCGCTACGACTTGGTTGTTGAATGGTTACGCCTTCTCAAGGAGGCATTTCCTAGAGTGAGCGCAGGCTTTGACCTTCTCCAAGGGGAATGGTTACTCGCCAACACCCTGGCCGAGGTTGGCGCCAGCTGTGAAGAGATAGCCAAAGTTTGCCAGACGGTCGCTCATGGGCATCGGAAGGATCCATTCGGCCCGGCCTTCAGGGAGTTCGCCGTGGACCTCGTCAAAGCAGATTTGAGTCAGAGGTTATGTGCTGTCTCGGCCCATTTCCCATCAGCTGAGGTCTCAGAGGGCGAAATTCGCTCGATGACGATGGATCAACTGCTGAAATGTGCCTATGACCTCCGTGCCACTCCGACGCCGACAAGCTCTAATGCTGTGGTTGTCGAGAGCCTGAAGAACGACCTTGCCGTGCAGATATCTTCAATCGTGGACCTGGCGAAAGTCTTTCGGGGCGAAATGAAGATATTGTTCTTTGGCATCAAGAGCCAACGGGATTCGCCTTTACAAGATCGACGCAGGGTCAGCCGGACCGCACATTCGCGCGCGGTGGACGTCCTCCCGGAGATCCACAGCCACGGGCGCCCACCAGGAATAGGCAAATTAACCACGGCCGTAGTACAGCACTACCATCGACGTGATAAAGATGGATTGCCGGTCGACCACTCGATCCTCGACCACTTCATCACAAGATTCGGCCCAGAATACCCGTCGGCAGTACTCGAGCTTGTCGAAGCCGTATATGCAAGCGAATATGTTCAAGCACGGCACGGCGCACCTTTCGACGCCGAGCTATTCAAAAAATGGCTATACCTGGTCTCAACGGATGGCTCTGCAGAGTCAGCCGCGACGGTCCTGTTGGCGGTTTCCGACTGTGCGGATCGACTAGCGTGGACTGCGCACTTCCGATGTTTGTGCGAGTTCGTCACTCAGCTCGGGAGAGTCGACAATGAGACCCTCTGGGACGACATGACGTTTCCCAAGAAGCCCGAACAGGGGCCTCTGCGGACTCGATACGAGGAAATCAAAAGGAGATGGCTCGACCAGGAGAGCTGGAGGAAGGAGAGATTTCGCTTCCCCGAGTGGAAGGGATGGGATATCGACGGGAAATAGGTAGCGGTCGGTAGCCGGTAGCATGTCGACCGATCTAGATGCATGAATCGGACGAGTAAGAAGCCATACCGATAGATGTAGTGTATGGAGGGTTAATTACTATGTATGTATATGTGTGCAGATTATAGATACAAGTAGATGTTCCGTGGCGGGGAGCCTCGTCTTGCGGTATTCCGACGCATACAGCGCATTCATTACAACGAGGACCCATTCCGACCACGCCGAGACTGCACACTACAGCATAGACGTAATCGTGGGCGTGTATAGTGGTACCCAAGGCAACGAAGGAGGGCAGTCAGGGCAGTCATGGCAGTCATGGCAGTCATGGCATTCATGGTGAGTCAAGTAAGGGACAGCTACAGTACAGTATCTTTTCCCCCGTCTCGGCGGCTACGGCCTGATTTAATTACTACGGAGTACTGTAAGGCGAGTTGTTCTCTCTACGTAGGCACGTAGGCACGAAGGCACGCACATGAAGGGGGAGCTCGGGACAACTGGACACACACACACACACACACACAGTGTACGGAGTATATATCTTGTGTTGTTGTTTCGCCAATAGATCTTATCGTGTTCGCAGGCGTGTGATTCAATCCTGACCGACCGACCGATTGTTTCGTCTCTCCAAGCACCCGTACCCCTGAACAAGCTACAAGCCACATTCAAGTACAGTACATACAGTACAGTACCATCGTTGGACACAAGCCCCGGACATAATGAGCTTGATGAGGCGATATGACACACACAGAGCGACTGAGCGGGAGAGGGAGAGAGAGAGAGAGCAATATTTTCTACAGGACTGGGCTTTCTTTCTGATCATTCTAACACGCTCATATTTTCTACGGGCAAGGCTTCTGTCTAATCCTTCTAACCAAGTGTAGATGTACCATATGGATTGAACTCGTCTACGGTATCCAACCGATGCAGTCACCATCTGACATTCTGTCAAGGTATGCCGCCCCCTAAGCTGGTGGCAGCACTCACGCTGGGTCTAGCACTCCCTACTCTTATCCCCTGCGCCGTAAAACTGGGTGGTGTGCCTCGGCTTACTGGCGTGCTGCGTCCACTCGCAGCGACACTATTGCCTGAAATGGAGCGACGTCGACGGTCTGAGGGAGAGGATTTGGATTCGTTGCCACTTCCGGTCTCATTCTCAGGCATGGCCGCCGTTTCAGCTGCGTTGCTGTCAGGGTCCTGGTGCGTGCTGGAAGTGTACGTCGCGCGATTGCGCAGGTCTTGTTGTGGCGCGCTGGCGGCATTCTGCGCGAGGAATCTTGAACTTGACAGGGCGGGCCCGAAGTTTGCTGCTATGTCTTGGGATAGAGGCGTAGAGATGTTGTGGTGAGGTGTTCCTAGAGGACTCTGGTCATGCTCGTCCCGTTGTTGCGCCTCTGTTGGCTCTGATGCGCCTACCGTTGAAGTCTCCGATGGACGATCCCGAAACCGTTCATAATCTACTTCCGGGTCCTCATCGTTGTTCCTTGTGCTATTCGCGGCGAGCGCGGCCTGTGCTTCCCTCTTGGGAAGTTTATAATATCCCTCCATCCACGCCATTGAGTTGCCCCCTGCCGGCCTATTTGGTGTGGGCGATGCAAACTGGTATTGGTTTTGCAGGGGCGAATGCGTATGTGTATGGTTATGGGTCTGAACAGGCGACGATGGCTGGTACTGCCTCTCTCTCTGCTGTTGGGCAAAGCTCTTGACTCTCGGTGTCCGGGGCGACTCGTAGGCGCCTTCATAGTCCGAGTATCCGCCGGCGGAGTCATCCTCTGACCAGTTGGCGCCGCTGCTACTGCTGTTTTGGCGGCGATGGAGATATGCGGTGTCGGCAATGGAGAGGATGCCCTTCTGATGACCATTCGACGTCCGTCCCAGGGTGTAGTAGCGGAGGGCTTCCAGGACATGTGGAAAGACCAAAGTATCGACGTCTTGGGCCCAAAGGAAGTCGAGGTGTTCGAAATGGGGGATTTCCGTGGCGATGGTATGACGAGGTAATTCTTTCAACATGACGCGGATGTCCACCAGCGAGTCACTTCCGCCGTAGACCAGCACGATGGGAGTTTTGATATTCCTGGTCGGAAACTTGGCCACTTTGTAGTAGCGGTTGCTGGCGCCAATGCTGAATCTGTTGGTGCTGTCGTCATCGTACATCTGGAATGATTTGTTGCGGATGATCTGGAACCAGTGGACCACGGATTTTGTAGACGTGAAGCTGTAGAGATGCGGGTAGGCGGCAAGCTTCTGTTGGACGGTGATGTTGCGACCATACCACGCAAAGAGAAAGCTGAGGGACATGTCGATCAGGCGGACAAAGATGGGTGGGTAGAGGATGGACTGCCACATGGTCGCAGAGGACAGGATGGATTTGCGCCCAAATGCCAGGAAGAGGACGTTGGGATTGGTCTTGACAAGAGCATCGACGATGCCGTTACTCAGGCCAGCTGGAGACATGGCGGGGGCTAGTGCGATAAACACATTGACCTTGTCGTTCAATTGTGGGTGGATAGACAACGTGGCGAAGGCTTGAGCAGTGCCTTGACTGAAACCAATATAGGAAAGCGACGGCTGAGCGGTGGTGCTCAGGATATAGTCGATGGTGTTGGGGATGTCGTGGAAGGCAAATTCGTCCATTGAGAAATTCCAGAAACGAGAGGACATCGGGGAGTGCTTGGTGGACTTTTTGCTGTATTTGTTTCCACGGTTGTTGCCCAGCCACACATCGTAACCTTGGTTCACCAGCGTGAAGGGCAGGCATCGTTCCTCCTCGGTCAAGCACACCCAGACCTCACTGTTCATCAGCAGACCATGGTGGAGATACACCACGGGTTTCTTGGTCGAGTCTGGCCCGGCATTGACGCGTATCCCGGTATGCTCTTCTCCTTTGCGAAAGGGCAGCCTGTGCACACCCAACAAATACCCGTCTCCTGTTTGGACGACATGTTCCTCAGCATAGTATCCAAAGAGGCCGCAGAGCTCGGTGAAGTCGGAACAGGTCGCGATCGAGGTGTAGGTGTGTTTCCTCTCAGACCGGGCTTGTCTGGATCTCTGCGACGACAGTCGGTTGAAGACGTTTTTCGACGTATTGTAGCAGAATCGAATAACGGGCTGGGGCAGGCCGAGGGTTATAATTCGGACGAGAACTTCAAGGGCAACCAGTATCAGAGATCCAAATAGGGCCAGGTACTCCCTCCTGTTCACGGTCAGCTAGGGTGCATGCAAGTGAAGGCGTCCAGAGTAGGTACCAAAACAGCCTGCCGATGAAAGGCACTCGCGCCATAGAGCCTGCAAAAGATCAGACAGCTACAGCGACAACAGGACGTCCGAGGCCATGGGACCAGACGAGGTCCTGTCCGTGGTCTGGAATTGTTCTACAGGATAAAGACGAGGACATGGATGGCACATGCGTCGTCCATGCGCCGTTCTCAACAATCACGGCTTCTCCAATTGCAATCACCGTCTCGCGCAGGCCGGTGCGTCATTGCGTCATTGGCTACTCCAGGCAACTCGGCCGACAGCGGCGCCAGTCTAACCGTTTCTGGAACCCGGCCATAAAATTCGTCGGCTCGACTTTCGCTTTCTTGCCTTTTTTCTTTTCTCCATGAACAACGCAAAATTCAACATTCCTTCTAAAAGCATTCCTACGAGGTTGCTCTCAAGCAATACCATGATGTACGGAAATCGTCTATCGGAATGGAGAGTAACCACATGGTAGTCGATCTTGGGTGCAATGTCAGTCAGGTCCCTTCGGGGTTGTGACTGGGATTGCAATGATTGACCACACAAATGATCTCTATCAGCTAGAACGCTCTTTTTCATGGGGTATCATGTGCTGTCGACGCTTCGTTCTCAACATCTCGGCGTCACGTCATTTGCTCTCGAGCCAGCCTTCAATCTTCTCGACAATGTCTGCCTTTTTGCCCGTGACAGGAATCTTCGCCATTGCAGCAAACTCCTTCAACTCGGCAACTGTCAGTTTTGCAAGTTGACCCTTCTGCCAAAGCTGCCTGATCTGCGCCTCGTCGATCGCTTTACTGCCATCGTCCCATTTGACCTTTTTGCCTGCGCCTGCTTTCGTAGGCTGGACTGTGCTGCCGTTGCTTGGAGGGCGCTTTGATCCTGTGGGTGCGGCATCGGGATTGTCTTCTAGGTATCCTCGGAAGCTTCTTTCCAGGACCTTGCCCCATTCTATCGCCTCTACACCCACTCTCTTGTCGATCTGGCGATATTTTGGTATCGTCTTGTCCTCCGGCTTCTCGGGGATCTCATCGTCCAGGGCGAGGGCCTGAAGAATGCGATAGTGCCATTGCAGGCTGGGATTTGGGTATTTGGAAGGGTCGTAGATGCCCTTGGGAAGGTTGAGTTGCTCTGTTTCGTCTGTCAGTTCCACTCCTCAAGACACCTTGACCAAGCTCTGTATCACACTTACGGACGATCGGCCTCATCGCATCAACAAGCTCATCTGGCGCCCGAACTGGTGTTTCATGGGTCGAGGGTGGATTCTGTCGGACATCATCTGCAAAAGGAAGTGGTATGAGATGCAACCCCTGCGGCGCACCCGTGGCAGACACTCCTGCGGCATTTGACTTGTCGTCGTTGTCTTCGGCCGACAGGGTTGGGACCATAGCAGCCATCACTGGTACCGCATTTTTTCTCGGCACAAACCACGTAAGTGCGAACAAGTTGTCCTTGCAAAGCTTGCGGTGCAACGCACTGTACACCCGCGTGCTGCCGACAAAGTCCTCTTCAGACGGATAGAGGAAGGTTGAATTCTTCACGTTTGCCCACATCGGCAGCCTCGACATCGGCTTGAACCCAATCACCCTGATCACGGGTTCGCCCCAGTTGCGGAGTTGCTGCGTCTCTTCGGCTGAAAACGTGACCTTTTCTCCGCCAAAGGTATATGCCTTCCGGATTTCCGCTTTCTCTACCGGTCTGCGGTCGACCTCATCGGCAGCCAGCAGCTCTGTGAAGCCCGTCGCGATCGCGGGTTTTTCGCCACCAAGGTAGATGTAACTACTCCGCGCTGGCTTTTGATGCTTATACAAGAGATAGCCTTTGACCGAGATCTTGAAATCCGGACCAAGTTCGAGGGGGACTGACGAAAAGAGCGATCGTTTCGGGGCAATTTTTGATTGGATATTGGACAACAGAGACTGGAGTAGTGTGATGCCGTCTCCACCGCCGCTCACGATCTTTGAGCTGTCAACGTCCACGATGGATGGCGGGTTGTAAACGATTGCTTCAGGATCTGAGGGTGATGAGCGGTAGACGATGTCGTCCCAGAACAACTTCGTGTCAAAGGCGTGGTCGGCCGTGGAGATGGGAAATAATTCAATGGTCACGCCCAAATCGTACAGATCTTTGGCTCGAACAGTTGCCTGTGAGCGTGACTCCTTGCTGCTCGAATGCGGGTCGTCGTTATCCGTCACGACGAACAGCCGCCTCGACGTGAAATTTGCCGCCTTTTGCTGGAAGATCTGGTTGGCGCAGAAGAGGACATTGTGCATCGACACGGGCTCTTTGGCAAGTTTAAAGAGTCGATTAGACTCGGGATGCTCAGCTTCAACCAGTTCCTTCAGTGCCTTGACATCTTCCGCCTCCGGGACGTCGAGGTCAGTCAGGAGGTAGCAATTGGGGAAAGAATAGCCGCCCTTGGAATTTTCGTCTTCGTCGTAGAATTTGGTTGCTTCGGTACCATACAGCAGGATGCCCATGAGATCCTTAGGTGTGGCAATGATGCGCTGCTGCATCAGATGGTACGCAGATTTCAAGGCAGCCAACAGAGGGGAGGTAGAGTCTGATTTTTTCGAGCCGGAAGACGACGGTGGCACTTTCAGCATAGACTTGTTGACCTCGATGGCGAAGAGGACGGCATCCCGAACGGTCTTGTAGCCCGTCTCGTCAATTTCCTCTTCCTCATCGTCGAGGTCATCGCCGCGAGAAGAATCATCAGGCTTGTCTTTCGAGCGGTAGGGTATATTGTCACCCATGTTGCAAACGCATTCAATTATTGAGAAGAGATGACGTCTGGGAAGATCCAAGAAGTGATTGATGCATTGCCTGGGCGTCCGAGGCAGCGGTCGCGCCACAAGGCTGAAGACGCGCAGTCACATGAGCGACAAGGCTGAACAGATGACGCCAATCAGGCAACGTTCATTGGCCGCAATTGACCGATCAGCGTCATGGAAGAATATCTCCACCGTCTGCATTTCCATCTCACTGCGGCGAAAAGTGATCGTACGAGTACGAGAGTTAAAGAAAAGCTTCGCTCTCATACCACTAGGTCTACCTGGGGCCCCAGAATCCTCAAATCTCCTCTTACACAATCAATCCCTCATGGCTCGGTAGCACCACCACCTTCATCACCACCTTCGCAGCACTATCCTCATCATGTCGCCGCTGCGTACCTCGACAGGCCGCCTCACCCGCCAACTGGCGAAGCAGCCCATCGCGCTCCCCCTCCACAATGGCCTGTCAATCCCTTCTCCATTCCAACGAGCCTCGATGGCCTCCCTCGTCCCTCCCGTTACTCAAGACAGCACCTCGCGCCAGGGTCCCACAGCCATGGTCTTCATGAACATGGGCGGACCGTCCACCACCGCCGAAGTAGGCGACTTCCTGTCCCGCCTGTTCGCCGACGGCGACCTCATCCCCCTGGGTCCCCTACAAGGGTACCTCGGCCCTCTCATCTCCCGGCGCCGCACGCCCAAGATCCAAAACCAATACCAGGCCATCGGCGGCGGCAGCCCCATAAGAAAATGGTCGGAATACCAGTGCTCGGAAATGTGCAAACTTCTCGACAAGCTGAGTCCTGAGACGGCCCCGCACAAACCCTACGTCGCCTTCCGGTACGCCAACCCACTGACCGAAGAGATGTACGAAAAACTGTTGAATGACGGCTTCGGCCGCGGACGCGGCGGCCGTGCCGTCGCCTTCACCCAGTATCCGCAGTATAGCTGCTCAACGACGGGGTCGTCGCTGAACGAGCTCTGGAAATGGCGCAACCGGCTCGAAGGCAAGCGGTCTCTCGGGGACGCCAAATCAACCGCGCCCGCGACCGCGACTGCGACTGCCACCTCAGCCCTCGAAGGCACAATAACATGGTCCGTCATCGACCGGTGGCCTACGCACCCAGGTCTGGTAGAAGCGTTTGCGCAGAACATCGAAGCCAAACTGGCCGAATATCCGCCCGAACGACGCAAAGATGTCGTGATCCTCTTCTCCGCACACTCGCTGCCCATGAGCGTGGTCAACCGCGGTGATCCCTACCCCGCCGAAGTGGCCGCCACAGTGCACGCGGTGATGACCCGGCTGGGCCACTCCAACCCATACCGCCTGTGTTGGCAGTCGCAGGTCGGACCGTCGGCGTGGCTGGGCGCGCAGACCAGCGACACGGTCAAGCAGTACGTGGCGCGCGGGCAGACGGACCTGATCCTCGTGCCCATCGCCTTCACGTCCGACCACATCGAGACGCTGTACGAACTGGACCAGGAAGTCATGCACGAGGACGCCAAGGGCCACCCGGGGGTCAAGCGCGCCGAGTCTCTGAACGGGAACCTCGTCTTCATCCAGGCCCTGGCGGACATTGCCCACAAGCATCTCCAGAGCGGGGAGAGCTGTTCCCGACAGATGGGCCTGCGCTGCCAGGGGTGTAAGAGCGAGAGGTGTCTGGAGCAGAAACGGTTCTTTGCCGGCGAGCAGGCCAAGATCCTGCCGACTGTACGATAAGGAGGGAGGAGAAGCGAGAGAAAACGAACGAGGGAGCGTACGTGTCAGTGAATGAGGAATGAGTAGACTGGCTGATAGAGCGTATATATGTATGTATGTGTATATGTGTGTATGCAAGTATCTGAGTCCTCGGCATCGAACGGCATGCCGCACTTGACACTCCGGCTCAATGTACAGTGTACAGTAGTAGTTCCAATTACCGTACCGTCCAAGATGATGCACATGTTCTACTACTATCTACCTACTACCCACTTACTACCTTACAGGAAAGATTTCCGAAGAGAATCGTCTGCCTGCCTCCCTCTCTCCCTCTCTCCCTCTCTCTCTCCACTACGAGAGCGCGACTGCCACTGCCACTGCCACTGCCACCGTGCACTGAACTGAAGCGCGAGTAAACAGATACGTAGACAGCACCTTTTCCGCCAGGGCAGTGGACGTAAGCCGACGTGGCCTCAATATTGATGTATAGAGAGAGAGACAGAGAGAGAGATATATATATATATACATCTTTCTGACTGACTGTATGACTGACTGTCTGACTGACTGACTGAGTGTGTATGTGTAAAGATCATGAAAACTGCCCGAGGCCAAAGCTTTCTCTAACACTACATGTACGTACCTACATTGGTAGTATGTGGTGCAGTCACATACGGCCCTGCTTCGAACTAGTAGGTATTATACACGGCCCTGCAAGTCCAGTAGCTACATAGCTGGCTCAACGTGAATCAAGCACTCCGACCGCATGCGTGCAGCACTCCAGAAAGAAGCAGCTCCCTTGGCTTTCAGTGCTGTACATGTGTCGATAGATTTTCCATTGCTGCGGCAGGACCGGTCCCATGGCATTGCGGTATGGCCTGTCCAGACCAGGTCCTTGCCCCTGTCTATTCTTCTGAGGCGGCTCAACACAACCCGTGCATACAAATACATCCGAACCACCCGAGTCCAATGCTCAATGCCGCGCCCCCCGATATAGATTCGAACCCCCGATTGCTTCTGTCCGAGGATAATAGCCGGAACGTGCCTCTTTGTCCTGCTTCCTATTAATACCGTTATGCGTCGTGTTCATCAGATCCGTTCGAACCACCCTTGCCACCTGTGCTTTTGTCTTGCAGCGTCCAATCACAAGCGAAATCAAGACCTCATACAGCTCATGCACCGCCCATACCGAGATCGCCCTCCGCATCGACAATGGCAAGCCGCTGCTTTGCCGTCTTGGCTTTCTTGCTCACTCCCCGACCACCTCGAGAACCGGGGCCCTTCTTCGGCGTGGAGGTCTCGGCCGTGCTCACTGGCGTCGCCGCCCCTGATGGCTTCGCTGAAGCGTCTTCGAAATGTCCTTCGCCTACGGATATAACGTTAGCCACAGCACAACGACGGGTCGGTCCACGCAGCCCAATGGCTTACCTTCATGGTACATGTCATCCAGACTCATCTCGCCCTTCTTCTTTCGAGCCGCAGCCGCTTGGGCTTTCTTACTCTGCCTCTTCTTCGAATTTTCATCTTCGGGCTTTTCAGCAGCCTCTTTCTCCTTCTGCTCAATGAGCGCAGCCTGATCGTCGTCGGCAAGCCACATCGCAATGTCTTTGGTGCGGTTCTCGCGCCTATCACGAGTGTTGAAGTCTACACCAGCACCATCTCCACCAGTGATGACCACACGTTGGACTTCTTCCTTTTGCATGGCCCGCTTGCGAATTCGTTCTTCGATGGTGCCGCGAGTGATGAGGCGATAGACAGTGACCTGCTTGGTCTGGCCTAATCTGTGCGCTCGATCCATGGCCTGAGAGTCGATGGTGGGATTCCAGTCCGAGTCGTAGAAGATGACCGTGTCGGCAGACGTCAGATTGATACCAAGACCACCGGCACGAGTGGATAGCAGGAAGATGAAGATCTCCGGTCTTGTCTGGAAGTCGTGCACTGTGTCCCGACGGTCTTCCAGTTTGGTGCTTCCGTCCAATCGACAGTACTTGTAGTTGCGGTATGTGAGATACTCTTCCATCAAGTTGATCATACGAGTCATTTGGAAGTACAGCAGCACACGGTGGCCACCATTCTTGAGTTCCCGGAGGAGCTGGTCCAGTTTCGCAAGCTTGCCGGAGTCTGTCACGAACCTGCGCATCGAAGGGACGGTGATATCGGTGTACCGGGCCTTCACGTTCTCGGGCTTGGGCAGCAGGTCGCAGACCGGGAAGTCGGTGGGGTCCACATCGCGTTCCAACAGCTTCTCCTCGACGGATTCCTCAAGTCCATACAACGGAGCCCGTACATCCATGTTGAAAAACGTCAGCTGGCGTTCAGAAATGGAGGACTGGTCGAAGCAACTGATCTCAATCGGTGGCGCCGATGCCTTCTGTCTTGCGGCCGGCTCGATCACTGCCAACCCTTGATCATCTACAGTGTCCTTAGATATATTGCAGAGCCTGGCCAGGGGCGAATTGGGATCCAGATCCATGAGGGCTCGCCGAGGATTGTTGTTGACGATGTTGAACATAGCATGCACTGGCGGGCCGTGCGCGTCCTCTTTCTCATCGTTGTCGTCGTTTTCCTGGAATATGCATAAGCTCCGCTTAGGCTGTTTCTTTACGCGAACGCTCCGCTCAAAGACACCCAGATCGGCAGCAGAAGCAGCTTCGCCAATCGACGTATCGACAAAGCGGAGGAAGGAAAAGGCTCCATCGCTCTGCATGGAGGACTTGATGTGCTCAGGAGTCCAGATCCGCATCAGCCCACCCATTCCGCTTGTTCTGAAGCCGGCTCGTCTGAAACCGGCCTGAGAATTGCTCGGTCCAGGAATGTCCAGTCTCCCGACATCGTTGCATAGTATTCGAGGCAGGTCGTACTGGATCTGGTTGCGAACAGAGTAACCAACCTGGACGAAGGATCCTTCTCGAACAAACGAGGCAGTCTCTGCATAGTACGACATCGAGTACGGCGACGCAGTATCAGCCCGCTCGAACAGGTCCGGATGGTTGCATACTTTCCTGAACTGCATGACCAGGTTCATCAAAGTGGCAGAGTCCTCATCGCTACCCAAAGTTGCCTTCTCGATCAGGTCCATAATGCTGATCTTGCTGCGGAGATTGGCATAGTATGCTCGTTGTCGGTATGTCAGTTCGCAGAAGACGTCCTTCTCCACCTTGTCGCCTAGCTCCTTCTGCACATGGGCCTTAACACGACGCAACATGAATGGCTTGAGAATCATGTGCAAACGCTTAAGCTGGTCTTGATTGAGTTTCGTGTTGCTCTGAGCATGGCTTTCAATGTCCTTGGAGAACCAGTCGCTAAACTCGTCGTGTGAGTCGAACAGGGTCGGCATGATGAAGTGCAGTAACGCCCACAGCTCCTGCATGTTGTTTTGAATTGGTGTACCTGTGAGCAATAGGCGGTTGCGGCATTGGAAAGCCAGGAGGGTCTTCCATCGCGAACTGCTGGACGATTTGATTGCCTGCGCCTCATCCAAGATCATGTACTGCCATCTGATCTTCTGGAAGTACTGCGCATCCTGAACCACGAGTTGATATGAGGTAACAAGGACGTGAAATTCAGAGTCCTTCGTGTAGGTGATGTGTTTCCGGTCCCAGAATTTGCGTAGAACCTTGCGATCCTTTGCGCTGCCCCAGTACGGAAGGACCTTGATAGCTGGCACGAACTTTGTGATTTCCTGCTGCCAATTGTGCAGCGTTGAGGCAGGAGCAATGACCAGGAACGGACCCCAGATGTTGTGTTGCTCTGCAAGATAGCCCATGACGGAGATAGACTGAACAGTCTTGCCGAGACCCATTTCGTCGGCCAGAATACCGTTGATACCTTGTTCGTACAGGTTGACCAGCCAGTTGAGACCCTTGAGCTGGTATTCCTTGAGTTGGGCCTGCAGCATCTTTGGTTGAGACACTTGAACATCGCCGGCCATGGTAGGATTCTGGAAGTTCATGTCGCTGTTGTCAAAGGCGGCCATCTGATCATCGCCGTTGAAGTTTCGAGCTTTGTCTTGGGCGTCTTGCAGGGCGCTCGCAGCGTTGGCCATCGCGGCTTTACGCAGGTCAGACTCATCTTCGGCATCAAAATCGAGATCTTCGAAGTTGGTGACCTTATGGTTTCCGTGCTCGTCCGAGAGCGACAGGTCATCCATACCCTTGTGGGCGCGGACGTCCTTAGCTGTGGTCTTGTTCCCTGACCCGGCAACCTCAGGGTCATCCGTAGCACGCTCGATCTCGTCGGTTTTGATCTTGCGACTGATGAAGTGCGAGTAGAGCTCGGTCTGTGAGATGAGGAAGTTGAGTTTGCGTTTCTGTCGGTTGGCCTCGCGATCGGCTTCAGCCTTCTTCGCATCCTCAATCTCCTTCCTTTCCGCCATGCGGCGTAAGTCGCGTTCTTCTCGTTCATTGCGTTTCCAGAAGGACATCATCTCACGCATGACCCGTTTCGCCCTGGCTTGCGTATCTTTCATGCTCTTGTTGGTGCGTTCCTGCCATTTACGCGCCTGTTTACTTGCGAGAATGGACGTCTTCCGCAGGTTTTCTCTCTTGGTCTGATCCGAGGCGTTCTTGATCTTGTGGACCTTGGGAATGTCCTTCCTGGCCATATCTCTCCAGATCTGCTCATAAATCTGGTTGTAGCCCTTGGACTCATAGTTGACTGTGGGCGCAGGAGGAGTCGTAACCACGGCCTCCTTGGATTTCTTGCCCTTCGGTGGAGGGACCGGGGTGGCTTCTTCTTTCGGGGCTATATTGATGAGCGCGTCTCGTTCCATCGCATCATAGGCGGCTTGTGCAGCATCTTTTTCCGCTTGCTTCTTCTCTTTTGACTTCTTGGGACGGGCGGAGGGAGCACCGGGCTCCTTCTTGGTGCGCTTCTTGGGCGGCTCGCCAGGTTCGGGGGTGTCGAGCTGGAATGACGACGTGATGCCTCCATCGTAGTTTGGTGCAGGAGCCGGGACTTCCATATCCTCCGGCGCAGGAGGGTCTTCGTTGCGAGCGATAGTCTGTCGGATTTTGGCCTCCAGCTTCTCCGATTGTTGTTTCAGTTTCTGTTGTGCTTCTTCGTCGGGAGCATCTCTAGCCTGCTGCTCGAGCTCTTCTAGTCGCTCTCTGTCATTGCGAATTTGTTGCTCACGGCGGCGCTTTCTCTGCATATCCTTCTTCCTTTCTTTCTCGCTCTGATGGTCCTTGTCCGCGATCTCTTTAGCAGCAACAGGTTCAAACCGTTCGCGATAGCGAGCAGCAGCCTGGTAGGCGTGCTTGTCCATGCCATGAATGTGGGAGTCAAGATAGTACCCCCGACGGCGCTTTAGTGAGGTCAGTTAGGTCTCCTAGGAAGGCAATGCGCAAGGTATGGTCACTTACCTTCCGCTTGTGTAATTCGCTGTCGAGGACGATTGCCGCTCTTTTCTTGCTTCTCTGCTTATAGAGCTGCATGTGTTCAGCCCAGCCAGCATCTTCAACATCGCTAAAAGCAATCTCGTCGATGAGGTTTAAAGCCTTCGATATCTTTTCAAGCTCCTCATCCGTGGCCTTCGTGCGAGGCGGCGGAGGGGGCACATATCTTCTCTGAACCTGCACGGTCTCGGTCTTGGGGGCCGGTTTGGGGTCACCGTTCACGACAGACAGAATCGAGCCGATTTCCGGCAGCTTCGTGGGCTTCTCGGCAACCGGCTTGCTTTCCGCAGCAGGTTTTGAGGGAGGCGTCGCCGGCCGCGGCGCAGGCTGTTTGGATTCGGATGGTTTGGGGGACGGCTCATTGTTTGAGGGACCCAGAATGCTTGCGAAAGACATCGGGTTGCTCGATCTCTCAGGTCTCTGTCGAAACAAGTCAGCATACTCCCTGGCATCGTCAAGGTGTGATCTCACGTCTTTTGACTGCGGTCGCGACTCTGACGAAGATATCTCGCTGGGTCTTCCATTAGTGAGGCTATGGTACTCCCTCAATGGTGACTGCAACGCGGAACTTGTAGGATGCGCGTGGGAGGGAGTGCCGTCGTACTGCGGCGGCATTGTCGGATGGACAAGATGGCCTGAGTATGATCTCTGGAGCGCGAATGGAGGGCTCGATGGTAACGGTTGGTATTGCGGGCCTGCGCCTATCGATGGAGGAGGAGGTGGTGGTGGTGGTAGAGCGTTTGGCGCAGGTAAAGGCGACGCCAGCGTCGGGCGATTGTGAAGCGGGCTCTGTACCAAGGAGGTGGGAGGGAAGGGAGGGGTCTGGACGAGGTGTTGAGGAGGCGGTATTGAGAAGGGTTCATGGCCGAAGAATGGGCGGTTCGGGCGAGTTGGTGAATATGGTGGAGGATATTGATTCGATTGCGACGGTGATCGCACCGCGTAGGGCGACGAGCCAGACATTGTGGAATTCTTTTCGGGGCGCCGTGTCCACGGACGGTCGCGTGGGTTTAAAATTATCGTGAAGGTGTTGTCCAACTGACAGGCACCGGTGGTAAGGATTTATCTTTCGCCCTCGTTCGCATTTGCCATCATCAACCCGGTGGTTCAGTGGTGCGAGCGGCTTAGACGGTTTTTTCTCGACAACAGGATGGTCGATGTCAAGGTGGACTGCGGAGGATGGCCGAGCCTTCAGTCCGTGCCTGAGACTTCCACAGGAGTTCGGCTGATGCAGCCAGATCGTGTCCTCGGGTTGGATTCAGTTATTCAAGGGGGCAGGTGGCATCAGCGTTGAGCTGGGAAATGGAAATCTAAATGACCTCCTCCCAATTGGGAGATGAGATTGTGTTGATGAGTTGATGGGTTGATGGGAACAGGGCGAGGGTGAAGAGGGATGGTGGCGATGAGAAGACGCCGGGTCATGGTTCAGTCGCAGCTGGTGCAGCCGTAACTGCATCGCAAAGCCAAAGCTCACATCCGCATTACTATCCATCGCAAATCGCAGCCCGACGAAGACTCGCTGGCCCTGGTCACGTGATGCGAGTCTGCTACTCTAAATGTACAGGGGTCTATATAGGCGTGCCGATGACGATGGAGTTTTATCAACAGCGTCCTGAATTTGAAGTTTCCCGGATGCACGGTGCGTGCTCTGGAGTTGAGGTGTCTCTGTGCTGAACGTGCCGGAAGGGGTGTGCAGGGCGGCGGCTTGGAAGCGCAGAGAATGACGGGGCGGGTGCTGAGGGCAGCCTCTGACTTCGACCTTGCTCAAGAATCCCCCGTCTCGCGATGGGGGAAGATGAACACAGGGCACACGCCCTCACTGGCACACAGGCACACTGGCAGCTCCCGAGACAGCCAAGGTGGGGCTGGAAGCGTGTCATTGATTGCTGCAAGCGATGACTTGGCGCGCGCTCCCGTGCCATATCGGGGCCACTCCAAACTCTATTGCTTCCATGTCTCTTTGGCACCTGTGGTGACCATAAGCCTGCGAGATCCCCTTATTCGCCTGCCTGTGGTCTCGCTCTTCACCACCGACTCGAGCCCCGTATTCCGGGCCCTGTCGCGGGAGTTCTTTTTTGATCAAGACCCAGTCCAGCATACGTGCGAGCAATCTTGATGGCGCCAAAAGGCAAAGATTCCGGCAAAGCCTCATCCGGCAACGGTAAAGGCAAAGGCAAAGGCAAAGATGACGATGGTTCATCAGCTGGTGGCGGTGGAAAGCTCAAAGCAGCCCAATCCATCAATGTCAGACATATCTTGGTAGGTTGATCGAGCACTCGACTCTTCCGAGAACCCGATCATGTCTGTTCCAAGGTGAGCTGATTACCGGCCTTCAATCAGTGCGAGAAGCACTCGAAGAAAGAAGAGGCCCTGACAAAGCTGCGAGAGGGTGCGAAATTCGACGATGTGGCGCGGGACTACAGCGAGGACAAGGCTCGACAAGGTATGACTGAGTCGTTATTCGCCGTTGGCCTTTCGGCAATGCATGGCATCAGCAACCCGCCGAATCCGTCCGTCAGATCGGCTAACATGAACCAAAATTCTTGTCATACAGGCGGTTCATTAGGCTGGAAAACGAGAGGCAGCTTACACGGCGATTTTGAGAAAGTGGCCTACGAGCTGGAACCATCCACCACAGCCAATCCCAAATGTGAGTGATCTTGTGGTTCTTGATTTTGTATGTTCAGCCTGCTGGGTATCAATGACCGTGTGTTGCTGTTTATTCTATCTACCTGTACAAACGGTACGGTCGGCGAAATGAGCGATGTGAAGCTATCTGAGTTCTTCCAAAGGAAGAGGAAAAAAGCCAGCGTATGTGCGACAAGATGGGCATGCTGTGCGAACATCCAAACAGAAGGACCGTTTCCCCTTTGTCGCCTTTCGCTGATCATCGGTTCGCCACACAGATGCCGAAGTGAAAACAAGTCATGGCTACCATATCGTCATGGTGGAAGGCCGTAAGTAAGTGCTGTCGCGATTCATGAACCGGGATTGTCAGTGGATGAGTGGACTGGCGACGGTCACGTCCGCGAGGACATCTAGGGCAATGTGGTCAAGGTGGTGCTTTCGTTTCCGGGGAGACTTGTTCTCGGGCAGGATCATGATATCGATGATTGGCAGTCTGGCTTTGGCGGGTTCTGGGGGGGTGCGACTAGCCTTGGGTGGACCGTCCACGCTGGAATGTACGGACCCGGCTGGACTGAGTCGGTCTTGAGGCGGAGTAATGCGAGCAGCCTGGTGAATAGCCACCTGGGTTGCCTGCTCAGAAGCCCTCTCCTTCAGCCGTTCTCCGAGGTCCAGTGTCAGAAAACCACTTGATCTGACCTCCTCTTGTGGTGGTGACAGGCGTTGTGGCAGATTGACAAAAGTTGCAGGTCGTGGCACTTCGGCAACCAGGTTGAGAATGCCGCTAGAACGAGGTCCCTCGGGCACGACAGCAGGAGGCGGTGCAACACCGTTGGGAGACAGCGCCCGCGAAGACGGCGTGCGGACGGATGCTCCGTCGTTGCTGGAAGAGATGCGCCTGAAGTTATCATCGGCTGATGACATGTAGTCGGGTTGGAAGTTTTGCTCGTGAATGTGATTTCGAGCCACCCGTCGCCGCTTGGACCGGCTACCCTCGAGTTCATCCATTCTCTTCTCCATCAACATGGTTGCATCGTCGACCGCGACCACACGTTCTCTCAGACGAACTTGCTCGTCATAGTTGCCCTCGACCTTGTCTTCGATGTCAACGATGCGTCGACGCATTTCCTTTTCGCTTTGGTAGAAGGGCGCCAAGGCCTCGCGCAAGATGCGCACTTCTCTCTCCCACATCGATCTTTCCCTTTGTAAAGCATTTTCTCGATCGCTGCGCTCATTCTGGATTGTCTCTTCCATGCGCTTGACTTTTTCAACGAGGATGTTTATTTTATCAAGAAGGGCATTGACTGTATCTGAAGGTGGCTGTTTATCATGGGTTTCATTATGGACGTGGTAGCACGCTTGGTGACCACATTCGCAGATTGTGCCTGGCGCGCTGCGACTGAGATGGAAGGACTGGCACGAACATCGTTGATTCTGTGCCGCAGGGTGTAGCAGGAGATAGCGACATTCTCCGGCGGGAAGGGGTCGGGCGCCTTCACCGGGCAAGCGGAGAGGACGATGTTCGTGGGCAAAGGGTGAGGGAAGCGGCAGCGCGTTCGAGCCAAACATCTAGCCCACGGCCGTGCGGCACGTAAGTCCGACTAGAGACTCCGAAATCCAATGAGCGAACCTCTATAAAGCATACAGAGATGCCCGTGAGGTTAAGAGGTCCCGGGGGAATCCCCCTCCTCCCCCTCAGAGGAGGGCGATATCACCAGGTGTACGATATTTGTGTCCAGGGAACTGTCTGGAGTGAACTGTTTGACCTGCGAGCTGTCAGCCTCCCTTATCGTTATCGCGGGTCAAGGTACGGTGAGTGACCCTGGCGGTGTCACGTACGCAGTCTGTCGGGGCTGGGTGTTACCACGGCGCGAAGCTCTTTCTCAGAGAACTCCAGCTGAACGTGTACCACAGATAAGTGCTCATTGTAGATCGGCGACGAGGGATTGAGAGGAGAGGGAGAGGGCGAGGGGGGAAAACAAAGTTCGCGGAACTGGCAAGCAGTAAACACTGCTGATGGTCAAGAGCAGTTTATCAGCTAGGTGGATGTTCTTGGATGGACAGCGATGAAAGGCCGTTATCTGGCGTGGATGCTGAGGTGCAGGACGCAGTCGCCCAGTGCGTCTCGGGTCAATCGAGGGTTTCTGCCGGCAAGACAGAGTCAGGGAGGCATGTGCCTGCGTGCCGCCAGGCAAATGGGCCTTGTCAGTCCCGTTGGAGTGGGTCGGGTCGAATCAGACGGCGTTTAGCAATCGGGGGTGTCAGGAAATGGCAGAATGCAGCCAGGGTGGACATGGATCGGAAGAAGCGTTGGCGTGCTGCTAGCCTCCAACGATGCCCGACGTTTCGTCGCTGGTGTGTAACGCAGGCAGGCGATCTTGATGGGCTGGATGGCTGCTGATGCGCACGGCCAGTTGAGAGATGATGGTGTATGATAAGGATAAGGCTAGTGAGGCTGCTTCAACTGCCAGGTTCTCGTTCTTAGGCCTTGACTCGCTCAGCACTTGCATTTGTCGCGGTAAGGCGGAACGGAACAACGTGGGATCCCCGCCGACAAGGTTCGACTCGAGCCCGTTCTTGACCCCCACCAAAGGATCCTTGTTCCTTCCATATCATCATGCAACTTTCGTATGAAAAGGAAAACATCCCTGAGGAAGCGAAGGCCCGCCCAAGAGGGTGAGCGAGATAGCGGCAGCAGCAGCAGCAGCATCAGTCACCAGTCAGTCCCGGTACATGGATGCGTTGGAAAGGCGGACTCCTCGATCACTTCACCTCCTCCCTAGGTTGTACTCAGCCCGAACGAGCGTGTCGAAGTGGGGTTTACCCTCCCCCATGGGAGAGGTTCGGGAGTGGAACAACGCGACCATAGCTCGTTCTCGGACACCAAATCGCGATGTGATAGGGAAGTACCGGAGAGTGCCCATTCAAAAGTTTGAGGACGGATTACAGGGTACAGTACTCCGTTCCTGCCTAGTCGATCTGTCACTTTCAGTGCAATTACACATGGCAATGAGATGCTCACTGGCCAGCAATTTGACCGCCTCTGATGTACTGGGTACTCCGTACATGTGCATTCTGGGACGCCATGATTGTCAGGGACGGCAACCGCGAGGGCCCGGGCCTGCCGTTAGATCAACGATATTAACTCGTAGTCAAGACCCAGTCGAGCCCGGACATGCAGAACTCTGACCCAATGGGTCACAATCATTCTCCCACTGTGTAAGCATGGGGGTATGGGATTGGGGGGAGGGGAGCAGTGATGGACTGTTGGGTACGAGAAAGGTGGTGTGCCACGAGTGGGACGGTTGATAGGCTGTAACCCGTACAGTACGGAGTAAACGTGCCTGGAAGATTCCATCATAATCATCTACTTGTTCGTGCTCGAAAAGCCTCGAGCACGGAATCGACTCTAGCCCCCGTGCCCCAAGGCAAAGACCCCTCGCATCTCAATATGGTGGAGGATACACGGCCAGTCCACTGTTGATCACCAGGTGTTGACCTCATCGGAATCAGTTTGTCCGGTTTGCATGAAGCAGTCTCTCGCCTAATACCTAACTAGGGCCTGATCGCTCTCCTGCCAGCGAGACCAAAATCGGCACAATTCAGCGAACGGTTTCATAGCGAATTTTCGAGAAGGCCTAAATATCCGCGACTTACTGCCGAGGCTTTGTCGCTTCGAGGTCACAGCTAAGGGTAAGAGTTAGGTAACTGTGTCACACGGCAGGACTCTCCCACACTATCGGTGCCATGGTCGCCTTGGTGGACTGGGTCCTGGACTGTCGAAGGCCAAGCGTCAAAGCGCTGGAGGCCTGCGCAATATGTCACGCATTATCGACGGTCTTCCCACCCCTGGCGTGGTGACATGCGAGTCACGTTTTGGTGGCGAGTACAAAGTACACAGTAAGCATGTCTTTCGTTGCCTGCTCATTCACTGCGTGACCGTCGTCTCCAACGTTTTTCCGACTGGAGCAAGAATGACGAGCCGGGTTCGGCGGCTGTAGGCAGCAGTGGCTGAGCAGCTGAGTAAGAGATCGTTTTGGCGGTGCCGACGGCGCCGGAACCACCAACGTCTCATAATCAATGACTGGACGCTGTAGAGACCACCGACGTCTTTGTCGATTGGATTGATGAGCCGCTTGCCCTCGGCTCATTTCGTCTTCAGACACAAGGAAAGACGATTGTGAGACTCAACTTACCATCTCACAGAACCCTCGGCATTAGCGACTGCGCAGCCTTTGCAAGAGGAAGCCAGCCTCAGCCATCAGCAAATTGAAACCGTGAAGCGCATGCGCTCACCTACCGCAGCCTGAGCAGCAACTTATTACCTCTCGCTCTCTTCCCCTTCTCCTCTACGCTCCCTCCCACGCTCCGCTTAAACAATGGCCGACAACCAAAAATTCGAACCTCCTTCGGGCCCTCCTCCCGGCTTAGCACTACAAGCGCCCCCCCAAGTCCACCACGATGCCGGCCCTTACTACCCGCCCGACGCCGCGATCGACAACACACGTGGCCCTCAAAAATACCCGCCAGCACAAGATCCCTCTGGAGGCTACCTACCGCCCCAAGGCTGGAACCAAGGTCCACCAGGTGGTCCATGGCAGGGCCCGCCAGGTCAACAACCGCCCTATGGCTATTATGGTCCGCCAGGGCCGCAGCAGGGCATGTATTACCAACAGGGACCGCCGGTAGTGTATTTAGACCGGAGTCGAGGCCAATCAGGCGCAGATGGGTGCTGTGCTGCGTTTCTCGCCGCCTTGACGTGCTGTTGTTGTCTTGAACTTTTGTTCTAAAGCGATGACATGGGATTGTATGATACTAGGCGTTCAGGCGGATTTGGCCGGGATGTGTCGGCGTTGAAGAGACCTCCACAGGCGACGAACGGCTTTCTTCTGGAACCACAGGATGGCTTCATGGTAAGAGATGTTCCTGGATTTGTGTGCCAACACGGGGAAAAGCATATTGATTTCCAACCTGTTTCTTGCAAGAACGTCGAACATGGCATCGTCTTCATGCTTTCTACGTCCCGCTCGAATGGAGGCCAGTGAGACAAGAATCATAACGCACACACCTTGTTCCACCTCGTCTCCCCTGCTCTCTATATTTACTTCACTGGCACTGCACATTGATCAATCCTCTGTTCTGTTTGTTCGTTCGTTCGTTCTTCGACTATCACGGGCCGGAGCGTCACCAGCGTGAGATATCACCGTGCTGGCTGCCTGCCTCGAGCAATCGGGAAGCTAAACCATCACCATGCGATATGGGTACCACCGAGCCAGTCAACCTCTTAAGCAGCCCCCAACAACCCTACCTACCAGATGTCCCTCAAACGCCGGAAACCCAACAAATGTGCAACCCGAGCTGTGGCATCCTTCACGTGAGCAGATCTCATCTTCTCGGCGCGGAACGCACCACAGTGAGCGAAAGAATCGATTCGGGTTGACGTTCTAGTCATCGAACATCGAATATCGAGCATCGAGCAAAAACCCCTCCATTTCATTCCCTCATATACGTGGCCCCTAACCGTCCACATCATCCAAAATCTTTCACAAGGGTGGCGCGAGTAGATCCAAGCATACGACGCCAGACCAGCAATCAATCAATCAATCCACCGATCCAGCAATGATGCAGCCCCATCTCTCCTCGAAGTACACCTCCCTCGGAAAGAGACCCAAGGTGATCCTGCCGACTGATCAGATCCATCGCCTCCTCTGCATCACAGCGCTGCTTCCCGCCGTGATGCTGATGATGATCTTCTTCTTCTACTACTACTTGTTCTTCTTCGTCATTCAAGGCACCAAGGATCAGTATAGCCCTGTACTCCACCACGGCGGCGCGTCGCAGCTTAGAAGGAGATTCGATCAGAAAGCATCGTCACAGTCAGTGTCAGGGGCGGCAATAGGAACATGCTACGCTACAAGCGACCTGCCACTGATCGTGCTGGGCGTGATCTTCATGGTGCTTGGGCTGGAACTCACAGGGTGGTCATGTTGTATTGTGTCTAGAGGCCGAATGCGGGTGTCGAGGAGTTTTGGTGGGTGATAGGGAATCTAGAGTCGGTGCCTATTGTATTGTGAAGCTGGGCAGGGAGCATGCCAAGAATCAGGTTAATGGATGCAAGAATGACACTTAGGCTGAGGGACATGCAAGCTCTCAATTGTTAATTTGTTGGCAGAACGTCTGCTCAATTGCAATCGTCATCACATAAGGTACTGGTGGATAAGCCACGGGTATAATACAGGGATGGGTCTGAGAACCACAGCCATCTGATCGCAGATCAGTGGTAAAAATCAGCACCGGCATACGTTGGCATCATTTCGTCTCGTTCATTTCTTCACCATAAGCACTGCACCGTCATACACCTTTTGAACTTCAGGTGTCACCATGGTGAATGGCTTGGCGTCCCGTCCTGCAAACAGACCGATGACCGTGGCGAGCGCTGGTCGGGCATCTCTCTGCACTGGCGTCCAGTGTCCGCTGCGTGGTAGGAGTGTGACTTCGCTGTATTTCGCCAGGTAATCTCCAATGCCGTCCAGACAGATTGGTCGCGAACAAGCTTGATCTTTCTCCCCCCAGAGAACGTAGGTAGGTGCATGCAAACTTCCCTTGTACTGATCGAGGAACAAAGAGTTTGAGACCGAGGAACGACGGCGACCAGGACTACTGGACTCGGATGCCGAAGTCTCAAGAGCATAGAGGTCAGTGATGGTCTCAAGCGACTTCGCCCATGGTCGCCAACCTGCCCCATCACGGTAATAACCTGTCATGTTCCAGAATGCTTCTCCTGGGGATTTGGCCCGTTCCAGCACGCTCGAACCGTAAGTGTCTCCATGCTTCTCTCCATCAACGCCATTTGTGCCATTGATTGTGGAAGTTGATGTTCTGCACTCCTCTGGCCCGGGGCCAAAGCTCGAAGCCATACACTCCTGCACACGGTACTCCTTTGAGCCTCTGCCATATCCAGACCAATTCGCTCCACGGACGAATGAGTAGTTTCCGGCTACGCCTAGATACTTGACAAGCACTGCTGGAAGGTGGAAGGCGAAGATGTAGCCCATCAACATGGTTTGCATCATCAATGGTTTCAAGGCATTGAAGGCCTTGGACAGGCAGCCGAAGTTCTGCTTTGGGGCGTGTTTGAACTGTTTGAAGATCTTCGAGGCCGAATTCAAAATCCGGTCTTTGTTTGCGAAAGCGAGTTCGACCTGGGGGTCCGGTCAGCCGGTGGACACGAACTACTTTGTAACATGACTTACATGCGGCGCATTGGTCAGAATGAATCGATCGGCGAGAGAGGACGCTTCCGCGGCCAGGCGGAACCCTAGCACACAGCCCCAATCGTGACCAACAATGAAGGTGTTGGTGTCCTCAGACGCCTCTGGCGGGATGTATTTGTCTCTCATGGCCACCACGAATTCTGTGAGCGCTTCGAGGACTTCCGTGTCGTACTTCTTGAAGCTGTCACTCCCGCCGTAGCCTGGCAGATCCACGCAGACAAGTGTAGCATCTCGCACTGGCATAGCCGGCTCTTGCATTAGATGCCTCCACATCATCGAGCTGTCGGGGAACCCATGGAAGAAGATAACAAGATTGTCTCGCGAAGGTGTCGCTCGGTTGCTGATATAGTGTAGTTTGAGGTCGCTGCGCAGGGTATAGAAGTAATGCTTGAAGCCCGGTAGAGGTGCTTTGGCTAAATTCCAGAAACGATCTCTCTCTGTGATCTTGTCAGCATCGCCATTACACGTCTCGCTAGGTTATTCACCAATGGCAAATTGCAGCTCATCCTGCTCCGTGTCCTTCTTGAAGAAGGTTCCATTCTTGATGAACAAGCCCAGGAACAAGCACCAGTTGAAGAAGCCGAAGACATAGAATGAGGCTCTTCGAGAGAGTAGACCTATCACACTAGAGGCCATGGTGGTAAGGGCTAAATCAGAAGATGTTGGACCATCGAAGCTGGAGGGGTCGGTCCCTTCGACGGCGTTGTCAGCTCCTCGTCAAGGGCGGCACACCGAATGGCTCGGGCTTCGTCAGCGAGGTATTTCCTCAAGACTACATGTAGTGAGACGACGAGATAAGTTTCTTAATCTGGGTGGAAAGGGTGTCGGGAGACAAAGACAATCAAGCAACTCGTGACTGTTCAAAGGCCTAGCTTGAGGGCAGGAGCAAACATTCACTGCAGCGTGGCACCTGCCGAGACGATCCTTCCATCTTTTAGGGCCATGAGCACCATCTCGCTCTGCGTTCTCCCAGGATATGCCAGTCTGTGCACAAATCATCCAAGGGAACACAGGCAAACTCCAATTCCAGGCGACTCGCGTGCGTGAGATGGGGAGGCATCACGATGGATCGCCCGATGCAGAAGCGATAGACAACAGACACGCGGAAGAGCAGCGTGAGGTGGAGGTTCCGGCTCAACCCCGCTGTCCACCATTGGCACTGCCACTCTCACTTCCCACTGACTTTCCTCTCACCTCCCTCTCACCTACGAGTAGCTGTCCAGTTACCGATGACATGCAGATCCAGACTACAGGTCTCCCGACGCTTACCAACACCGCAAAACTCAGAACTTGCATGGAGATCTTCACTCATTGCGGTGTGCCATTGTCAGGGCAGCCCAATGCACATCTTTTCTTGTTGCAGCGGTGGTGACCATACCTCGTCAGACCTCATCAAGATGCTGAGCACCATAGGGTCGGACGCGTGCTGGCCTCGAATAACACGGTAAACTAGGGCCTGTCACTAGGCCCGAACAGCAGGCACGAAAGCGTCTTGAGAGACAAAGTCAGGGTTTTGAAATATGTCGCCCTCAGTTTGAACTGTCTATCTAACCAGCAGGCCCCGGGAGCCTGGGATATTGTCGCTGGTTTGCCCCTTTCCCTGACATCCCCAACTCGCGCTACCACAATTCGGGTGTGCCGACGTGCCGATCCCATGGTCCCCGGACAATATGTTAAGTCGTTATATGTGATGGAGCATGCGCAACAGGGAAGATCCGGGCAAACATCGACTGTACGACGCGCAACAACAGCTTTAACAAGCACCAGTAAACATCCTCCCTTGGTTAAGCGTACTGCCTAAAAGTCCTGGCGTCAAATCCAAAATCCCCTCGGTGGGCAAGTTCAGTGACATGAACTCAATCTTGTGCGGCGAAGACGTATAAGCGCCCTTGGGGGTGTCATATTGAACTGCCCGGGTTCGCGGTATCTTGCTTTGCTGAGACTAATCTGCAATAGAGCCTCTGGGATATCAAGCACCTAGTTCTTCCATGAACCCTGAGGAACTTAAAAGCAAACCGCTCCTTGCCCGGTACCCGGCGTTTTAATGTTGCACACCAGCAAGGCCTTGGCCGCTCCTCCTCAGCCCGCCCTTACTTCGCCGCTCGCATCTGTCACCAGCAATAGAAAACCATCAGGGTCTTCTCACGACATGTCGTGCCTTTCGACGGCCTCGCTGTCTCCTCGACCTGACCGTCTTGCGCCCTGGCGATCCAAGAGGCGGTGGCCCAGCTGTTGGGGACCCGCTTCCACCCGTAAACCATGGAGACAACGGTCAACGCGATGAGAATAGCCAAAAGTGGTATACCCCAAGCCAATTCTGACACCATATTGCTGTCTCCACGGTCGTGGCTAGTCACAGCTGTCTTCTGCGGGCTCTGGATCTCAGGTCGAATGTCAAGGCAAGTCCGCTTCCGTCCCGGTATGGTGTATTGCAGATCTGGCTTCCGTGGATTTGGTTCTCGGGTTTCTATGATAAATGAGAAAGTTCAAGCTCCGAATGCTGCTAGATATACTTCGTCAAGCTTTGATCGAGTGATAGTCAGGGCTTCACCACAGCCAAACGATGTTCCGCCCTGACTCCAGCCTGCTTCAAAGCTTCACAACGCACCAGCTACTGACTGCAGTTCCTCCACTGTGTCACTCTTCTTCATCTCTTTGGTCTGTGACAAGGCGTCCCTGATCAAACCGCAGCTGCTGGCGGGTCGCGAACGGGTCCTCGGTACCAACCACGTGCTGGCACCACGTCGACAACCCTGGATCGCGCTGGCGTTTTGTGTCTATACAGGACTACCACCACGATGAGTGCAGCGACAAGACAGAATACGATGGTGAAGATCGCACCCCAATTCATCACTGATATGTCGTCGAAACTGGCTTTATGTCTCTGGATTGGCTGCCTTCTTTCCGTGGTCCGTTTGTGGTCCTTGTTTTCGTCTCTCGAGGATTCTTTGCAGAGGTACTCGTGGAGGATGTCGTGATATTCCGACGATACAACGTGTTTGAAATCGCGGACTCCAGCCTGGGTCTTTATATTGATTTTGGGGGTGGCATTTGTTCCTTGCCACAGCAGAACAATCGCCTGCTGCCGGGTTTTGTCACAAGAGAACCGTCATGCAAACAATGGTGGTGGGTAAGTGGTCTCTTGCCGGTACACTCCGACTTCGTCACTGCAGCTAACATCATTCACATATGATGTGAATCAAGTGTGCCTTTCATAACACCCTCAGGGCTGTTGTCTTTGACTCACACTGCCGCAGCAATCCATCGAGCCAATCACTGCAGGGCCAGTCGACACACCAGAAACTTGTCTTCTCTGGTGTCACACGGGAGTGACTTTTAGAGGCTCGAGTTATTCAAGTGATGGATTGGCCGGGGAGGAATATCTGGAGACCCTGCTGGGGAGGGCCAGCCATCCTTCCCGCTGGGAAAGTAACCCTTGTTTACGAAGATTCGCTTGAATTCCCTGCTAACAGAGGTGCGTTCTGATCCCTTGCTGATGGGGAGCCGGTTTGATTCCCTGGTGGGAAGGATCAGTTTGGATCCCTACAGATGAAGAGTTATTTGTGTTTTCTGTTGGTGGTGGGACATTTTGATGCGTTGCCGGCGAAACACCACTTGTATCCGTCGCAGTGGGAGGAACGGTTGGAGTTCCTGTCGGTGAAGGACTGCTTGTATTTCCTGCCGCGGGAGGAACATTCGGACTTGCTGGCGCCGGAATGCCACCTATCTCTCTTGTTGGTGAAACATTCTGTCCTCGTGGTGGAAGGACAGTCTGAGTCCCTGATGGAGGGACGTTCTGATTCCCTCTTGTTGAAGGACCGTTTGTATCTTCTGTTGTCGGAGACACAATCTGGATTCCCGCCGCCGAAGGAACCCCTCTCGAGCCTCTTCGACGCCTCGCTCTACGCCGGCGAGCTGCGCGTTGATCCAGACGCAGTCTGGCATCGGTATTTGAGTTCAAGATGGCGATTGTGACGAAGACGGCAGCCGCAGAAATTAGGCAGAAGACGATGGTGAAGATTTCCCAACCACTAATCGCCATCTCGGCTCCGGTTGATGGGGTTCTGATATCGATCGGGGATGAAACGAGAAGCGTGGATTGAGTGGCTTGTGCGGTATTCTCAAGATCGAGGCAGCGTCAGTGAAGTAAGTCCTCTGTTTCTACCGGACTATTTATTTCATCTGAGCCGGATTCATCATTCCGTCGGCTTGCTGAGCAACCAAACGGCGGGCGCCATCAACTTTCTCTGACCTCTGGCCTCTAACCGCTGGCGGACCAACGGTTGATTAGTTGGCTGGGGAGTCAAACGCAGCTTGCGAACGAAGTCAGGACTCGAAGTTGAACTCCCAGTCGAATCAATGCTGGTATGGCATGGCAGAGCAGAACAGAGTCTAACCCGTCCATTCGATTTAATCTACCCAGTGTACATGCTCCAGTCAAACACCAACTCAAACGACAATCATCCCGGACGTGAACCAGGATGGTCGACCACCTGGCGTCTCTTTGCTGGTGTGACAGGAGGCGGCACCGTGCAAGCTGCCTCTACCTGGGTTGCCGAGTATGAGTGCGGCGACAACATAACCGCCTTTACCACTGAATACTCTCGCAGACACGGTTTCTCACTCGGGTGACACGAACTCTTACTTAGAGCTGTTGACTGAAGGCACGAGGCGACTCACGCGGAACGTTAGGTTCATTGAAACCAAGGATATCCGTGCTGTGCACGGAGCACATACGACGTACGTTGATCCTGTGGTCTCCTGGCACAGCACATGCAAGCAACGCTTCCTCAGGCCGGATCAAGCTCCCGTACCTACACAATCAAACAGGTCTCCCTGTAATGTCCACCAGCCTGTATCAAGCTCATTCCACACCGCGCCGCCTAAGCAGCCGCAGGCCCAACCGGCGCATTCGCGCCTCTGAGCCACGCGCCTTCACCTCCTTTGGCAGCACCATCACCCCGAGCAAAAAGCAATCCCAAAGGCGCAGGAGAAACACCCGTCCTCATGGCTTGCACGGCACGACCATCGATCTTCTTGGCCTGATCCCTCGCAAGCCCGACCTGGAGGTATAGGTTCCAGATGAGGGAGAGGAAGAAGAAGCCGATGGCAGAGAGGAAGAACGCGAGCGCTGCACTCTGCGGGAGTCCAAGTTGGCGGTTGGGTGGGTAAGGCTCGTATCCGCCGCCACTGCCTGCGCCAGAGCTCCGAGCCATTGGGGCGGTGCGCTTCTCAAAGGGCTCCTCGAAGGCGAACCCGAGTCGACGATTAGGCGGGTGGGGCTCGTACCCGCCGCCGCTGCCTGCGCCAGAGCTCCGAGCCATCGGGGCAGTGCGCTTCTCAAAGGGCTCCTCGAAGGCGGCGATATTGGATGCCAGGGGCAGTGGATCTTGGGGATCCGGAGTGCCGGGGGCCAGTGGAACGATAGCCGCCGGGGGGAGGTTGTCGACACTTCCTTCCTCGGCCTTATAAGGAGTCGGAGTCGGGTCGATAAGCCCAGTCTCCGATTTGATCGGTACTGGCGGTCCGTGTTCGGGGAGTAGCATGGCGTTGTGGTGGTCATGGCGATGATCACGTCTATGCCCATGCTCACGGCGCGCAGCAGAAGCTTGTGGCACGGCAGTGAGTGCGAGACCGAGAAGCGCCATGGAGGCGAGAGTCTTGATCGGGGCCATTTCAGCGGGGATCCGGTGGTGGACGGCTGAAATGGATATCTATGTTGAATTGTGGAGTGTAGTGATCGAAAGAGGGAGACTTGTTCTGCGATCTTTCGAGTCGAAGAAACAAAGGCTGTGGACGAGGGTGAGTTATGCAAGAGAGAAGTCCAGATCAGAGCTCAAGAAATGGGGAGAAAAGGCACCTTTATAGCCATGTCTCGCGTGTTCTGGTCTGTTTGTTTGTCGTGGCTCTGCCATTTTCGTTTGTTTGTCACGACCACGAGTGCGCTGCTGCGTGAGTGAGTGGGTGAGTGTCAGGGACGTCTCACTGTGGTGTCTCATGATCGGTCGGTATTACTGTCGTGGATGGCGACCGGGAAGCGAGTGACAATTAAGTGATGTATGTGGTCTGGCCGAGGCATATAAGAAGTGACAGATACATAGCCACATAATAGGGTGGATGAATGGACGATCTTCTATACTGTGACGCTATTCGAGGTGATGCGTGGAGGGAACATGGTCGACGACGTTGATATCATCACAGAGAGTGACCCAGCAAGTGAGTGAGAGGTGGATATTATCACTCCCGGTCCCCGAACAAGGTGACAGGTTATTGTGTTGTTTCGAGAGTGAGTGAGAGGGTACTGTGTACAGTATCACCGTCTTCTTCTCCTCCTTCACCAGTACATTCTGCTGGCGACTCGAGTACTGCATCTGACCTGCCCTGACGTCCATTTGCAGTCTTCTCCCATATCAGTCAGTATATGAGATAGGAAGCCCACCACCAGAACCGGTCAGCCCACTATTCTCAACTCCCACCGAACGCAAAGACCTCTTCATACCAGTTCACGCTTCGGCCATCCCGCCAGACCCAACGGCCGACAAGTCCTCTAACATGTCTGGACAACCCTGAAGGGCCACAGACAAAGACGCTGACACTGGAGTCGAAACTGACGTCTCGACCTCCGTCCATTGCCTTCGTGGACCAAAGGTCAAGCGCCGCCATAGTGTCCTTGTCCGGCGTGGCCGTGAACACCTCGTCTACACTCTCTCGCAGATCGGGCCTCCGTCGCAGATCCTCCACCTTAACCCCCTTGGCGCGCAGGAAAGGACTCCTCAGCGCTGCAGCATCGAGGCCGCCCCCTTCGATGGGATCAGGAACTGACCTCGTGGCGTAGATCTCCACGTCAAGAGCGTCGGCCACCCCTGCGTTGAGAGCGCCCAAGAGAAGGTCAACAACCCACTGCGCCTCCCTCAGCGTCTTGGTGAGGTAAATGAATTTGATCTTTCTGCGTTGGTTGGACGGACAGGCCAGCAGGGACAGATAGATCGGGAGCGTGTACGTGACGCCGATTCCGCCGGCGACGAGGAGAATGGGCCCATTCCGAGAGGACCTCGACTTGGAGTCCGAACTGGAACCCGAACCAAGAAATGCGGGCATATACTCGCTCGCCTCGCCGTAAGGACCCTCGACGCGTACGTCCTCCGCCACTAGACCTTTCCTTGCAGATTGCGAACACAAAGCAGCGAGATACGACGTCCCCGGCCCGCCCATATCTCTGAGCACCAGCATGATCTCGACGTTGGATTTCGACAACGACGACGTTCCCCTCTGCACATTCGCAATCGTCGCGGGGGTCTTGGGTCCAGCCACGCCATTCCGGACAAGATAGACATGCTGTCCTGGCATTGCGACGGCCAACGGATCTCCCGCCGCGACGCGGAAATTGACTTGAATCAACAACTCCTTGGAAGTGCCAGTTCCAGTTCCAGTCCCACGTGTACCTGTACCTGTACCTGTACCTGCACCTGTACCTGTACCTGCACCTGTACCTGTACCTATAGCAATAGCACGACATTTCATCGCGTCGATCTTCCTCGCGCCACGGACCCTCAGGAATGCCCCGAGGAGATAAATCGCGCCAGCCTGCCCGACGAACCAGCGCGTGTACGGCACATGGAACCACAGCACGGCAAGCACGACCGCCGAGAGGAGGACATGCGACCGATAAAACACGGCGAGATACACGCGTCTCCTCACGACGGGGAGACTCAGGATCCCCAGAAGATTAAAACTCCAGAATGCCAGCACGCCCAGGCGGACGTCTCGGTCTTTGATCCTCCTCTCCAGGAACCCCATCGTGACGAAGAACCGCAGGTACAGGACCGCGTGCGCGGCCAGGAAGAGGTGGACGATGCGGCCGAACAGGCGGTGCACGGCGTTGAGGCGCTCGTGCGTCATGCCCGTGGCCCACGTCACCGGGCTGTATCGCGTCTGTTTCACGCTCAGGAGGTAGTGAAGTGGCAGTTGACTTGCCGCGACGTGGCCCAACGATTTCGTAATGTGCATGTAATCCTCTCCCGTGCCACGGGAGGCGAGGTACACGAGCCAGAGCGTGTAGAGCAGGCCGACAAGGGGAACGTAAAGCGGACCGTACTCGTACACGTAGGTGGTTGAGAGAATCCAGGCGACGCGGCGGAGGCAGAGACGCAGTCCGCGCGCCGGGCCTCGAGCTGGTAGTGGACAAAGAAGCTTTGGGATGGAGCCCGCGAGCCAGCGTCGGTAGATGTATACCCCCAGCAAGATGACGATCGGACTGAGCCAGGCATGGAATCCGGCACGGTCGAGTTGACGACGCCGTTCGTCGAGCTGCTCGGGCGTGAGCTTGACTGTCATCGAGTAGGCCATGTTTGACTTTCACGAGACCAACCGAGTCAGGGTGAGTTTCTTCCCGGGAACAGATAGTTTCAGTGGCCCGTCATTGTTGCGAAAGCAGGTGGACGTCGATATGATTGCTTTATAGCTCAATTCTAGCACTACTGGATCTTACCATGCTAAGGACAGATCGCTGCTAGGCCACAGAATGCGAGGTTGCCCGGCTGCCTGAGATATCAACGGAGATGATCGGGATCCGAATCCATCGCCAAGTCGCCCGAACGAGGCTGCGGAACCCCTTTTTTATATCATGCCGGGGAGCAACGGAGTCGCTGATACCCATGCCGCCTGTCGGTGTCGTCCAAGATTGCATTCATCAATTAAGGTACGTATCGGAGAGACGACCACAAATAGCATGCCACATAGGGAACAACAAATTGCAGCCGCTGGCAATGCGGTACGGCATAAATGATACACATTTAGATGAGACGCATGACCCATGAACAATCGCTCATCAAGCATGCAACTGTACGATATCCTGTGCCACGCAACCTTGTACTCCAATGATGCGTAGATGAGCCACCAAGGCCTGTAACGTCCAATTGCCAGGCTCAAGTTGCTGTGGATCCAAATGACACCCTCTTTCGATACTCTGTGTAGTACCGCGCGACGCGTTTCTCGACCTCCTAGGCGTTCGTGGCCGCCAGCGCTGGTGCTGTTGGTTTGGAACCAATATCCTCCAAAGCAGCTGGTTCATCTGCTGAAGGACTCAATTCCTCTATCGGTTGAATAATTGTACTAGGTAAAGGCTCGACCGCAACAGTCGGGTTTTCGTGCGCCACATCCTGAGGCTGCTGGGCCGGCGACGGCACTTGCTCTTGCCCCAGTTCGAACTGCGGTGTCTTGAGAATGGGTTTCGGCACCTTCGGTATTTTTGTGGGCGATAAATGTGATATCGTCGCTTCCACCGCCTCCTCTTTACTCGAACTCTCGGGCATCTTTCTCGGCGGCGGCTCCGGCACGTCCCCCAGCTCCCGCGTCCCCGTTGGCGACAGCAGTGCCTCGCTTTGTCGCCTTTGAAGTTCTTCAAGTTTTGCGATGGGATTCTGTCGTCCACAATATTGGCATCTCCAATGCAAAACACGCGGCAAATCATGTGGCAGGACACGCGAGAGAGGAAACTCAGGCTGGGGGTAGTGGGAGAAGCGACGCACCCATTCTTCTTGCTTTGGTACTCCTTCGGCCGCGGGCAGGGTTCCTTCATCCTCTTTGTCACCACCCCAGAATGTAGGTCGTCGAATCGGTGCTGGGGTCACAGGTAAGCTCGGTCTCTCGTCCTTGGTGGGGAAGTCGGTGAGTTTCAGGCTTGGTCGTCGTCGACTTCTATCCGTCGGAGTGGTGGCGCCGCTGGAGCTGCGAGGAGAGCGTTGGCCAAGTGTGTTGTACAAGACCTGTAGCCTTCCTTTGCGAGGTTGGCTCATGGCCTGGACATAGCGCTCAATTTCGGGCATGTCGTCCCATGCGTTCGTCCTTTGTTGGAAAGTCTCCCAGACATTGATTGGGTCCGGTGGTGACAGAGGAGGTGAGATGGGCACACCTTCCTTGCTGGCTTCCTCGACATCGGCAGGCTCTAATTCCGTCGGCGGTTCGTCGGGCACGGAAGTTACTGGCTCCGAAGGAGGCGGCGGCGGAGGTGGGCTCGGTTGCCTGGCCTGGGGAAATACTCGTGTCGGCTTGGGAGCTCTCGACTCCCACGGGAAGATGTGTTTGGGTTTCTCGGGCTCAGGTGCCTTTTCGGGTACTTGATACCACATATCCTTTGGTGCTTCGGGGTAATGAGCAGGTGGCTGGAAAAGCGAAGTCTCGCTCGACATGTCATAGATTGTTGTAGGGAAGTTTTCCGCTTCTGGTTTCGAATGGGCCGGTGGCGGTGCTCTGCTGAACGTAAGCAAATAAAGGACTAGCTTCGGGTTGCTGGACTTACCGTGCCGGGTCCCATTCTGTATGGGGAGCTGAGAATCGCCTTTGCTCGCTCGTGGGCACAGGGTGGAAATCTTGTGGGCCCTGTGGAGTAGGTGCGTCGCCCAGTGGCAGCTCTAGAGTCGAGGTGTGTTCAGGTTGCTCAGGTTGTACATGGGTCTCAGGTGGCTGAGACGTCTGATCTGACGACGGCTGCTGGTGATGCGGTTCCGGATGATGGTGCTGCTCGGGCTGATGATGGTACTCAGGTGGAGCCGATGCTGGTGCTGGATCTCGAGATGGGTAGTCGACGACATAGAGTGGTTCTTCACCTCGAACATAATCATGGACGGTCTTCTTGGAATCGAAAGTCTGGGCATCGTAGTAATGGACCGCCTGCACCGGTTAGCGTCACAAATTAAAACCCACCTTCGGGGCCAGCGCACCTTTGGACGATAATGCCGATCAAAGACAGACCACCACATTCCCAACAGTTCACCATAGACGCCCGTGTTCATGCGGTTGTCTCTGCCCAATGTCCACGGTTTGTCTGCACCGATGAAATGTACGACGGCAATACTGCTCTGGAAATGTCGGTAGGCGGGGACGTATTGGTAGTGACCACTCGGCGTGCAGTTGTAGACAAAGCTCAGTCTTTCCCACTCGCGGAAGTGCATGTTGAGTAGGCCTTGATCGGCTCCGTCGAAGCTGACGCCGCGCTGCGCCAGCGCATACAGCGCGTAGTAATCCGACATGTTGGGATTCAGGACCATCATGCCGCTGTTGAAGCAGTCCGGCCAGCCAATATCCGGCACGGCGGCGAAGTCTGCATCGATGCTGAGGAGCTCGTTGGGAGCTCGGAGAGCCACCATGTCTGCATCCAAGTATACAATTCTCTTGAACTGTGTTTGACGCCATAGCTCGATCTTGGTGAAGGAGGATATCAGGTCCGGTCGATTCATCAGGTAGAGATTTGCAGGGTTCTTGTTGGTGATTTGCTGGACAGGCACCACTTGGTCATACACCGTCTGGCTATGTCAGTGGCATGCGAGGCAGGCTTCGGAGGCAGGTACAAACCCGGAGCTCGTTGATCGTGTCTGAGGATAGTTTGTCGACGAGGATAAAGGCCACCAGGGGAGCTTTGGCGCCTCGGTCTTTGAGGGAGTGGCCCAAGACCATGGCACCTATGCCTCAACATCAGCGGGGCTCCCATCTTGGTGAGCTTCTCGTCCACGTACCCGGGAGGTAGCCATCGTTCATGAGCAGCTGTGGACATTTGGGTCAGTAAAGGCGGGTGCGGGGAAACGGGACAAGAGCTTCGTACCGTCGCAAAGACGGAGCCTCCACTGAGAGGAGCCATGTTGCTGGAGGGCAGAGTCGACGGTGAAGAGGACGGTGAGGAAGGTAAGGATAATATCGGTAGCGGAAGATAATCACAAGATCAACCGCTGCAACAACAACTCCAGCGCAACTAGCCCAGCCCGCTGCAGGGCCTTGCCAGGAAGGAGGAAGCTGCTTGTCGACTGATGCGATCACTTTTTTTCGAGATGGAGGGAAGCTGTGAGTGTGTCGCTGTCACTGGCTGCTCAGGGCTCCTCGGTAGGTGCGCAACAGCAACAGATGCGGGGGACGAACGCCGGGTAGAAGCAGGCCTGCAACAATTGGTCGAAGCTCCAACGCGCTGCTGCTCGTTGCACCAAACAGAAGCTGGCGACTGCGGCGAGTCCACAGTGACGTCGTGCCCGTTGCTGCACAGTGATGCAAAGTCGAAAAATGTCGGGCCTCGACCAGAAGTGTCGCAGGTCAGATGAACTCGCCCAAAACAAATGGCGCGCGAATGCCTTGGCTGCACGCTTTTGCACTGTTTTACTCAGTAAGTACTGTACTCGACAATCATGAAAATCTGCACGCTGTGTATTTACTCGGACACAGGAAAAAGCATGTGCTCCTGCTGGCGTCCGCGCACACTGCGAATCGTGGGCTGATCAGACTCCGCTCAGGCCAGGAAAAATTGCGAGACACGCCCCCATCCCACGCGCACGCCAGCGATAAAAGGTCCGGCGCAATCTCCTTCGAGGGCCCGAGTTACGGGCTTTGTTGGGGCTTCCACCTGCTTGGGGCTGGCACCCCAGTCGCTGAGGCGTGAACGTGCCACCATCTTCCTCGCTAGCAGGGGTTTCTTCGGCCGTTGCTATGGCGCCCGGAGCTCCCAGCACCCAGCGCGTTTCTGATCTCGTCAGAGGCGTCGTGGCGGCAGAGCCACCCAAGAGGAGCGTTAAACATCTGATCAAGATGAGCCTGGACGGACGGCAGGACAGCGACGAGACTCGGGCTTATGCAGCCTGACAGATGGGAAATGCAGTAGTTGACAGGTGCCAGGGCCAGAATGATGCTTGCAATCACGCGCAGACTGACATCCGTGTCCCACAGCCTAGATTGAGGTACGAGTACACTTTCCTCCCAAGAAAGCTTCGTCTGTCTGGAACTATCTATCTCCATCTGACATTGTTTTGCAATCTCAAAGGTTGGCCATCTTCCTCTTAATCTCGAACTCCACAAACATCGGGATTCCCAGCAAAGTACCGCAACTCCCGTTCCCAGTGGACGTGGTATCGAACCACTAGTCTTTCTCCTTGCCCTATGCCAACAACCTCTCGATATCTCTCAGCGAGCCGGCCCTTCTCTCCTCCCTCTTCACCTTCTCTCCAAATGCTTCACTCGCCAGCTTCCTCTTCTTCGACTGGATCTCAAGCACCTCGTCCTCGATAGTGCCTTCCACCACCAGACGCACCACTTTGCAATCACGGGTCTGTCCTAGTCTGTGGACACGGTCGACCGCTTGATCTTCGATGGCCGGCGCCCACCAGGAGTCCGCCAAAATCACCTGGTTCGCCGCCACCAAGTTCAGGCCCACAGAGCAAACAGACAAAGATGCCAGCATGATCTTGCAGGACGAGTCGCTGTTGAAAGATTCAATTGCGGCGTCGCGACGACTCGAGTTCATTTTGCCATCGAGCCGCGTGAAATTGAGGCCATGCCGGAGCAGCTGAGTCTGCACCAGGTCCAAGAACGACGTCCACTGTGAAAACACCACAGTCTTGACGTCGGCGTCGGCCTCAGAGGCTTTAAGTACCTTGATGAGTGCCTCGATCTTGCTGCTGGTCGTCTCGGGGTCGATATCGGGGTCGATCTCATCGCCTTCGCCAAAGTTTGCCGCCGGATCGACCAGCTGTTCGCTGGTGGCCAGCGCCGCACGGCACATGGGACATTTATGTTGTGTTTCAATGACTCGCTCGATGCACTCACGACAATAAGTATGGGCACAGGCTGTGATCACCGGGTTCTTCAAAGAGTCCAGGCACACACAGCAGTCCTCCTGCGAATCGATCTGTACCTGTAGAATGTCCTGGAGGGTCTTTCTGTTGGCGGCGTTGGTGACATCTACAACTTCGTTGGACTCGACCAGTTCCAGCAATTTGCGCACTCTATCGTCACCGCACATCTTCCAGTGGTTGCAAGTCTGGCGCAACCGAAGCAGAACCTCGAGAAGGTGCGTCATGGTGTGATCTCCCTTCTTAGCTTTCGCGGCCTCGACAAGTCCCTTGGCCTCGCTCTTGAATGCATCATACCTCTCCTGCTCGTGCGGCAGGAATTTCACCAGATATTTATGGAAAACAATCTTGGGCAGTTTGAGGTCGATGAACTTCATGTCTTTCATCCGGCGGAGACAGAGCGTCGCCATGAGAGCTTGAAGAAGAAGACGGGCCTGAGGATCGCCGTTCCTAAGCGGACGAATCAGGGTCGAATTGAAGATCTCAAACTCGGTGAGTCCCCCAGTCATACGGATAAACTTGACGTGTGAGTAGAGGTCCTTGAGAGTGTTGACTATCGGAGTGCCGGTAAGAACCCAGCGAGATGCAGCCTGGAGTGCACACGCGGCTTGCGACATCTTGGCTTTGGGATTGCGGATGTTGTGAGCCTCATCCAGAACGACTCTTCGCCAGGTGATAGAAAACAATCCCTTCGGAGCTGGTACCGGCCGGGGGCTGGTCTGGCCATAGGGAAAGAGCTCCTGAGTCATTGTCTGGTAGGTTGTGATGACGATGTCGTACTCTTTCAACTCTTGTGGTGACAAGTTCTTCTTCTCTGTGCCATGGTAGGTCAGGATGCGTGGTCGAAACTTCTTCTTGATATGGTGCTCTGCTTGCATGCTCCAGTTAGACATGACCGAGAGTGGTGCGATGATGAGCGTCGGTGTTCGGTTCTTGTGAGGGTCCGCCATGATAAGCGAGATGATCTGGATAGTCTTGCCCAGACCCATGTCATCCGCAAGGAGGCCACCACTTGCAAGTTCGGGAGCTTTGTTGATCGCAAAGTTGGTGGCGATGTTGAGGTACCCTTTGCCTATTTTCTTCCACATCTGGACCACGTCGTCGCCGTTTTGAGGTAGTTTGGGAGATTCGTGGTCCAGCATCCACTGCAGTCCCTGTCTCTGATATGGCAACAAGATTGTGGCGAGCTCAGGGGGCTGATCTGCCATTGGCATCTTCTCAAGCACATCTTCACCCGTCCCAAGCTTCTTCATGGCGTCCTGAACATCACGGGGGTTGAACGTGGACGTGCCACTGAGCAGTTGCTCCATGCTTTGCTCTGGTTGGCTCCTGCCATTCGGCAACACACCCAAGTTGCTGTACCTGTTGGGCCCTTCGTTGTCAAACACTTGGAGACCCTTTTTCCTCATTGCGGCGGCTGCCTTTTCCCTGGCTTTCTGCTGCTTCTCGAGCTCTTGCCGGCGCTTCTCGCCCTCTCGTTTCGTACGCACCCATTCGGTGATGGGAAGCTTTTGCTCTTGCATTTGCTTGGCAAGAGCAGCACCGGCAACAGGATCGTTTGTGCCGAAGAGTTTGAGACCGATCGGACAGTCGTAATAGGTCTTGGGTCCGGTCAGCGCGCCTTCGACGAGCAGCGAGCCGTTGTCCATCAAGGGCGCCAGCTTTGCCGCAACTTGACGGCCAATGTGACCGATCTGGTCGCGGAGCACGTTATCGATCCGGATGGCATTGCTGTCGTAGGGATTGCCTGGTTCGCGCCTGACTCGCACGTACTCCCCGACGGTAGCTTGGCCATCGTAGAACCGACATCCCACGATCTTGGTGTTGAGAATGCCGTAGAGCATGTAGGTCTCGTACACGTCATCGTCGAAATCCTCGGTGAGGTCAATTTCACGCGCGATGTCAGCTTCTTGATCCTGAGTGGAGAGCCAGCTGTCGCGTTCGTCCCCGCCGTGGGATCCTGAGCCGAGCTGGCTCAGCGTGGGCGTGTAGTCTTTGTAAACTTGACTCAAACGCTGCGAGGAGGTCGGCACACCCGATCGAGGCTGGCTTGAAGACGGGGGTGTTGGGAGAAGTGGTGCGCCGCCCTGGGAGGCGTTGACGGTGGACTGCGAAGATCCGGAGCGGTCATCTTCGCCGGTGGAGAGCCTGCCCGCCGTAGAAGTCGCTGGCAACCTCTTTTTGTTCGTGGCAGACGGGGTGGAATCCGAGGGGAGTTTTCTTTTCGGCATGCCTGAGCCACACAGACACGCGAAGTTGCTGGGGGTTTATGAATAAATCGAAGTTGGCAGTTTATGGAAGCAGAACTCCGAGCATGTCAAAAAAGTTGTACCGATAAGGGGGATATGATATTCCATTACTGTACATGGAGCCAGGGAGAATGAGTTCTTTGTTCAGCGACGCGTCACGTTTGATTGAGGTCTCAAAAGTTGCTGCTGTATCACGTGCCGAACAACGCGAGCCTTGTGAACCGGCGACAACATTTATATTACGCAAGGCTGCACATTGCACAAAATCATCTACTCAGATTCCTCTTCATCGGTGTCAAATCCCAGATCGATCTCGGGGATTTCCGAATCATCGCTATCACTGGCATCAATAGGGGCGGCAGTTCTGATTGTCTTCTCTGATGGCAGAGCCTCGTTTGGAGCTGAAGCACGATTGACCACTTCAGCAAACGTGCTGGTCCGAGGCTCCTCGATATGCATGTTGTTCATTTGGCTTCTTTGTAGATCAGACTCTTGCTTTTCCTTTTCATCCAAGCGCGGTATCTTCACTTCCCTCGAAGCTGATGTTTGGGAGTCGGTGGGCGAACCACCAGCGTCGCTTCCTTCGATGGCATCGAGCGTGCGCTTCTTTGTCGTGGATTCCAGCATTTCTTCGTCGTTACCGTGCTCGGCCGGGCTGGTGGTGTCTTTCGTGGTTTGTTGCTTGCTTTCGGCGGTGTCGTTCATGGCATCAAAAGAATCCTCGAGCTTGGATGATATACCAGGATCCTCATCGCCTTGCTCGCCATTTTGTTCGTGGATTGCTTCGGGCTCATGGTTCTCGGAGCCTGGGAAGGATAGCGCAAACGTCCGAGCGACAGACGTTCGTGGTCTGAGGAGAGCTTCCACAGTGATTCTGTCCGCCGCAGACCTGGCTAAGAATGGCGTGAGACTCGCCGTCGTTGCCTTCCCTTTACCGGACAGCATGGGACGCATAACACTTGCCAGCATAGCGTCGGTGTGATCCAGTATGATAGATAATCTGTCCATCTCGATCCGGGATTGGCGGGATATCATCGAACTTGGGCAGTGTGTTATAATTTGTGGCAGCAGCTCCCAGGCTGTTCGGTACAGCCGGGACTGCCTTCGCAGCGAAAGGTAATCAGTTGTTGGCACAGTTCTGGTGCCCAAGAACCCATCCTTCGTGGTGTCCGGTCTTGTCGCACCAGACGGGGGAAGCAAGCCGCTTTGGAGGTCGTTACAGCAAAGCTCAATCAAGTACGAAAAGACTTTTTTGTTCAGCCCCATCTCTGAAAGATCGACACTGGCCAGCACATCGCTGAAGATCATGTACACGGCTTGCCTGATGGTCTCGTGCCGTGACATAGCTTCAAAGACATCTAGTGTCTGGCTAAGCATTGCGCCACCCACTGAAAGGAGGGAAGAACCGTAGATTCCAGTCATCCGCCGAAGCAAACGAAGACATGACAGGTGAATTTGCGGTAAATTGAGCCAGAGCTGTTCCTTCTCATCTCTGTTCGCTTCGTTATGGTAGCGCAGAGCAGTTGCTGCATTTGACTTGCTTCCCGGCGGAGTCACCGCCAAAAGCCTGGATGTGAGATCCAGTATGGAGCCCAGAGGTACTGTAACAGACAGTGGTGTCTTCATCGAAATCAGGTCGCACAACCAGTCAACCAACGTAATAAGCCTGACGCTGCCTTCATAAATCCCTGTCCAGCTGTCCAACCCCGATTCATCCTTGTCTGCTATTCTCGGTTCCTTCGAGAAATTGTGCTTCCCGAGGGCTCTCTGGTGGGTAGTATCATTCGGCTCGTGTTCCTCGATGACGGCTCTAAACAACTTATCGGCTGTCGCTTGCGCGCTGATGATGATACTAGCAGCAGTTTGGGTCCATTCATGAGAGGCTGACGTCTTTGGTGCACAAGAAATCGACAGGCACATAAGCTTGATGGCAAGCTTTCTGATTGCGGCTGACGTGCCGCTGACTTCGAGTAGACTTTGACAGACTAGCTTAAAGCGAGCGACAAACGGGCGGAAGAGGGTTGCGTGGAGTGGCAGAAGCTGATTGCAGCACTGAAGGACCGAGTCGAGTAAAGGATTCGCGACTTCAGCAGGGTTCCCAGCAACTTCTGCTTTCACCGGCCTGATCAGTCCCAGGCATGATGTAACAAATGGAGGGAGAAGTGGCGATGTCACCTCTCGCAGCAAGGTCGGGTGGCCTTGAGTCAGGAGGAAAATGCGAGTAATTGTTGCCAGATAGATCTTCTTGACGTCAACCGGATCTGGCTTGTTCAAACAACTGAGCAGGCCTTTAATCCACCCTTCGGAGTTCGCCAGTACATTTGGGCCACCTTTGTCGACAATGGCCTTGATGAGGGTAGCAGCGGTCAGCCGGCCAGCGGCGTTTCTGTCTTGCAGCAGGGAAGTGATTCGAGCCTTGAACTTGTGTACGGTCACAGAGCTGGCAGCCTTCTTACTGTCGGAAAACTGATCTTCGAGCTGGCATTGAGCCAACGCCGTTGCGAGAAAGGATGCTATTCGAGGAAGATGATCGACGGGAGTGGTTGTTAGGCGTGTCGTGATGGCTCGAAGAGCGGTTTCATCCTGCATATTGGAGCCGGGCTGAATGAGTTGTTGGGTTCTCCCGGAAGATGTCGCTCATCCTCTGATGTCTCGTGGCATCGAAGCATAAAAATACTAGATGGATGCTGTGGGAAATTTTGACTGACAGGCGAACAGCCCCGGTTGAAATTGCGGCAAAGCAGAGTGACTATAACGAAAATACTCTGACTGATAATACGGTGGCGCACAAACACACCTACGCACCCTTGACACGAAGCCACGAAGCTTGCAACGACGAGAACCACCAAATCGTGATCGCAGGAGCAGACACGCTCCCTCCTGACCGTATCACAGCACTCCTCGCCCATCAAGTATTTCGTCGCGCCTAGTTCGAGTGGAATGACCCAGTCGACACCAGAGCGTAGCTATTACATCCTCTCGGCTCTTTGGACAACAGAGGATTGGCACTCAATAACTCAACATGCCCACGCGGCCCTGGTTGCTGTAGAAATTGCAGAAGGACGATGCCGTGAGGCAGGCAGTCCATGATGAGGACGCAGGGACTGCTGCGAGAGACTGGGTCTCGTCGTTCTTTCAATATGCAGTCCGGTGTGTTGCGAAGCGTCGTCGCTGTGTAGAATCCAAGGCATACAGTCTCATCGAATGTCGCGATTTTCATGCCCATCTCAGCGAAAGCGATTTGGCATTCCAAGTCGAGTATGGGAACAGGATCCACGAGATCTCTTACTACATAGTCAGCAAGCTCGTCGTCGTCGGCGGGGACATTGACACAAGGAGAGGAGAGGGTGCTAGGAGTAAAAGCGGCACGGTCGGGCGCGACCCGAAAGTGAACGCCGAGCAGATTCAATGAAGATCCAATGACCGCATGGCGCATTCACCACCTGCGAAGTAGTTATACAGACACACAGACAAGTCGAACAGGCTCCCTAGCAGGTCCGTCGTGTACATGGAGCTGCAACGATGTCTGTGTAATGATGTCTCCACCATAAAGGCCCGACCACTGCCTCTCGATCGTCTCAGGCATCTCGCAGAATGAGTGTATGTCTACAACTTTTCTTCGGCACACACATGCTTCCCTTGACTGACGAAGCTCCAGGCCCACCATGAAAAGGCTCAGCGCTATATTGGTGCGCTCGAGGCAGCACGCGTCGCCGGCACCTGGAGCGAATTCCCTGAGCTCATAAGAAAAGTAACCAAACACGCCCCTGACCGGAAATGCCTGATCCAAACTGCCAAGTTCGAGTCCGACGTCGCCCAATATGTACTCCCACCAAGCCGACGGCCCGGTACAGCCGCTACGGGCCAGCCAATTGCGGACTCGCAGGTGGTCTCTCTCGAGTCCCAACTGCGCGCGACTGGGACATCTTCTGAAGAGGTAGTGCAGGGTCAGACATCTTTGCTTTGGGCGCGTTGGTTGGGAGCGTACAAGACCGAGCGTCCGGTTCCGGCCATCACCTTCGAGCCTGTTCGCACAGCAGCCGATGCGACGTCGCTGTGGACGAAGATTTGTGTTGTGAAAGCTGTATACGTTCGCGCGCTGCGCTACGTACAGAGCGGCGACACCAAGCAGGGCACAGAGCTTCTCGAGACTCTACTGCCATGGCTCGACGCGAACCGGAGCCTTGTTGTGTCGACACCGCAACTCCTTTATTGGGCACAACAGCTGCTGGCACGGGTAGCGCTGGGACAAAAGCAGTCAATAACCGCCGCCAGCCCACTTGACCACGAATCTGCGTCCTTCAGGCTGCAAGCATTCCGGCATTGGGCAGTGCTCGCCGTTAAGAACCAAGACGTTTCGCCCTCGACCTATGGAAATACTCCAGGACATCTCTCTAAGCTGGAGATGTGGAGAGCCTACTATCGTTTCATGTCCGCCATCCTGCAGAACAAGGAAGGAATCGCGCACTACGTCCCCTTCGTACCTTCGGACTTGGCCGTTGAGGTGCGGCGCGTGGAGGCATCTTACGAGAACGAGCTGTTGCGCAACGTGCAGTTCCCCAAAGCCACCGAGTCGAACGCGATCATCGAAGGCTGGGTCGAAGAGTTCATTCGCAATTGGCAAGTTCTTTGCGGTCCTGGCTGGTCCGACTCAGACCTGGGCGAGGGCGGTCGGAATTCGTGGGGAAGGAATGTTCTTGACATGCTCTACCGAGCTGCAACGAAATCGTTCCACTCCACCTTGGTTCTAAGGCGCCTGTTCCAGGTTCACAAAGCCCTGGCCGACTTCGACTTGGCGTACAAGGCTCTAGAGACCTATGTCGAACTCATCGATCGAGCTCGTGCACGTGCGGCGAAATCGGAAAGCTCCCAGAACTCCGCCACCAGCAGAGATAGCGATGAAGTCTTTATGAAGACCATTGCCGAAGGCATCGAAGGCCTGTGCTCGTTTGGTGGCAGGGCTGAGGCAGAAAAGGCCCATAAGCTCTGTGAGAAGCTGCAGGATCTTCTGGACGAAATCGAGCCACCGTCTGAACATGCCGCAACCAACGGCTTTGCGCCTGCTAACGGACACGCCAACGGCCAGATGCCATCACCGCCACCTCTATCTGCCGACTTGATCGACGCGACATATCGAGGGATTGGCCTCGGAAAGGCGCACTGGGCACGATGGACACCTTTCAGTGAGAACCGAACGACCTTGCAATCTGAAGCCGTCGAATACCTGCAAAAGGCTGCCGCGCAGGATATTCCTGCCCGTCAACACTTCCAAACACTCTTCGCTCTCGCTCGACTGCTCGCCGAGATGCGCGAGATTGACCAGGCGCTTGCCGTGGTAAAGAGAGCCTTGTCTTCGGAAGTTGGAAATGATGAAGGAGACACCTCTTACGGGATAGAGCGTCAACTGATGCCGTTCTGGCACCTGCTAGCTCTCTTACTCACCTCGCGACAACAATTCGAAACAGCAAGTCAGAGTTGTGCGGCAGCATTCGAGCAATTTTCCCCTCCCGAAATCATGCTGGGTGACTTCGCCAGTGGCACACACGGCGCAACAAGCCAGAAACCAGGGTTAGTCGATGACATGGAGTGTGCGGAGCTGCATAGAATTATTGAAATCCGCATTACCGAGCTGGCTTTGACCGAGCTGATGGAGGGCCCTGAGCACGCAGTCAACAGTAGCAACGACCTTCTTGCACTCTATTCTCGGTTATTTGGTCGCCACGGAGCAATCGCTATCAATGAAGAAGCAACGAGGAAAAGGTCGGTTGCACCTCCTAAAAGCTCCCATGGCACCATCAGAAGTCTTCCGGGCAAGCTCCTTCATCGCAAGAGGCTGGGCCGGTCCAGCGAGTCCAACAAAGGTACTCCTTCCATAGCAGAGGAAGTCAGACCGAATACGCAAGCGACGCAAACGACCCAGGCGCCAACAATCCAAGTCACGAATGAAGATGAACAAAGCTCACCACCTAGGCATAAATTGTTCCATCTCCACGACCACAATAAGGACGAGTCCCGTCGGTCTCCCCGTGCTCTTCAAAGTAAGCATTCGAAAACGAGGCTCTCGAGGTCGTTGAGTCGAGGAAAAAGAGAAACCAGCCAGGCATCGAGTACAAGACAGTCATTCGAGTCAACGCACGAAACGCAACCAAACGCAAATGGTGCTGCTCAACACCAACCCCACGCACGATTAGAAACCATCCAGTCCGCCGACGTGCCAGAGGTACCAATCTCGGCGAACCATGACACAAGCCCGACCGCGAAGCAGCCCCTAAAAGAAATCCCCCACAACCTCTCCAGCCACAAGAAGGTACCACCGCCAGCAAACCACCGCGACCAACCTCCCTCGCAAGACGTGCGTCTCCCCATCATCGGACCAGGGCTACGAACAGATCCCATCCCCCGCTTCCCGCGAACCGTCTCGCAACGACACGCGCTCAGCATCCTGGTGAAGATCTGGCTCGTCATCGCAACGCTGTACAGACGGGCCCACATGTTTGAGGACTCGCGCGAGGCCACCGACGAAGCCGCCAAAGTCGCCATGAAGATCGAGGGGATGATCGCCGCGGTAGAAAGCTCGGCCCGGGCATTCAGTGCCGTGGGCTGGGGCGGTGGCGGCAAGTCGTCGGACGAGCTCTGGGCCGACGTCTACTGCGAGCGGGCCGACCTCCTCATGGCCATCGCCCGTGCCCGAGAGGAGAAAGAAGGCTCTCTCAACGCCGAGGCCGTGCGCGACGCGGTCGAAAACTACGAGCAGTGCCTCATGTACTTTGCGGACCACCCGGGCGGGATCGTCGGCCTCAGCAACGTCCTCCTCGATTACTTTGAACGGAAAGTCGAACTGGCGAAACGAATCGACAATGGGAAAGCGCGTGCTGACGACGTCCAGCAGCAGCAGCAGCAAGTCCAGTCACAAGCAGTCGAGGAACCGTCGTCGTCATCGTCGCCGCCGCCGCCGCCGTCGTCCTCGCGGCCGAAACACAAACGAGAATGGAGCCGCGTCTCGACGGCGCCAAACACGGGCATGGTGGTAGTAGACAACATGGACCACTCGCACAGCGTGGCCGCCAGTGGGCCGGGCGGCGCACAGCTGCCACACCCACACCAACAACAACAACAGTCAACGAGGGAGGACGATCTTAAGAAGACGCCCGAGAACCTGAACCGGCTGGCGGCGCGCGACCGGGCGTACGGCCTGCTGTCGACGCTCACCAAGCTGGGCTCCGGGTGGGATCACGCCGAAGCGTGGTTCGCGCTCGCCCGCGCGCACGAGCTGGGCGGCGAGCCGGACAGGGCCAAGGAGATGCTCTGGTGGTGCGTCGAGTTGGAGGATACCCGGCCGATCCGGCATTGGAGGAATCTCGGTGCCGGTGGGGGTTATGTTCTCTAAAGGGGGGGCGGCGCGCGTGAACGGTGGAGGAAGAGGAGCCAAAGGACGAAGCGACAAAGGAACACGACTACCTACCCCTGCTACTTACCATTGGTACTATTACCGGTACTGCAGTACCATTGCAGGACGACCGTGAACGGCCTGCAGACTCAACGGCCTCCGGACTCTGATTTCCCGGTTTGAGCGAATACGTACAGCCACTGAATACTCTGCACGGTTTACTAATTATTATCATTGGTTTGGTTTCGTATCTGGACCTCGTGCTGGTGTGTCATACCACCAAGTTGAGCCGTGCTATGCTATGCTATGCTATACTGTGACATGCCCTGTTCTTTGGATTTCTTCGACCTTCCAAGCGTCCCGTTGACGTCCTCGACGCTGAGTCTTCCTGCTCTAGAGTCTCGTTCTGTCAACCTAGACCAAGATCAGAATCCAATCTGAGAAAACCGCTGACAAACGCCTGGAGTTCCCTTTTGAAACACCCAGAAATGCAATGTCGAAATGCCGAGATAAAAGTAACCCACGGATGATGCACGCATGCATGCTCGCTCAATCAACCATTCAACCATCGCTATGCATAATGCTTGCTACCAATGTAGACAGACGCCCATCCAAGATCGTTTGTACCGTGATTGTCGTTCGTCATCTTCGTCAGGATTTTGGCCTGCTTGCCAGCCTGGCCCGCCATACCCGTCTTCGTATGTACTATCATATGCACGTACCCCATGCCTACATACGCATACATTCCTGTATGTCGCATTCTGGTCCAGGGCTGACTGGCCAGATATGATGCATGACTCCTGTACAGGGCGGCTTATAAAAAGAAACACGGAGTTTCTTGTCTCAGTGTTTTGGGGTTCTTCTCGCCGGGGCAAGGGACATCCTCGATCGGAGAAAGCTCACGACAAAACCAACGTGGCGGCGACGGCAAACACTGCTGCGACCAAGGCACCCATGCTCGAAGCTTGCTTGTTCTTGGAGCCGGCATTGAATGGGTTAGCCGTGGCTGACGAGTCGCCAAGTCTGGCGCCGCCGGTGGTGGCGGTCACGTCGCCCACCGGGTCGAAGACCGGGGTGGCGTTGGGGACGCCATTGTCGCCCTTTGTGATCATCTGGATATTGTCGGTCGTGGAGTTGAAGACGGTCTGCGCCAGGCTGATCTCATTGTTCGAGAGGTCGTACACCACATAGGCGGACCGCAGGAAGGTGTCTCCCAGCACGGCCATGCCACTTTGAGCAGGGGCGATGCCAAACAGGCAGGCCTCCTCGCCGTTCGTGAAAGTGATGGGTTGGCCGAAGTTGTTCGTCCCGGCCGAGAGGAAGAGTTCGTTGTACGGCACTTTGATGGTCACGCCAGAGAAGCTGTAGTCGATGGTGGCCGAGGAGGAGGCGAGCGCGCACGGTGCGTAGGCGGCGCCCACGTCGGATTGGTAGACAGCTTGCACGGAGTTGTAGATTTCTTGGGTGATGTCGTTGGGGAGGTAGGTGAGTGTGGCGCCGGAGTCGAGCAGCACCGCGGTAGGGAACGAGGATGAGGAGGAGAGGTCAGAGCCGGCATTCGTCACTCCCGTCAAGGCGAGGCTGAGTTCGTAGTATTCGCCGCCTTCGGAGAGGATGGGGAGGGTGGCGAGCTCGCCCTCGTACTTTTCGGTGTTGACGCCGCCGAACAGGAGTTCTCCCGTGGAGGCGTCCAGATCGTTCAGCCACAGCGAGTATGCGTTCGAGGCGATGTGGCCGGCGTCCACCAGTGCTTGGGGAAGATTGGGATATGGATCCAGGTTGGCGCGCTGGACCTGGACTTCATTCGACATGTAGCCAATCCCTAGCACGCCTTGTGAGGAAGAGGAGACCTCGCCAATGCCAAACTGGAAGTCGTTTAGCGTAACGCCGCCAAATCCCAACGTGTCGGTCACGTAGTCGCCCACCGCGGCGCTGCCGTCGACGTAAGAGATATTGAACAGGTCATTGACCAGCCTGTAGGTGGATGATTGGGCAGACGAATAGGTGCCGCCTTCACAGTTATCCGTGCTCGCCAAGCAGAAGGAAGAGCTGGCCGTGTTCACCCACAGATCGGAACTGCCCGTGTCGATGTGCAGCCGTAACGACTGTGCGGGCGTGCCGAGTGTGATATTGGCGTAGTAGAGGCTTTGGTCGTTGTCCAGGGTCTGCTCGACGGTGCCTGACGTCTGCCTCTTTCGCAGGCGCGATCTCTCATGTGCAAGGATATCAGGGACATGTCTTCTTTCTATGGGCAGACTCAGAGTTCGTGGAGAAGCTTCGGAGCGGGGAGCGAGGTGGATGGCGGAAACGAGGGGAGCGCTCAGGGCGGCCGCGACGGCCACCACGGCCGGTGAGGGTTTCATACCGTGCGGTTCTCTAATCTGGGTTTCAGTAACAACGAGAGACTTCCAGTTGAGAGTCCTCGGAAGCTCTAGAAACCTGGTTGGGCGATGTCTGGGGATGAGGGTCGGTGACTTGAGGGAAAATCAATCACCAAGTGACAAAAGACACGCAGCAAACCGGGCGAGTGACGCTTGATGACTGACGACAAGAAAACCCAAGAGTCACTTGAAGGAAGCAAGGAGCAAACACAAGGGACGGGGCATGAGGGCGGGACGAGGGCGCAATTAGTAGGCAGCCATCACCTTGTACATAACTCGTAATCTGTCGCCGGATCGGACGAGTAGAGTAAGCATCATGGCGCAGTGAGTGAGAAAGTGCGTTGCGCTGCGTTGCGTAGCGTTGCGTAGCGTTGGTTGCGTAGTGCCCCGGGACCTGAATGCGGCTCGCTGAGCCAACGCTACTCGTACCTCGTACCGAGATGTGCGTCAGGCCCGCCATGTGCGGACGCATCCGATGCTCAGTCAGTCAGTCAGTCAGTCAGTCAGTCATGCGAGATCGCGCTGCCTCGGCGTCGAGACGTGCAATAGATGACGTGGACCCCCATCACCACCAAGCTCTATCTGATACCGCCCACAGCTTCTGCCGGCCCTGCCAACTTGGCAGTGCCTCGAAAGTTGCGTCGACGTCAAGGAATTTGGGCGTGGAGATGTGAATACAAGCCGACGCAACGTCAGTGGCGGATGCCAGGTGCGAGATGGAGATGTGCTTGGTCCACAGCATCGTGCCGGAGTCCAGGCATGCACAAATTACTGGGTACTTGTAACTCGTCGCCATCCACCTGCACTCGGTCGTGGGTTAATTCAGTTTGCAGCAATCCTGGGGCCACAAGCATGTCGATAGAGCCGCATCTGTGAGCAATTCCCTGCAGTAGGTCGCCTCGCATCCTTCAACGGCGGTCAGGCTCGCCGCAATCTGGGGGGCTGGTGACGCGGGAGGCCGTTGCCGGCATCTCGGACTCGATGCGAGGGGCGATGTGGGTTTGGGTTGCTGCTATAAATGGGTCGGTCATGATGCACTCCAGCCGCATGGCACGGTTTGGCCCTTGCGATTGGTGCCAGAACTGCCCGCGTTGAGCCTCCAGCCACAACGAAAGCTCAACGCCCGAGTCTCCGACGGAGGCTTGGCGCAGCCTGCCAAGGGCCCGCGGGCTCTTCATAAGCCATCACCAACACGCAGATCAAACACAAGAGAACCGGTGGCGTGGAACCTAAGCACTGTGTCCTTCGACTACTTTGTGCGAACTGTCATCATTCGGGAGCCGGGCCTCGAGCGAAGCATGCCCATCTTCGCGCCAACAAAGCACGTGTGCTAACGACTGTACCCAGTAGCCCGGCCTGACGGCCTGCCCGTCTACACAGTAGACCTCAAGCCATCTTGCCCTCGGTGTCGCCCGCTTTCTCATCGCGGGAATCGTCAACGCTTCCCTCGCACGGTGCCCGAGAGGCTGTTTTCTCTGCCGCACCGGCATCAGCCACCCCTCCAACCCGGAGATCCTTGTCTCCTGCGCCTGCGTCAATTGCATTGACAATGCCCGGTGTTTGCGGGCCCGTGAAATTCTTCCGCCCGTCAAAGACCCACGTCACGACTGACACCAATCCGATGACGCCGAACGCAGCCGAGCAATAATTCATGTTCTCGCCGGTAACGGGTCCGACCTGGGGGAAGTTGAAATCGATCCCTGCAAAGATCAGGAAGACGAGGCCGATGGCGTTGATGTAGGGACTGTACTTCCCCAAGCTGTACTGTCCATTGATCGTAACTGCCGAGGGATTGGAGTGAGTGGCGAGGGACCAAAGGCGAACGAAAAGGGGCGCCGCGTAGGACAGGTAGAAGCCGAACGTGGCGATGGAGATGACCGTGCTGAAGCCTTCAAAGGAGGCGTAGTAGATGCTGTTCAGGCCCATTTGCAAGACCATGCACAACAAGATGCTGTAGGTGGGCACCTGGGATTTCTTGTCCACCTTGGCGAAGATTTTGCTGAAAGGCAGGCCGTGGTCCCGCGAGAACGCCCAGAGTGCTCGACTTCCCTCCGCCATCAGCGAATTCGCGCAGATCACAACGATCACGGTGATCATCGCCGCCAGAGTGGTCGCACCGCCAACGGAGGAAGTGCTATCGAGAAAAATCTGTATGAGCGGAACGCCAGTCGGTGTCGTAGCGGTGGCTTCCAGGTCGCCGATGCAGAAGAACGCCGAGATCAGAAAGACGAAGCCTGTTACAGCCCCGAGATAGACGGAGAGAATGATGGCTTGAGGGGCTTCTTTCGCAGGGTTCAGCATCTCTTCAGTCATGTGGCTGTAACAAGAGATCAGCATCCTTCTCAGGCCGGGCGAGATACTGGCAAGGCTTTAACGTACCTAGGAGCATCGTAGCAGCACATTCCTGCAGGAGGTGTTAGCGTACGCCGAGCAGTCAGGTCATCGAACAAACCAAATAATGTCTGCAAAAGACCAATCATGACCGCCATGCCGCCCGAACTGAACCCTGTTTCATTCTGGAAGTCCGAAAACACAAAGCTCGCCGACTGTTTGTGATGATTGGCGGCGAGGATGGTGATCACAACGACGAAGAAGCTCAGAATATTCCAGACGACGGCAAAGGTCGAGATTTGGTTGAGGAAGCGCGACCACAAGATGTTGACGGCAGCGGCCAGCAGGGCAATCAGGTACGTCACGAGAACGACATGCCAACGCTCGATGGTGTAGGATGAGTTGTTCAAGTTGGCCATGCCGAGGAGGAAGTTCGCGGTGATCTAGACCGATATCAGTAAATACGACCCTCTCACAGACCACAGGAGACGACGGACAAAGTTGTTTACAGCGCCCATGGCCACGATGCCCGTGCACATGAACCATCCAGTCACGAAGGCGGCACCCCGTGCGTATTTTGGCGGAGCGAGGATGGCGACCCAGCTGTACTGACCGCCCGCAGTTGGGTACGCGGAGCACATTTCGGCGAAAGAATATGCAACGGCGAGCGACAGTATGCAGATTCCCACCCAGGACCAGACCATGACAGGAGGACCTCCTGCCTCGATCCCGACAATCAGAGTACCTCCCAAGGCTGTCCAACACGTGACGATTGAGAAGCTGAACCCTACCATCCCCAGGAGGGAGAATGAGCGTTGGAGCTCTGTCGGAAGAGACACGGTCAGACCACGAGAACCGCACAATGCGGACAGAATGCATTCGTACCTTGCTCATACCCAAGTTGAGCCAATTGGACCTCATTGGCAACCGTAGAGTCAAATGCTTCATTCTTCCTGCCACCCACGATTGACGACAGACGTCGTGCAGCCATGTTTCCTGCAGCAGAGCGAACGGGCTAGACTGGTAAGCTCGACTCCAACACAGTTCTGAAATGCGAATGGGCGTGAGAGGAGATGCAAGATAAAGACGACATGGTAGATATAGCCATGTTCAATGGATGAATCATTCGTGAACATAACAAGCGAAGAATAAGCTTCAAGGAGCTTATCTTCCGCGTCCGTGTGGCTTGCGTAGTTGAAACCTGGGTAGATCGAGTCCTTACCGCCCAATAGGGACCAAGATGTGAATCCGTTATCGCTGGACACCCACAGGATGGTGCCTGGGTCGGAGAGCAAATAATTAATCCGTGGTGAGGTTTCCCAGGAGATCACCGTCAGCCAATACATGGACCAAGCTATATGCTCCAACAGTGATAATCAAACCGCGGTCGACTGAAGGCTCGAGTATGTTGTTAGGGCCCATGCCAGGGAGCACCTACAGCACGCAGAGAGTCAGTCACGGGGATTAATCTCCCAAGCCTCGGGGGGCTTTCAAAGCCTTTGTAGCGACGCCGCGAATGTGTGCGGCTGCGCAGGTGCCGGCGTTTGAAGAGCAAAGACCAGCAATACCCGTGTCGACAGGCGCGCACTCAACAGAGATGAAGATATCGACGTCAATCCAACATGAATCAGGCGGATGGACGATGGAATCAAATGGGTCGAGGGAGCTGGGGCATCCCATGCGGACAAGTCCGTCCTCTGCGCCCTCGACAGCTCGCTCTGGCAGCCCTGTAATTACTCAATTACAGTAGCCACGATTGGCTTGGGGGAGGAGAATCACTCTTGGGTGACTCTGCTGGTAGATGTGACGAGGCGATGGCGGGAAGGCCTGGCCTCCTTATGTGCTCTATTATCGACTGGAGACGCTCGTGGAATATCTCCTCTGGAAAGAGTACGAGTACACCATCAACGAGATCAACACCCTCTGGCAGGTCAACGACATCAATGCGTCGCCTTCTCATACTTCTCCCCCAGAGCACTGTACCAAGCATCAATGACCGCACCGGCCGGTCCAGGGGCAATGATATCCTTCCCCTGCTCCCAGCCCTCCTCGACCTCTTGAATGAACTCGTCCACACTCATGGCTGCCTTGTTCTTCTCCTTCGAATTGTCGCTAGGGTCCGTCCTGTCGCGGTGAAGAGCCGTGGAAACAGTGGGCGGGGCGATCTCCACGACCTTGATTTTTCCAGACCTTTCGTACTGCGAGCGCAGATTCAACGAGAACATGTGGACCCATGCTTTCGTGCCGTTGTACACGGGGTTGATTACACTGGACGGCAGGAAACCCAATATACTCGAAACATTGATAATGACGCCTTTCTTGTCCTGCGGTAAGCTGGTGAAATGTGACAGGAATGCTAACGCCAAATGCATCGGTCCACGAATATTGATGTCGATTTCCTCATCCGCTCGGCCCAAGTCAAAGCCGTATTCTTGCTTCTCGCCAATATTCGGGAACTGGAATGGTCTTTGCACGCCAGCATTGTTGATCAAACAGTTGACCTCCGGATGGGACTGCAGGATCTGCTCGACGGTGCTTGGGATTGCTCCGGTGTCGCCCGTGTCGAGAACGTAGTATCCAGCAGCATGGATCTCGGAGACAGTCGTCTTCAAACTCGACTCGCTACGTCCGATCAGGACGACCTTCTTGCCGGCGCGTATCAAGGATTCAGCCATTGCTTTACCCAGCCCAGAGTTGCCGCCCGTTATGACGGCTGCATCGATGAGTGATATCGTTGATTCGGGCATTCTGCTGTCTCAACAAGGCTGCAGGAAACGATGAGTGATTTGACCGTGATATGTCCTCGACGCGGTCAACAGAGCTTCCTTCCTCTGTGGCCGCCGATTTCAGGCTTTGGATAGTCCTGCTTCACAGATATTCTGTCGGTTGTTCCCGTGAGCAAGGAAAGCAAAGGCGAATTCACTTCTGCCAGGATGATCTCTGGCTGGATAATATAACAGAATAACCTGCACATACTAGCTGCATATGTTACGTGAGTCTGATGCACATTCTCCGAGGTGATGCAACATCTGAATCACCATCCACAGCTCCGTCCGCTATCATGACGTGATGGCTCAAAGTCCACTTAGCACAACAACCTGGATGTTATCTGAAGGGTGGCGTGTCCACCTTCTAATGGCTCTATCATTCCCTGCCCTCCAGGCTGATGCGTCGAGTCGAGAACGGTTTCAAGGAACTGTCGAACCAATGAGGACTTGGTGAATTCTTGCCTTTTCCGATCGCATGTCGAGAGGGTTACGAGAATCATGGTATTTTACGTCTCCGTGGCTGCCTCACACCTAGCTGGGTAATGGGAGGGACCAGCTGCAAATGTGCTTTTCACGCATCCAGGTCGTCCTGAGAGGGCCAGAGACAAGCCCCGGACACAACCTTTCTTCAGGACCAGCTTATGTCGAGGCTCACTGTGGACCGAAACACCATGCTGCTATGGGTGGGCACTGCCAGTCAAGATAGCTCACGGGTATTGCACTGCGAAGGTATTACCACCCTCAAAGTCTACGAACTCAGTCCCTGTCATGCGTGACACCGCGTGACGGCGGCAGGACTGATGAAGCTGCATCTTGCAACTTTGCCGTTCTGCCCGCAGCTAGAAACTGCCGTTCTAGTCTACCACGTGCTTCTCCCCCTCTCTCGTCATCGTGGGAGATATAGAATCCTTGGTTGAGGGTGTGGTTTCATTGTTGCTGCAGAAGGAGCACTTGGCCGATGAACCAGCGGCAGTCGTGGGAGGCGAGGTCGATTCTCACGGTCGTCTCCTGCCAAATCGAAAATTGACCGGCGTCGCGCCTTGTGGTCCCGAACTTGTTCTTCGCTGTCGGTATCCTCAGCGAGGTCAAAGACAGAGGAACCTCGACGCTTCTTGGATTGGGTATTTATCAAACTCTTTGGTGGCCTTCCTTGAAGCTCGCAGTTGCTGGGTGGTGTTCCGCCAGAGGAACTCGCGTCTGAGACACCATCGCTTTGGACAGAGGGAGAATGCTTGGTTGAATTCTTGACTTTGCGAAGGCTACCCGGTGTTGCGGGCTGGTCCAAAAAGACAATGGCAGCCGGTCTATTGGGGCAGGCTCGTGCTCCCTGCTCAACTGCAGACGCAGTATTTGGTGTCGTATTCGACAACGATGTGGAATGTGATGGCGTGCTCGAATGCTCGATGGGAAGCACTTTTCGAAGTTTCGGAGTTGAGGGTCGTACGCTCGGTACGTCTTCCCTAGATCCCTGGTGGCCACCCTGCGGGCTCTTATGTGCCGAAGGCCTTGAGGGTTTAAGAAAGTCTTTAGATTGCCGACCGGAAGATTCAGCTTGTGGCTCAAAGGACTTTCTGATCGGAAGAGGTTCTGAAACTGCCCTAGCACCACGGCAAGGCCCTGTTGTGGTTGGCGTTGCGGTTGTGGACAGGGAAGATGGCTGGTGACTCGGCGACATCGAGTCGGCTCTCACACGCAGACGGGCTGCAGATGTTGGTGACGACGTCTCTATCGACGACAAAACTTCCGCTGAGAGCCCCCGATTCGGGCTTCTCGAGGGCCACAGGTTTTGGTGCATCTGCCTAGGAAACGGCTTATATGGCGGCTCGATCGGAGACTGGACACGCCCCATGCTTCTTCTTGGTGGTTTGAGAAAGGCCTTGGAGCACTTTAAGTTTCTGATAGAGCCGCTATCCTGGAACTCGACGATATTTGACCTTGGAATCCGTGGACACCAATGTTTGATTGTCCGCTGGTACAGATCCTCGAAGTCATTCTTGTGGACTTCATTGTAGAACCAGGGGTGCTGGAGTGCTCCGTCTGCTGTCAATCTTGCTTCTTCTTCCAGCACCAGAAGTCTCTCGACGAACTCCTTTGGACGCTGGCGAACTGATTGCCACTCTTTTGAGTCGCGTAGAAAGTTCAGGTTGCAGTCCCCGGCAAGCCTTTCGGAGTATTTGTTCGTACTGGGGTCACAAAACGCCAGTCCTCCCGTCAGGAGGACGACTGTAACACATCCCACGGCCCACATATCCACAGATCGGGTATAACCTGGCCTTTCCGGTTCAACGCTTGACTTCAGATAACCGAGGATCTCACTGCAGCAGTATGAGCAGCCGATGGCTTACGAGCAGTGGTCAGACATACGGTGCAGCGTATTCGTGGGTGCCAATGATCGATGACATGCGATGTAATCTGTTCTCGATTCTCCTGGCTGCACCAAAATCTGTCAGGATGACCCGGCACCCTGCAGCCAGACTGGTCATGAGAACGTTGTCAGGTTTAATGTCGCGGTGAACAATGTTCTTGCTGTGTAGAAATGACAGTGCCATCAAGATCTGGCGGATGATGACTGCTGCCTCAACTTCGAGTAGCTTGCCATCCTTCGACTCGATGTATGAGAATAAATCGCCGGCCGTAACTATCTCTTGCATGATGTACCTGTCCCGTCAGCCATAGACAAGTGAGATCTCGGTTCGCTCACATGGTATTGTCTGTGATGTACACCTTCTCAATGCCAATGATGTTGGGCTGGTGGCAAGGTCAGCTTGCATCGGATGTATGCTTTGTCTCCTTACGTGGCTAATCGATGCCAGGATATCAACCTCACGATAATACTTGCTCAGTTGCCTTTCGAGGGCGTCTTTTCTTTTCTGCTGTAGAGCCCAAGCCTTGAGTTTGCGGACCTGCGTACGGTTGTCAATTTCTTCGGCAGCAACAGGCTGATCTGCCCTTCCAAACTTTATCTGGGCTCCTGGCATAAGCACTCGTAGATCGACAACTTTGCATGCCACTTGGTGTCGAGTGCTTTGCTCAATTGCCATGAATACCTTGCCAAACGCGCCAGAACCGAGGAGTCTGTCGCTCAGAGTGTAGTCTTTGCCGAATTTCTATCCGTGTCAGAATGAACAACAAAACACCTGGCCGCAAGCATACCGCCATCTCAGTCTCTTGTATGTAATCGAAGGTCTCAGGCGTGCGACAGGAGGGCATAGCTGTGAAGATGAGGTATGTTCGACGGCTCAGTCGCAACGTATCTCCGTCGCTAAGCAGAAAGCCCCCATTTCCCTTCCCAATAAAGGAGCCGTTCCAATAGGTGCCATTGAGTGACAAGTCTTCCGCATAGACAAGATTTTCAACTTCGCTTGGCTCGTCATCCTCATAGACGACGGTGTAGATTCTGAGGTGGCGTTTCGAGACGTAGGGATCGTTGAGCACATATTGGCTGGTCTGTAAGCAGTATTCCCATGGAGGAGCTGCTACCCTCACCAACGGCTCTTATCTCGACCAATAATGACCTCGCGATGTGAATAGATCTGCTTGCCTACAACAGGATAGTATGACCAGAGACAGAATCCGTGTTCGAAACCGGCTGCAAACCCACTTCCCAGTACGTTACCGCTTTGATCCTTGTGGGTGAGGACTCCGGCAGGGCCTGTTCCGGTTGAAGCAGATAATGTGCTGCCGACGCGACGAACACCAGAGAAAGGGAGCGTCATATTTCAAGAAGCAAGGAATCAGGTCAACGATGGGTGGGGAAGGGAAAGTTGAGTCGGAACATAGATGAAGAACGCGGAAATAAGATGCTCATGGGAACGTAAGGGAAGAGACACACAAACCTCTACCAGAGGCGACCTTGAGGTACGATTGAATGACATGCCTGGCAAGCAAGATGATACTTGGAAGGTGCTGCCCCCAGCTGCAACTTCATCTGGCAGACGAACGATGTCCAAGGCAGGCGTGACCGATGACCGCATCGAGGACTAGCGCCGACAAACACGCCAAGCCAACGCTCGAGCTCTCAGCGCACAAGAAGATATTCCCCGCACAATGTTCTCATTGAACTCTCACCATCTCATCTAGCAACCTCATCTGCCAACCGATCTGTACGTCTCCTGCCACAAACACTTGCCTTCGAGCCCTACTGACACATTTCAGTCGAGATTAGTCGAAGATGAGAGCCAAGTGGAGAAAGAAGCGAGTTCGTCGCCTCAAGCGTAAGAGGAGAAAGACGAGAGCCCGCAGGTACGATTCAAGGCTTGCCCATTCATCATGATCAGTCCTGACCTCTTTCTACAGCAAGTAATCGCGTCGACTGCTCCATCACGTCCTCCCTCTCGACCAATGTCAATGAATCGTCAACACACAGCTAGTTCTCGCAGCTCGAGCATCACCAGCAGCTAGCGCATCGGCCACAAGTTCACCTCCGGCGGCGTGTTATTCAATCGCTATGGAGGGAGCTTGGTCTACGAAGATTCGGCCTTACTATCAAACGGGTATCATATCTGTGATATCCGTGTAAGAGGAGTGGAGCACGGTCAAACCTCAATGGAGCTGTATGGCGGATTGCTTATGATGTCTTGGGCATCCTAGGAGGATATTGCACGCAGGAATCCTCGGACAATGCACATATGTCTTTAGACTCCGGCAAATCTCAAAAACAGGGCTCTTCGCGCGAAAGAAGCATCGTCCGTTGTCGTCACAGCTGACGGCGTCTACCTCAAGACACAGATAGACAATACGATCAACTGAGCTCTGAATGCCTCTTCTCGTGCTGAACCTGTGATGCCGCCCACTCCAGCTGACTTAGAAGCTGTGATGTTTATTCTGTACTTGTGTCTCTGCATAAAACTCTAGCTGTCCTGACAACAGTGTTCACAGTCAGTCAATCTTGGACTGGACACACTGGACACCCGAAGCTTCCCTCAAGAGATCTCTCCGTGATGTCAATTGTGCAAGCTCAGCCGGCAAAACTTCGGACTTGAACAGAGAAATTTCCCGGTCAACTTCGCGATGCCGGTCTCTCTGCGTCCCGCGTTCACAATCCCCCGGAGACAACTCTCTGCGCAGACTCGACAATATGGAAGGAAAGAAAAGAAAGGTAGCCCCGACTGCGGCACCGGCCGAGGGTGAAAGACCTTCCAAGAAGGCGCAAACTGGCACCGTAAAGGTCACCCACCTCAGCGCCCCAGATATTGCTCAACCAGTCGTCGGTATGTACCTGTATGGTCCTACAGTCAGCGCTCGAGCTGAACAAAGACAGTGACCTCTCCTGGGGTGGCGCTTCCGTCAGACCTCGCCTTCACCGGCTATTCCAAGAAAGAGACAAGCGGAAGGTCAAGCCTCCTCCTTCAGTCTTCCGAACATCCCACGATCGACTATGTCGCAACCGAGAGCGGCACGACCAGCGCCGCCGACAAACACCTCAAGCACTATGTCGCCATATTCGACGCAGCGTCGAACAAGCTCAAAGTCATGGAAGCGAAAAAGATGACCGTGAGGAGTACGGTCCGCGTCCCAGACAGAGAAAGTGAGGACGAGGAGGAAGCGGAAGTCAAAGCCACGCCATCGTCTCGCGCAGCACTAACCCAAGCCTTTGGCACCAAGAAATCAAAGCGAGCAGTCGCGTCTATGGCTGAGAACCGACTCCTGGCCCGTGACGGCGAAACCGACAACCCAGTCTCCGCTGCCATCCTCAACTCAATCAACCACGAAGAAGAGGACGACTCAGAGGCCGGCCTCGCCAGCGGGTCACTAACGGCACGAGCCAACAAGCCTCTGCCCCCGGTAGACCTAAACACCACCGACATCTCCAAAGTGTACGACCTCTCCCAGCTGGTGCATCCCGGGCCGTGGAAAACCACGCTGTCGCAGATGCAAATCGCCTTCTGGCGCGACTGCATACAGAAGAACAAACCCATCCCCAGCAGCCTGCGCTTCATAGCGACACGCATCAGCTACCTCGGACCAAAACACCTCAAAGACCCGGACAACACCGAAATCCTCCAGAAACTCCAACTGCTGCGGTACATCCAGCTGCTGGCCGAGATCCGCAAGTACGTCTCCCACCAAAGCAGCCGCAGACCCATGCTCCCCGTGGAGAAGTGGCCGCAGGGTACAACCAGCGACACGGCGCTTTCCACGGCCTTCAAGGCAAGACTGGTGTCCCACTTTTTCCCCAGCCGGACTCCCACCGTGTTTGCCAAAACTCTGCTTACCTCGACGATCCTGGCCCTGACGCTGCACATTCCGCCCCCGAAATTCACACCGGGTGACACCCCAAGCATGCTCTTCACGGAGCCCAGCGAGATCACGCTCGACCTGGGCGTGCCCGCGGCAGAAATCAACAAACTCTACCGAGAACTAGGCTGCAAGTTGGAGAGCATGACCGACGCAGAGTTGAACAAGTACGGATGGAACAAAATCGCGCGGCCACCGAAAAAGGTCGACGAGGAGACAGGTCAGATTGTCAAGCTGGCGAAGCCCAAGTTTGCGAAGTTGAGGTTCCCCATTGATTTTCCCAAGGTCAGCGCGGGCAGACCAGGAAGGAGGTAAACTGCATCGCGACAAGGCGCGCACGAAAGGAGGTAGAATGCATTAGCAGAAGGCGCCCACGAAAGGAGATGGATTGCACCGCATTGCATTGCACTGTTTAGCGAGCATGAGCCCCATCACCGACGACGATGGTTCGTCTATGACGACGGTTTTGTCCACGACGTCGAACGAGCTTGAACCTTGGGAGGGCGAGAGTGGTTGATAGGAGCAACATGACATGACGTGACACACTATGATGAGCCTTTACCAGACGTACTAGACATGACATGGATGAGCCTTTACCAGACGTACTAGACATGACATGATGAGCCTTTGCCAGACGTACTAGACATGACATGACATGATGTGCCTCTGCCTTTGCCAGAGGTGCGGCGGTACAGAGGTACAGAGGTACAGACGCACAGACGCACAGACGTACAGACGGGAGGTACTACAAGGTCGACCGCGCACCGGCATTTAGACTGAGACTGAGACCAAGGCCGAGACCGAGATACATACTATACACAAGTCGTCGGCCACGGCTGCGGCCTGCAAGGCAATCAGTGAGGAAATCCCCAAATCATCATTTCAACTTATAGTACAGTATCCGTCCTGCCCTAACTATTTATTTATTTGTTTATTTATTCTTCACATCACACATGGTGCGCCGCGCGTTTCGAGCGAATAAATACCTCCCTCCCATAGTAGCGTGCTTGCTTGCTCGCCGTCGTCCGTGATGAGTGGTAGTGGACCAGAGAAAAGCACATCGCAAGCAATATTGTAGACGGCGTGGGGTGTGGGTATGGGCGTGGGCGTGATGTGGCGTCCTAAAGGAAAGGGGCAGGCGAAAATAGGGAGGGAGGGAGGGTAGGTACGCAGACGTCAAGGTCAATCTCAGACGGCCAGTCCAGACGGAACAGAAAGGCGACTGTAGATAGGTAGACAGATGGCATCGGTGACTGTAGGCAGATGGCATCATCGGCTCCGCGTCGAGCCGGAATATATAAAGGCAGCTATAGGTATAGCTATGGATGGATGGCGATAGCTACAGACACGGCATAGCATAGCATGGCATGGCCAGCATGGCATGGCCACTCGCTAGCTAAGCATGTGTGTGAGCTACAGCATGTAATCAAAGGCCGAAGAGCCGGATATTTTGACCCCCGTCCAACTGTTCTCTCCGTCTCTCTGTCTCTCTCTCTACCTCTTTCTCGGAAGCAAAGAATGATTTTCAGCCACATACGCACATATACACACAAGTTCATACCACATTCATATGACAGAACCCACGCGGACCATACCGCGCGACGAGCACTGCAGGGCAGGCTGAAAGCTTAAGCCGCGGCGGCAGCCACGATCGGGACTCTTTCGGCCGTGGCCTCCTCGACGTGAGTTTCCGCAGCGAGACTCTGGTCCGCGTCGACAAGCTGAGCGTCGGTCCAAAGCGGCTGCACCGGTTCGGCGTCCTTGACGCCCACGCCAACGAAGCCGCCTTGGGCTGCCCAGTCGGCGACGCGCTTGATGGAGAGTCTATTCCAGACATTCTCGAGCGCTTCGACGAGCTCGGCGCGCAGAGCCGCAGTATGTCCAGGCGTGGGGGTGATGCGGAGGCGCTCCTCGCCGCGCGGCACGGTGGGGTAGTTGATGCTCTGCACGTAGATGTCGTAGTCGGTCAGAAGCATGTCCGACGCTTTCTTTGCGGTCTCGGCGTCCCCAACGAGGAGGGGCACAATGTGCGACGGGTTCGGAATGACAGGGATGCCGCGGGCCGTCAAGTCGTCTTTCAGGGCGCGGGTGTGAAGTTGCTGGAGGCGACGGTCCCCTTGGTAGCGAATTTGATATTCAATTGCCGTGCGGGCGCCGGCCATGGTCGCTGGTGGAAGGGAGGTGGTGAAGATGAAGCCCGGTGCGAGAGAACGGATCGTGTCAACCAGGGCGCTGGAACCGGCGATGTAGCCGCCGACGCAGCCGTAGGCTTTGCCGAGGGTGCCCGTGATGATGTCGATTCTATCCATGACGGTTCCGCGTTGGGATTCCTTGGTTCTATTTGGGTCGGCATAGACGTCGTAGTCGAGATGCTCGGCCACACCGGCGCCACGCGGGCCATACATTCCGACAGCGTGGACTTCGTCGAGGAAGGTGATGGCACCGTACTTATCTGCCAGGTCGCAAATTGCTTCGATCGGGGCGACGGAGCCGCACATGCTATAGACGGACTCGAAGGCGATAATTTTGGGGGTTTCGGGTGATAAGCTGGCGAGTTTCGCCTCCAGGTCGGCCAGATCATTGTGTTTGAAGACCATTTTCTTGGCACCGGAGTGTCGAATGCCTTGAATCATGGAAGCGTGATTCATGCTGTCGCTGAGAATCACACAATCGGGCAATTTGCTGCCCAGCGTCGCCAACGTAGCATCATTGGCGACGTAGCACGACGAGAACACCAAGGCTCCTTCTTTGCCATGCAAGTCCGCCAGGCTCTTTTCCAGGGCCACAGCATGTTGGTTGTGACCCGAAATATTTCGCGTCCCCCCCGCCCCAGCGCCGTACATGTCCAAGGTTTCTTTCATGGTCTTCAGAACGTGGGAGTTGCGGCCCATGCCGAGATAGTCGTTGGAGCACCAGACGGTCACCTTCTCCTCCTTGGCCGCCATGTGGGCACGTGGAAACTCCTTGGCCAGACGGTTGATGTTGTTGAAGTAGCGGTAGGATTTGTCCTTGTGCTTCTTGTCGAGCTCGTTGTTGTAGAAAGCTTCATAGTCAAACCGAGGGGCTGGCGGGGCATGGGGCTTCGGTCCAGCGAAGGTGTCAGGTTTCTTGCCAAAGGCCTTCACCTTCTGTGGTGGCGGAGCTAGGGAAACGTCAGTACCACTTCAGCACGGCGCTGGAGAGGCTGAAATACCTTGCTGCTCGGGCCGGAACACGTTGGTGTCGACACTGGCTTTCTTTTCAGCTGCAGTGTGCAATTTTTTCTCGAGCAGAGACTTGACGACACCAGTGCCGGCCGCAACGCTGCCGTAGCTGCGGCGATGGTTGATCCGGGCACTCTGGACGGCCAGAGCCTTGTTCATGACGGGGCATCGTCGAGCAATGAACTGCAGATTCGTGATCGTGCCGCCACCAGGGGACTGGCGGGTGGTGGACGACAGGGAGCGCAGTGTCGCGGGAGACGTCTTCTTGAGGAATGGGCACACGCCCTTGGATTGATGGAGGAGTGCCTCCATATCGCAGGTCGACTGGGAGTATCGCAGGCAGTTTCTTGAGGTCAGATAGTAGAGGACGGAGGGGAAGGATGAGGACGTCGGTCAGCTCATATTCATCCACAGAATTGAAGCCGTCACAAAAGCGAAGTAGTAATCGGCCAAGAAAGGCGACCGTCTGACAGCGCGACTCCACACGACGAGGTCCAGAAGCCTGAAGAAGCCAACATATTGCCGAGTCAGACTTCCACTTGTCCCTGGCTCCTCGCTTCGAGCGGCACTGCGGAGGGAGGAGTTGACGAATCATACGAGCGCCATTGGTGATGGGAGAAGTCTCGCTGCATATTCCCGCTTTCGTCGTTGGGTCGATTCCCGGGGCAGAACGTTGTTTTCTTAGCAGGCCCGCCTACAGTAAGACCTCGATATGTGCATGGTAGGTACATAGTATGTCCGGAAATTGTTCCTCTGAGAATTGTCCCTTCCTCTTGCTACCGAATGATTTCGATCCGACAGCCGTTACATGGCCGAGCATACCGCTTCGGATGATTGATTCGGTGGCCAGAGAAATTTGGTCTATGTCTGCACTCACCATGTGTCAGGAGATGTCCACAGCCCTCTGGGGATCGCCCCAAAAGACCGGAATCCTAGCACTTTGTGCTGGTTATTGGACCTCTTAGCGTGTATACATGCTATGGACGGGCGGGGGGGGGGAAGCATTTCAGGAAACCATGGTACCCGAGCCTTGATCCACGGTACCTCGTCCGCTGTGCCGGCCTCGTTGTGCCTGCCTGGGTCCATGCTTCGTGCGCCACATCTGGGCTTTCCAAAGTCCTCATGGATAGTTGTTCAGGTGTGGCTGACTGTCTCTTGTGTCACCGTTTCGCTCTCGTTCTCGTCCGTTTTCGAGGCTAGTTTCTAGCAACGAGGCATGCAAATTTTGGATCATCCTGAGAAGGGCCTGCATCGATGAGACCACTTGACGTCCCTGCGCTTTCTTCGCTGTTCCTCCTTCGCTGTTCCTCCCTTCGGCCTTTCCTCGTCGTCCACGTCATTGCGAGCAAAGGCATACAAGGCATAGCACAAGCCACAAGCAGCACTGCCAATCGTCAGCGTAGTTGCAAAGACTGGCGCCGTTAAGTACCATACCAGAAAAGATCTCTTCCATCATCAGTCAGCCTCTTTCGACAACGGATACAGATCTTGTTGCCCAATTCAAGGAACATCGACATCGCAACTGTCGAATTTGGTTTCACAATGGAGCCCCAAGTCTCCTCTGTCACAAGTCTGCCACGACCATTGTTCTGATTGAGGTGATAGCTGCCGGCAAGGACAAATGACTGCCATGGATGTCCCAGGAAATGTTGCTGGAGGAATCCCGAGAAGGTCGCTGGATATTCGCAGGTTGAGAAGGGTAGCATTATCGACGATCCGAATGCGTCATCGAATCTGACCCTATCGGCACCAAGTATGGAGAGCTGGGGACATAGTCGGACGGCCATTTGCGAGAACGCCACAATGGTGCATAGGATTAGAATTGCAGATGCTGGATCGGGTCTCGCAAGGTCGATGAAGGCTCGGAGCGTTATCTTCAATCCGCTGTCGTGTCGTGAGACAAACAGGGCAGCAATCAGCATTGGCGTGACGGCTTGGTCATGCGACATATGAAGCTGTCGGCAAAGCGGCCGTGAGGGCTTCTTGAATGAAGGAAAGGACGGAAGGACTTCACTGCGGGTATCCAGGCGCGGTGACCGATGTTTGCCCATGGTCGTTAATGTCATCTGTGCCTGACAACCTTCTCTATGCTGCCTGCGAGCCCCTTTCTCAAAAGCAGTTTGCATTTGCAGAATCGGCTTCGAGAGGGCAGTCTCTGACCGGGAGATTCTCTCAAGGGTCTGTCGGGTATCGAGGGTGGATTCTGTACGACTGGCTTGGACTTGCTCACTGTCGCGGACCTGGACCATCGAAGGTCTTGCCTCATCTTGCACACCGTCCAGGAAGGCTTCAAGGCCGTCAACAGCTGCCAACTCGTGCTTGAGACTTGTTAATGCGGCTACAGCCTGTTGCTCTGACCCGTCTTCGTCTTTCAGAGCCTCAACAACCCTCTTGGCTGCAAGAAACCCGTTGACAAGATCGCTGGGTGAAATACCCACCACGGACATGATAGAGCTGCTGGCACAACAGAAAGGTTATCCATACCGGGGGGGGGGTGGTCGGTTTTGATAACAGCAATGCTGCGAGAGTGTGGTCAGCTGGCGGAAAGACGCTACCTACTAGGAAGGGAAAGGGACAGGCAGTAACAGTTGCACAAAGTGCCAATGAGCTGAGCGACTCAGCCGCCCTTCTGGCTGGGACGTCTAGAGCCAATGAGCCAGATATACTGGCAAGGCAGACTGCGGCTCGCTGTAAAGCGATAGTGCAGCTGGTGGGCTGGACTTGCCGGTCACTGACGGCCTCCGTCGTCGGCTCTGTGTGTTTGTATGCAGGCGCGAAGCACGGGCGGCAAGGTTCAGGAACATATATATCCGATCTAGTGATTCTCATGGATTTTGGATTGCTTTGTGACATATGTTCGATGCTGCCTGGCTGAACATGGACGCCAAGTGCTGGTAAATCCATTTCTCGCTTGTACGCACGAGTGACGACCTTGTATTTAACAGGCGTAATGATGTGATGCTTGTTCGCACATGCCCATTGCTTCAAATACCCCCTCGTCGGTCTCTCTCGGTAGTGACCTCGCGTGCTTTGCAATGGATGAACAACTCCGAATTCAAACTCACTCAAGCCGGCAATACATTCTGGCCCTTGTTTGCTTTGCTAAGACGACCATCTTCAAGGATTGTTATCCCCCGGCTTTTGACGTCCTTGTTATCTTAATCCGTCCCTCCAATCGCGGTGCAATGGCCTGAGTAAGCTGTCAATATGCAAGTCTACGGCACTCTCTCTCCTTTTCGGACAGGACGGCATAGATCATTTGGTAGCACTTACCCGGGTCCAGTCGATGTGAAATTCCCCTTCATTCATAGGATCGACACACGCTGCTTCGTCCCTTACACCAGCAAGTCGCCGCCATTTCCGGGTCACCTTCCTCGCGATGAGCGATTCCCTCTGGCTCAATTTATCCCTGTGAGCCGGCACAAGATGGTCAGCTTCATCTTCAGAGTCGTCCAATGGTGTGGTTGTTTCTGTCTTGGTGGTTTCCGGCTTCGATCTGCCCGCATTAACGTTGGGCTCCACGACTGGATGTGTTTCATGCAAGTCCTCGTGTATAGCGTTCCAGTGACGACTTAGACTCTTCCCCCAGTGCTTCCATTTGCCGATCGTTTTCAGAGACATAAAGTACTGTCGCAGCATCATGCTGATCAAGATGCCATTCTCTTCAGAAACAATCTCTTCGGCCTCACCGCCCTCGGACTTCACCAGCAACGAATCGAAGCCATCTTTGCCTCGGCCCATGTAGCCACGTGTGACAAGGACGTACTTGCGTTCGAGATCGAGGGGCTCACCACCAATCTTGGTCCATTTGATCCGATGGTTTGGGGGCAAGGAAGGGTCGAACTCGAACTCAATGTCCGACACTTGAGGGAAACGGCCTTCGAGAGCTGGATAAGCGCAGACTGAGTTTTCCAGTGCTGCGAGGAGAGCGGCTCCCGTGACTCGTATCACGATTGTTGGATCCTCGAACGGAAAGCTTGACACAATGGGATCAGCAAAGTTCCTGGAAAGACTTCGCTGATGGAACTTACCAATTCATAATGTCTTTCAGTTTCAGGACCCCTGGAGGGTATATCTGGTCTCCCCGTATCGTGCCAGATGCCATGAGGCAGCAATCGCCATTGTAGTGGACGCGCATCAGATCACAAACGAAGTTGCCGATATTGGACTCTTTCAACCGAACCGTGGTGAATCTTGCATCTAGGGGAGAAGCGGTATATCCCAAGGGCTTCTCCAATTTGTCCTTCAAGGATGTTGTCAGTTTCTCGACGACTTGAGCCATTTCATCGTCGGGAGGAATATCCGCCACAATGTCGCGCCTCACGATATGAAAATCCCATTTCTTATCGTCGCTAGGACGCCGCCGTGCCTCGATGTAGCTAAGTTGCTTGAAGTCACTGCCGGAGCGCAAGACATGGGTGCCGTTGATGAGAGAGTGCTGATAATAGTGGTCATGGCCTCCGAGGACCAGGTCCACTAAGCCTTCCGGCGTCTTTTCGGCGAGTTTGTTGTCATTCGGTTCTCGTTGGTGCGTTAATGCGATAATGATCTCTGCACCGTCTTCCCGGAGCTTAGGTGCGAGCTCTTTCGCCGTAGCCGAGACTGACTTGTAGACGAGGTCCGGGGGCAGTGAGTTGATCGTGTCAAGCCACTCGCGTTCAACGAGGCCAATGACACCGATCTTGATGCCGTTGCTCGCTGTCAGCATAACCGTCTTGAGTGCCTTGCCTAACGGTACGTCTGGACCATGCTGTGGATCTGGAGTCCTTCGTCAGTAGGCATCCTGTCATACCGGAAAATACCCGAACCAAGAACATTGGCCAGCAACCACGGGAAGTCGCATTTTTGTGCGAGGCTGCGGAATTGTTTGACTCCGAAGTCAAGATCGTGATTCTCGGCACAGGTCAGCAAGGATTGTGCTCAGAGAAATTGGATCGCCACCTACTCCCACGCAAGAGACATCAGTTCCAAGTAGGTTGAGTACGGGCACCATGTGACTGCCTGTTGCTGTCAATCGACGTGCTCAGGTGGCATTGGTGGAGGAGCGAGTCGTACCTTTGGTGATACTGCTCTCACTGCAAGAACGTTAGATCGGTCTCTGACTCGTCGGGACTGGGATCCACCGAGAAAACGGGGTATCAAGACCCTGTCTCAACCGGGCAAACGTCTGGATTGCCGACGCAGGACGTGACGATGAAGGACAACCTACAGGCTGGGATTGAAGGCATCGCCAGAGAAAAGGGTGAGCAGCTTGGGTTGACCTGAGAAGCGCTCATGGTTGCGGTAGTAGTTGCAAACGGTCTGGAAGCGAGCGGCGCCGCCTACTGGTTCGGCAGAGGAGGCATCGACATGATAGACTGGATTTTGCGGCGTTACTAGGTGGAGGTGCAGGCGACAAGCGAAAGGCTCCGAGGCAAGGTGTGTACAAACCGTCATTGAAGTGCAAGAATCGCAGGTCAGGTGGAGTGGAAGTATCGCCGGCGGTGTAAGTGACGGTTTCCGGGGCTGCCTCCATGATTCCCTCTGTCAGGGAGCCCGTCGCCACCGGCGCCCTACAGTTCAAGGGGCTCTAAAGAGTGGATGAGTCTCTCTAGAGACCAACCGTGGAACCTGGAAAAAGTACAAGACCCGAAATATCTCGTGTCTGGGACGAGGGGAAGGACACGTTCGCCCAGACGACACAAGGGAGCGGCGGAAGGATTGGCGGGCGGTTGCCAAATGGAGAGTCTTGAAGCGACGCCGCTTACATAATACGCGAATGCTCTGTGAGCCTCACACGACATGGTCTCTGGGTGTACACAGTCCCTGTCCCATAGTCGCACCACGGACAAGACAGGTGCGTGTTGCGATCGTCCTGACCCTGATGCCCAGGTACAGAGAAGATTTCAGGGTGGGACATCTCGTCATTGCCTCTCACTGTTGCCCGGTAGCATTTTGGCTGCTCGAGAGCCCTCGACCAGCTCAACAGCTTCGTGTAGGATGACTCGGGTTGTACTTTGGATCTTTCAGTTTGTCGCCGAATGCAACCGCTGCTGTACGATTCGAGGGCATCTTCGGCGCATCGGTGAAATACCGCTTGATCTCTGAGAATTTACTGGCGATGCGGCCTGAGGATGATATGGTGCGTGATGGGTTTTGGTTCTTATCGTCTCCAGCAAGACCCATAGTAGATACAGTACCACGTGTAGCACCTGCTGCACCAGAGGAGTATGAAAGAGATCTTCCGAGGTGGAAAGAATCTCGCTAGCGTGATGTCGTTGCCACAGTCCTCCGTCCTTGAGATCGAACTGAACCAGATCACGAATGGTGCTTGCCGAGATGAACAAGGATCGCGTGGAGAGCAGAACACGCTTTCTCCACATCTCAAAAGCTGGTCGGCAGGCTGCTGCCAGTGTCTCGCACCTTCAGTCTCTACATCTCGAAGGTCAGTATCCATCTCATACATTCCACGACGCAGACAAAGAATCCAGGCCTCACTGCTCCCAGGCCGAGTCTCGATGCCGAAACAAACTCTTCACTACAGCTACAACAGGTCGAGGGCACGGCACGCCCGACCAGGAAGGCTACATGCAGCAAACCCAAGCCTGTTTCGTACCCATTCTGTGTCGGTTGTTACGGCCCGGTGACACTTCCAGAACAGAGATCGAAGGGATGCAGCCTCCCGAGACCGTTTTCCGCTTGTGAGAGCAAGGATAAGACCTCACCCTCGTTCTTCCGCCGAGCTTTTCTCGAACGGTTTACGCGCCTTTTGCTGCTTGAAGTCAAGCACACTTCACACGGCTGAGCCTTTCTCGATCTCGCACACTCACTGCCAACACATGGCAATCATGTGCGCGTCATCTTCGTGCGTCACGTCCGGCAGCCAAAGAGAAGAGAGCCAAGCGCAGAGAAGAGGAAGTCATATCCATGCACACAACCAGGCAATGAAGACTCTGGCACAGTCCGAGGCGAACGAGTCGGTCAAACTCGCTGGTCGAAAGACACAAGCGTCTGTGGCAGATCTGCGACCGGTTCTGTTCTCAACAGAACGCAGCGTCAGCCCGTACGTTTGCTCTTTTGACCTTCCGCTGATGAGGCTACCACTACTTTATAGTTTTCAATCTGAGCCTCAATTTTCGCGCAGCGATGCGGGCTGTGTGCTGGGCTAGGACTTCTCGTCGTCTCGTAGGTCCTTTCAGTCCATGGCTGTTGAATGTCGAGTGCCCCCTGATGCCGCAGCGGAAATTCGACTATGTCTGCGGTCGCATCAAATACTCAAGGTTTTCACCAGAGCCAGGTTGAGCACCATGGACACACGAGAAAGAAAGCTCAACTGTCGAGTCGGACAGGATGGCTGCAGTGCCTGAAGAGTGGCGACTGACGTGCGAGCCCGAGAGAGAGAAGGAAGCAGACTGAACGAGGACCACCCGATGAAGAGAGAAGTCCGAAAAGCCAAAGTTGAGACAGCCGAAGATGGGCATACGCCTCTGTTGAAGTGTCCGCCCTTCCTTCTGGCTGTCGGAGCAAACACAAGAGAGCTAATCTGAGGGTGGGAGTCCTCGTTCAATCGTTTCTCCGCCGGTTCTAATTACTGCTGGCCACAACTGTGCTGGTCCAGGATCATACGCAGGTCATCCACCGTCTAGGCTCACTTAGAGCAGCCAAGTCAACTTGCCTCCTCAGCAAATCGAACACCAGGGCACAGCCTCAGACAGTTCAGAAGGCTGTCTACCTTGACTCGAGCAAAGGCCTGATTCACGTCGTCCAGACCAATACCAACAAGTACGTCGTCTCCCAGATACCCAGTTCCCAGCTGAGACATGTAATCGACATCGTCGTTCTCATGATCCTGGTTGGCGGCTGCAGAATGTGGGCTCCAAGTCCAGGCTAGACTCGGCGTGTATGTAAAATACGCCGGGCTCTTGTCGAACCCGTCGTCTTCACCAATCTCCCGTTCATGTATGCCCCGTCTCATGAGTTTGCTTCCTCCTCCTCTGTCGGCCATCCTCATGGTTGCATTCGACTTTCTCTTTAGCTCTGCTTCTCCGCTGACCGGCCAGTTTTCGTCCTTGGTCCATGGCTTCGCCCATTCGTCCCTCATCAACAACGGCAAGCGACTGACACCCAGGATCTGAAATGGCTCTCTGCCCTCCCACACAACCACGTACCTCTCGTAGCGCAGTGGCAGGTCCAGCTCGTTACTGAACTTCCGATGTATAATCGCAAAGTGTACTGAGCGACCACCTGCCACGGCGCCTGTTGTCTCACCGCCGGTATTGTCGTCATCGGTATAATCGTCATCTCGACACGCTGGATCGGTGCGAGCTTGTGCTCTCGTGCACAATATTAGCCGCAAAGAGTTGGAGCCCTGGTGCCAGTGGCCGATACTGCCGAAAGAGTCTTCAAAATCCCCCTCTTCTGCTGAAAAGCAGGGTTGCTCATGTGGATGAGTAAGGTTCGGTGTGGTGAAGCCATTGCCAATGAGTTTGGAGAATGTTCGACCTCCGCGCCTCTCCTTTTCCATCCATGTTCTCCTTTCCTTCGTCCTTGGCTTCGTCGTCGAGTTATTCGCATGGCCCGTGATTTTCGTGACATTCGAATACCGGTAATCTTGCGATTGATTCCCTCCGAGGCCTAGTCTTGGGAGCCCTTCTAGGTCTTGTCCCGCCTCCAGTCCAGCTTCGTCTTTACTCAGCAGAGGATCACCCAACAGGTCATATTGCACATACGCCTCTTCACCACTCGGAAACCACAACACCCAGTTCTTTTCCACGCTGGCCCGACTCCCCCGCGGATTCCTAGTGATCTCTGTGAGGTGAGGATAGCTCATCGACGGCTTGAACCCAAGACTAACACCATTCCCTGCCACCTCGCTCCCTTCCTCTCCGCCGCTATCTCTCCTCACCACCCCCAGAGCGCTGTCCTCCCGACTCAGGATCGTCTCAAGTACTGGATAAACGACCCTCAAGTCCACAATCCAAAGCCCCACACATCCATATCGACTCGCGCTATTCACCAGGATCAACGGTTCCCCCTTGTCGCTCCAAAACACCCTAGGATCGTGGAATCCAGGTATATCAGGGAACGCGAGCCACGCGTCCTCGCACTTCTCTGCCGGCGTGGGCGGGATGTTTATCTTGAGCGGCTCGCTAACGCACCTTAAACCACCACCACTGCCGAGGTGGAAATGATCCGAGGGCGTGCACGGGCGGGTGTCAGGCGGGAGGTGAGTCTGACCTTGTGACGTGGATGCAGAGGAGGAGGAGGAGGAGGGTTGTTGTTGTTGAGGCAGACAAATGTCCGCGAGACAGATCTGCGATTCCTGGTGGAAGCCCGACGTCACGACGCGGGAAACGAGGATATATCGCGCCGGGTGCGCCCAGTAGGGCAAGGGGATTATCGCCGGGTTGAAGAAACGCGTCGTGCTGGTCTTGGCCGTGGGCGGCGAATCGAGCTGTCCTCCGTTCTGGTCTTCAGCCCGCTTGTCAAGTTCAGATGAGGCTGAAGTCGGGGTGAGGCTGATATTGTACAGAATCTCAGGGAGTCGGATATGCGAGGTGTGCTCGTTCGCTGGGATGGGGCAGTGCGTGAACTGCTTGATCACAGGGTGAGCCAGTGGGAGGGGCAGCGCGTGTGACGGCGGGCGGTAAGTGGTCTTACGGCCAGCAGAGAGGTGAGGATGAGCAGACGCGTTGTAGAGGAGGGTGATTTTCGCACTGTTGGAGAGCTCTCTCTGTAGCGCCGCTTGGAGGAGTGCATCATGCGATGATCTGAGGGATCCTGTGTCTGCGAGAACACGGAGAATAACCAGGAGTATGAGGATGACGGCCGCTGGGAGCAAGAATCGGCGTGCTGAAGGAAGGGTGAACATCGTGCTGGTGGTTTCTAGCTTTAAGAGCAAACTGAAAGTGCGGTCAAAGTGAGCCAAGTCGGTAAAGAGGTCTAAATGTTTACTGGGTGATGGATCAGGCCAGAAACATAATGGCGGCTGTCGAGGTCGTTACATATTGTCGCAGAGTCCAAGCATCGAAGGCACTGCCGGCACGAAATCTTGCTCGGTCACCATGAGAGTCGGTTTGTCCTCGTCCGTGTAGCGGTCACCGGTCCAAATCATATAGGCAGTAATCTATGTCTCCTCTTAACAGTAGACCTGCTGTATACCTCCATGTTTTCATAGCTCATACCCCATGTCATCATTATACGCCATCGCTCAATTCTGGAGACTGCTATACAACTGCAATATTGAAGTGTCCTACACCTGGCCGCCAACCAAGACAGCAGGGCGTTTACGCGTCTTCGTCCTCCGACTTGTCAGAGTCGTCTTCTTCATCACTGGTCTCCCAGCCTTCAGCCTCAAGACTCGGTGATCTTATGCCGAAGCTAAGCAAAAACCCGACAAAAGCTACGCCGCCGAAGACACCAAACGCGAGAGCTTCTCCTTTCGGGGAGACTTCGGTGGCGAGACTGAAGAGACCGCCAGACACGAACGGCCCAACTGCTCGACCGGCTGCTGATAGCGTCTGAGCCAGGCCGTTGAGTGTTCCGAGCACAGAGTGGGTTGGAGCTGAATTGGTGATCTAGGTACGCCGTCAGTAGGGTGGTTCACTTCTGCTTTCCAGGTGACTCACTAGTAGTAAAGCACTAGTCAGGCCTCCGACGGCCGCAACCGTCTTGATCAAAAGGACAACGCAGATCTCTATCCATAACCACACAATACCCTTCGTCCCACCAGGGCCGTGGGCGCCATTTTTGTATCCAACCCAGGGCATGAGGACGTAAGCGATCACGAACCCTGCCAATCCCGCTCTATAGGCCCATCTATTGCCCACATGGTCCCGCAACCTCCCGAAGATACCGACTTGGAATAGAATGGTGACCACTCCAGCGAAGGCCAGCGACAGACCGATTTCTTCCGGATCAAGACCCCTTCCAGTCGGGGGTGCGGCCTGTGCGAAGATAGGATAGAGCGAGTTGAAAGAGATGTTCGATAGTTGAAAGATGAGATAGGTCAGCAATAGTAAAATAGTATCCCGATTGAGAACATCACTGCTCTTCAACTCCTCTGCCGCAGGGAAGAAACTGGTGGGGTCGGAGTCGCCTTCTGCGTCTTCATCCTCCGAAACGTCTTCGACGCCATTAACGTGGGGCTGGCTAATCTTCTTGCCTTTGTGCTTCAGGTAGTGTGGCCTGCTGGAAGACGTGAATTGCCAAATCCAAGTGAACAAGTTCTTGACCCTTCTGCCCAAAGGCTGGAGATACTGCGCTTCCTCTAGGCTCTCTTCGAGAAAGATGGCCGTCAGGGCCAAATCCACGAACAATATCGCAGCGGAGAGGAGATTTGGAAGGAGGAATGGGTATTTGCTCGGCTTCGATCTGTTGAAAGGATCCCGCTCTGTGACTAGCACACCACCAATAACAGGACCCGTAATACCTCCGAGACCGTAGAGAACTGGGAGGTACGTGAAAGCCTTGGACTGGTTGCTGCGATCCGTGATCTCGCCCAAACAGGTTGAAACGACACCTTGATTTCCGTTCAACAGTCCCATCAGAGCCTGTACTGCGATGGCTTGGGGCAGTGTTTTCACAAATCCGAATGCAATAAAGCAGATGGCGGTGAAGAACGTGCCCATCAATATGACGGGTTTCCTCCCAATGCGGTCCGACAGCCAACCCCAGAAGAAGTTTGTCGCAAGCTGCGCCAGGGCAAAGGCGGAGGCTATTGTTCCCACATATACACCCACTTGACCAGGCTTCACCTCAGGAAACGACGCGGCCATAGAAGGCAGGTAGGGGCTGATGGAGTTAAGGGCTGTCTGTTCACACAGTGCTATGATGGCCAGGATGGCCATCTGTTTCTTTGGTAAAGGAGAGCTGCGGTGATTGTCTTCGTCGCCATTGTGCGGGTCGTGATTTGAGGAGTTAGAAGAGTCGGACAGGGGCCGCCCTCGCGATTTGGGAGGAGATATACCCCCAAAGGTCTGGTAGTGCGGTGTTGAGGACTTGCGACGCAGCAGCGGTCCATGGTCTGAGGGCTTCATAGCTGCGAACCAACGATTGGTTAGGACATGGAGAGGATTGCGAGTAGGAGGGGTGAGGCAGGATGGCGCAGTCGGCACCAGCACACTTGTATACACGCTTGAAAGGTCAAAGACAAAGGGAGCAGTCGCGGTCCAGCAGCCTTTGGCTGAGGAGGAATAACGGGATTGAGATGTCTGCAATTGCGCAGGCTGCAGTCAGGAAGAATCTCTCAATTGCGGATTTGCTCTGATGCAGAAACAGCCATGCGAGCGGCGAGATGAGATTAGATGCGATTGACCCGGGTCAATCAAGAGCCTTCGCTTACTTACGTCATACTACGTAGGTGCTGCCCAGCGAGCCCAGCATCGGCAGCCGGGTTGGATCTGGCGCTAGCAAATATCGAGGATCTCGACAATCGATTCCTTCACCACATGTATTCTTGTTGGGGGACGCATAACACAAGGCGGCAACGCGGAAGCGCACCAAGCGCCTCATATCAGGCTGCGGCCAGTACACAGTATATCATGCAACGTGTTGATGAACTTGGCGGAGCTCGCCATGCTCAAAATATCACTGGCCGTGACCATGCTCCCAAAACCACTGCCTCCAAACAAAGTACGCCTTCTCGCAGGGCAAGTGATGAATCCGAAGCTCGACCAGATGAGTGTGCCGCTACCAATCAATTCCTACTTCTCACGGGTATCTGTTGTCTCCACCAACCTTCACTCGGCACCTACCACTGCAACCTGCTCGACGTGCGAGGTAGCACTGTTCTTGCTCTCCTGAGCACCATTTGACGCCGCCCCGGTCTTGTAATGCTGAGTAAAGTCGTACATGAGTGCCATAGGCGATCGCATAAACTCGATTTGCGCCTTGTGGTCGTCTTTCAGGTCGTTGAGGAGTTTGAGAAAGGAGTCGGTTTCAAGTGCCTTTTCTGGATCCTGCGAGTACAAACGCTTGATATTGTCCGTGGAGACCGGATCCACGATGGTCTGGTATTTTTCCCGGCGAACTTCAGAGTATTTGTCGAGGATGCTCTCATCGGCCTTGCCTTCGTATACGCCGATCAGACACTCATATAGCCCTTCGACGTCAACGAGACCGCCCGTGAGTCCAAGGCCACCAAACGGGTTGCAGACTATGTCAAGTGTTAGCACCAGTCCAAGGAGGTGAGTAGGTGGTGGGCTTACTGTGGGCAGCATCTGCAGCCAGCAGGAATCTGCCTACCCGCATACTCTTCACTAGCCGCTGGTGGATTTTATAGGGACTGATAGCCGCAAGGTCATACTGCTCAGGATCCGGATTCCCGGGGAACATGGCTTTGAACTTCATCGGCTGGCGGGCGATCAATTCTTCTCTGGAAAGGCCTTCAATTTCACCATAACTGCAGCGCCACCAACCGCTGCCATCGGCGTTCTTGGTGAGGCGTGCAACCATGTGCCAATGTTCGGGATGGATGAAGAAATTCGCGTCGTCGTAGCCGTACTTCTCGAAGGGATATGCCACCTAAACAGCGTCAGAGAAAGGAGTCTTGTGGCGCATTCACTGAGCTTACATTCGTTGCCACAATTTGTCTATCCCACGTATAACCGGGGAATTCTGACCCATACAACTTTCTCCGAACCGTGCTCGAAGCACCATCACAGCCAACAATGTAAGCTGCTTCAAGCCGTTTGGGCCCTTCGGGCGTTTCCACGTCCACCCATGCCTTCTCCGTGTCCTGGCCGAGGTCCACCACTTTGTGGTTAAAGAACACCTTCAATGACGGCTGTTGGATTGCATTCCGGTAGAGCAATCGATCGAGCTGTGCCAACGGTAGGCATGCTAGCCGGTCGGGATCATCGTGCATTAGACTGTTGTCCATCCCAGCAAGATAGGTACCGTCGAGCTTCCGCCAACACATCGTCACCGGGTCGAAACCCTCTTTTCGAATCTCATCGATCACTCCAGCGGTTCGTAATGCGTGAGCAGCCGGTGGTCCATAGTACGCCGCACGAGGAGAGTCGTCCAGCTCAGCAGCGGCCTCTAGAACATGCACTTCGACGCCTTTCTTCGCGAGCATCAGACCGAGTAGCAAACCAGACGGCCCCGCGCCAACAACAATCACCCAAGGCTTTTCGGGGTTCGCCATCTTGGAGGTCTGTCGAATATCCTAGAGCAGAGAGGGCCGCGATGAAGGGAACTCGGAGAGGGTTGAGATCAGACGTCGCTCTTAGTTCTTCCGCTGCCTTCGTTTCTTATAGCTGTCAGGGGACCACTTAAGCCCCGCGCTTGTCCTTCACGTTGCTCTCATATCAGGAGACCAAGACGATCTCGAACGTGTGCCGAGTGTTATGGGGATTTCTCCGGACAGTCTCCATGTGGAGAACCACCACGATGATGCCCTTGATGAGGTTGCCTCGGCCAGCAGCAAGAGGTGGGGCAGTCCTTGTGCTGCCATGTCGAGTGAATCTACGGAGCAGAGTTGATTGCAAGTGATAACGACGTCAGAAGAACTTGACTCTCTACGTAGACTGGACGTAGAGCCGACGACCACAGTGGTCCCTACATAAGATACGCCTCAACCCCTACAAAGCGCATGGCCAGATTCATAGCATGCTGCCCGCAAGTGTCGGTGTAGCCCCGCACTATTCAAGCGCGCCTATTAATCGCGAGGCACGACGAGCTGAAAGTTTTAGGGGACCATGCCACCCAGACTTACGAGTAGCCGATGTCTCTGACAGGACTTTGAGCGACAACACCAGCAGTGACAGAGTGACCGTAGTGGGGCTTCTCCAGGCTCTGCACCAGGAACCGCCTTCTCGCCACAAGCTGACTCTCCCCGTTCTTCTCATTCCACCAGTTCCTCGACATAAGTCCATGTGAATTTTGGATTGTGCGATATCCTCAACTATTCTGGTAAACTGTTGGTATCGAAGTCGCCGCCCCCATCATATCGTCTCCTAAGACCATGGCCAATCCACAAGCGGACCAAGTGGCTGAAGCCCATAAGTTGTTCTATGATCAAGGTTTCCAGATCCGCAATGAGGTTGCCGGTTCCGAACACGTTCAGCGGTCGCTCCAGAATAACTCATCTGATTTTGCTCGGCCGATGCAAGACCTCGCCACGGAGGTGGGATGGGGCATGATCTGGGCACGTCCTGGCTTGACCCGCCAGACCAGAAGCTTGTTGAATATAGCCATGCTTTGCGCTCTCAACCGCATGACCGAGCTTGCCGTGCATGTGAGGGGCGCCGTCAACAATGGTGTCACCGAGACAGAGATCCGGGAGACGTTGATGCAAGTTGCAGTCTACTGTGGCCTGCCGGCCGGTCTTGAAGGAGTGAGGGTAGCGGAAGGAGTGTTGAAGACGCTGCGAGAACAGAAGGAAACCTAAAGCTTGAGCTGCTCTCGCAAGTGGCAACTTCGGCGTGCAGCTGCCGCACGTGGACGTCAAGCAAGAGGCCGTTCAGAAGAAGTGTGCTCGTACCGTCCTACCTACAAACCGAGTACATTTGTCCATTACACTGTAGTGAGAGCGAGCTGTAATCGCAAAGCATCCCGCATCCTGCCCGTTTCTCAGGATGGATGTTGCATAAAGGGCTCTATTTAAGCACATCCGTCCAGCGCCTCTCGCCTTGAGTCCCGGTTCAGTGGCACAGAGTGCACAGTCAGACTGGGGCGGGTTCCAGGCTAGAGGCCGCCCAGGAGCCCCGGAGCAGATCAGGCTCTGCTGGCGTCGCCTGTACGGGTCGCACGGGCGCCCAATCATGTGGTTCTAAGCCCTATTCTGGCCGCCTTGGGCTCCTCGGCAGCCTTATTCTCTCCTCGTATTCTCCGACCGTACGGAGTATCAAACTGCGATTCCGCTGGCTGACACCAGGTCTTGCGACAATCGCTCGCTGGCACATTTCAACCACATCTAACCATTCAACGTCCTGCGGATGGATCTCGGTCTCCTCAACTCAACATTCGCGTCTTGACACCCTTCCCCGTATCCGTCTGGTAGTCCTCGACGGCGCCCGCGGTCATTGCACATTCGTTCGCAGAGGTAGTAGTCCTCTTTGAGGCTGCCTTGGCCTTTACCTCTCGACGAGGCGATCCAACCTGCCATCGTCACAACCCATGACTCTGCGTCGCCCATCACCATTCCCAGCATAGTGAATGGTACCGTCAATCCTGCTGATGCTCGAACATGCCCGGCGTCATCCCGAGCCGACCTTGGGTTAACTCTGCACCTTCACGCCCCGAGCACCTTCGACATTCGGTGCGCTGAAAATGGCCAGCTACCAGTCGAACGGACAGCCCTCTCCTTACTACGCCTCGAACAACCACCCTTCGGCCAGTCAGAACGCGCCTTATGGATCACAGTCGATGTATCCTCCCCAATCGCTACAGCGCGCACCGAGTTTCGATGCCGGAGATGATGAGCGATACCTTGACGGAGAACATGATCCGCGGTGGGGAGCGCAGCGACTTGCCTCGTACGCTCCGCCGACTGCAGGAGCAAGCCCGCCTGTGAACAGGTCGCAGTCCGCCAGCATACAATCGTCGGGGGCTGTGCCATTCAGATCCAACACACAACATGCCGCACTGGCTGGTTACCAACACCAATATCAACCCCCGAGCGTGCCCGCCCATGCACCGTACAATCCCGCTCAATACCACCAGCAGCCGCAGAACACATATAATCCGCAACTCTATGCAAACCCCCCCTCCGCCCACCCTACGAGCACCTACCAGCCATATGTGCCCGCTGCATACGGCAGTCCAGACCTCGCCCGTCGCCCCACAGGGTTCAACAGCTACAGCTCTTACGATGCGAATTCCCATTACAACTACTCTTCGTCCCAGGCACCTGCGCCTCCTCCGAATGTCCAATTTCCCAATCCCCAAGCGTACGGTGCCTACCAGCACGATGTAGCTCAGCAATATCCCGTTCGACATCAGCAGGTCTCGTCCCCTTACTCCCCTCCTGCTCCTGCACCTCCGCCGCATGGAAGAAACAGCAGCATACCGGAAGAGCAATATCCGTATCCTACTGGTTCGTCCGTCGCCTACTCTTCCCTGAGCGCGTATTCGTCTCCTGATATAAACCGCAACTCGTCTTTCGCGAGCCACGTCAGTGGGCAGTCTGCATCACCCCAGCCTTCCATACCTACGCCGCCAAGTAGGCAGCCGTCGAACCGGTCTCCCCAACGAACGAATACCTTGGGCCGCCATCCGGAGGGTCGGTCGCTGCCAGGTCTTCCGTCAGAACCTGAGTCGGACAGTGATTACTTTACTGGCGCTGATCGTCGGGGCAGCGCACTGAATACGCCTTCGGCAGGATATGACGATTTGATGGGCGAGCTTGATAATGCGATAGGGCAGAGCTCCAGACACATAAGGGCTGGCAGTGATGTCAGACTTCGCCATTCCAGAGACGGAGGCCAAGATGTTCAGGTGCAGCCATCACCACAGCCGCTATTATCGCCAGACGAAACCCCAACCCATCTGAACGGCAATATCGCCTCAACAGGAAACGCCTACATCAACTATGGCGCATTTTCTGATGACAGTGACGCGGAAGCTGCCGCCGGACTGGCGGCCATGCAAGCACTCGACGAGCAAGAGCGGGCGGAAGACGAGCGCCGACGTAGTGGCTCGGCTACTCTTTTCCCCTCCCAGCCACATTCGCATGATACAACTGCTAGGCTGTCGTCTCAGGAGCAAAGCAGCGATAGTGACTACGCGGGCTATGGTGACTTGAGTCTTGCGGGAGGGGGTTATGCACCCGACATGGCCTATGGTGAACAGGTTGTTTCCAATTACGCAGCAGCCGCGACAGCCATGCCGCAGAGTGAGCTGTACGGTCGTCTGAATACCAGAATGGACTCAGTGCGCAGCTCTGCCGTGTCTTCAGAAGGACGAGAATCGCAGACAAGTGGGTTCGAGTCGATTCCCTCTGCGCAAAGCCATCATCCCTTCTCTCCGTCTCAGAACGTGGCTCGGGTAGATACCGGAGGCACTGGCGGCTTGACGGAGCCCAGCCCGCACCCAAGGCGACTGAGTTACGAAGATGGAGACGAATCAACGCTGATAGATGCAGAAGCTGGTCGGACTTCGGCGAGCTCGAGCCCTCGAGATGATATGCCCGATCTTTTCTTCCATCCCGGAATGAGCCAGCAGCGACCTCTCCCGCCTCCTCCGTCGCACTCAGATCCTGGCCTGCGGCTTCCGCATTTGCTGCCTAGCAGCACTCACACGCAGCAAAGCCGGTTCTCTCATTATGACCAAAGCAATACTCGTAGTTATCCGACCGCTCCGGATGCTTATCCTAACTCATTGCTTAGCCCGATAACCGTGCCACGGTCCACTTCCTTGTCAAGCACGCGGAGCGCTCCCAAGGTAACTGAACAGGTCTATCGATCGAAAACAGATGCAGATCGTCAACGAATTCTGCGGCAGCAGGGACGACCGATGTCTGACTTGTACGACATCGCCAGTCCGCAGTCCGCTATCGCACTGGACCTGCCAGCCATTCCCAAGAAGCGGTACAATCCGTCCAAGCTCACGAATGATCAGTTCAAGAAGTGTCTGGAACCATGGGCACTCAGTTCGATCTTGGATTGGATCAAGGAGTTGGCCGAAGAAGAAGTCGATCTCAAGGAGGCTAACATTGCTGAGGGCATCGTCGCACTCTTCATGAACAAGGTCCCAACTATGTACATCACGGAAGCTGAAGCACTAGGCGACCGTGTTGTCAAGGAGATGCTGGACGCGAATGCTCTTGTCAAGGACGAGGAATGGGTCAAATTCGGCCCAGGCACCCTGTCCGGGGTTCTATACCAGCTGACCGGTAGCGGATGTTACTCTTCAAAATTACACTTGTATCACACCAAGGGCCGGTGTTACTCGTACCACTGCATGAGGACACTCAAAAGGCTTGATCTCGACGCACTGCCAGTGGAGAAGAAGTCGGAAGACTGGGCGACGTTCTACAAGCTGAAAAAGGAGGACATTGAGACTCACGACAAAAAGGAAATCGAACGTCAAAACGTCCTGCACGAAATTGTCACCAGTGAAGATGTTTTCATCAGCCAGTTGGACGTGCTCAGGGAGCTTTATCGAGACCGGCTGGCTGCTGCGAATCCGCCTATCATACCTACGAAGAAGCTTCAGAACTTCTTGAATGAAGTATTCGGCGGTGTGGATAAGGTTAAGAAAGTCAACCAAGACTATCTTCTGGGTCAGCTCAAGTATCGACAGACGGAGCAGGGACCTTGGATCGTGGGCTTCAGCGACATCTTCCGCGAGTGGATCAGAAAGGCACGGCCTGTATACGTGGAGTACGCCTCGAACTTCCCCCGAGCAGACTACCTCATGCGCCGTGAAGCCGAGAGAAACATCCCCTTCAAATCGTTCCTAGATCACGCGCGAGAGAACAAGAAATCAAACCGACTTGGCTGGGACAACTTTCTCAAAGCTCCAATCACGAGGTTGCAGCGCTACAGCTTGCTACTTGCCACCGTTCAGAAGAACATGCTGAAAGACTCGGAGGAAAAGAACAGCCTTGCCTTTGCGCTGGATGAAATCCGGGCCGCGACGTTTGAATGTGATTCGAAATTTGCCGAGATGACCAAGAAGATGGAGCTCATCGAGATGCAAACGAAACTCCGACTTCGTCCGCCAATGGAGAAAGAGGTGGAGCTCAATCTCGACCATCTGGGCCGAGAAATCATTTTCCGTGGTGACTTGCAGCGTGCAGGAGGGAAAGGCTTCCAGTGGGTGGAGACGCATGCTATCCTGTTCGATCACTATCTGGTGTTGGCGAAGCCTCTCGCCAGAGATCGCAGGGAAGGCTATTATGATGTCTCGAAAGTCCCAATCCCTATGGATTTGCTCATGTTGGAAAGCTCAAATGACCCTGCGGTCGTGAAATCATCGATGAAAGGAATTGGAGCGGTCACCACTGTCGCAGCGCCCCGAGGTCAAGTAGCACCTGACAGTCGACTAAACAGGGCACAGTCTACCGCCAGTGGCGGCACCCCAGGACCCTTAATACATACAAATACCAATCTCTCGGTCGGATCGGGCAATACCAGCCAGTCGATGGTCCCTATCACCACCCTCGACAGCGGCAACTCGAAAGAGGAGAAGATCATGTACCCTTTCCGGGTCAAACACCTCGGCAAGACCGAGACCTACACTCTCTACGCTCCCAGCGCGCAAAACCGCCAGGACTGGTGTGAAGCCATCATTCAAGCCAAAACAAGACATGCCGAGTCTCTGTACCAACAGAACGCCGAACCGTTCAAATTGCGGGTGTTGGCGGACACCGCTTTCGCCTACGAAGGTCTGACCCATCCTGCAAAGCGCATTCTGATCAAGGGCACGCCCCTCGACAGGGCCGTTCAAGAAGCCGAGAAAAAGTTCGAGGGACAAGGCCGACCTGCACCGGTCTGTCGAGCTCCCGTCAATTGTGCGACAGTGTTCAATCAACCCTACGGCCGGCTTATGTGCGCGATAGGAACTGACTATGGCGTGTACATCTCCGAGTATCAGAATTCTCGGGGGTGGGTCAGGGTGAGTTGACCTCGAGACGAACCGGTGATCTACAGGGCTAACGAAATTCCAGGCCATCCAAATGCAGCGAGTGACGCAAATTGCAGTTCTGGAAGAGTTCAATCTATTCTTGCTGATCTCCGACAAAGCCCTCATTGCCTATCATCTCGACGTGGTCTGTCCGCCCACTGGCAATCCGGTCGCACAGAATGACGCGTCAAGCAGAAAAGCGCCGCAGAAGTTGTCCGGCTCCAAGGATATCGGCTTTTTCGTGACGGGCAGAATGAAGGAGCGGACATTAGTCTTCTACAAGAAGCGCGACGGAATAGCGTCAACATTCAAAGTCCTCGAACCCGTCCTGCAGAAGAACACCACCAGCCGGTCACGTTTTCTCCCATCCTCGACAAGACGTGGTCAGACTGAATTCTTCCGCGAGTACGACGAGTTCTACATCCCGGCCGAGTGCTATGGTTTGAACTTGTTCCAGTCCAGCTTGGCCATATCGACAGCGAGAGGCGTGGAAGTCCTGACGCTGGAGAAGAAGCAGACCTGGAGCGTGCCGAACTTGAGGAGTGACGAGGCAGCGACACAAGCACATCTCAGTTCGATAGCAAGTCGGATCAAGGACCTGAAACCGCTGGGCATGTTCAGGCTCGGGGAAGCGGAATTCCTCGTCACCTTTGAGGAATGTGCCGTCTACGTTAACAAACATGGAGACATTTCGAGAGGAGTCGTGATGGAATTTGTCGGCCGCGCCAAAGCGGCGTGCCTCTACCACCAGTACCTGATCCTGGTTGACGACGACTTTGTGGAGATTCGGGACGCTCAGAATGGCAGGCTCAAGCAGGTCATTGCAGGGAAAGACATCAGGCTGCTGGATGACGGTGGCGGAGGCTCGGGAGGAGCGCAAACGCAGACGCAGGCGATGTTAGGAGGAGGACTGAACGGGCTTGGACTGAAGAACTTCGGAAACGCGCCGCGGACACCAAAGTTGGTGCTACAGCACCCGGAGTACGAGAGGAGCCATGTTGTCGTGGAACTGTTATTGACCCTGGACGTGGCACAGTAGAGATGATGGCGCTCTTGGGAGAGGCATACAGGTTGAGCTATTACTTCGTCTATACTAATGGTCGTTTCCGGGTCCTTGGGTGTTCAAAAGGATCGACTTTTGGGATGGGGATATGACTGATGAATGACACTGGGCCTGTGGCACTCTGGCGCTCGGGACGGTCACCTTGGGTCTTGGTACGTGAACAGAGGACCGGTGGACCGGAGGATAGGGGGAGGGGAGGATAGTCGAACTCTTATACAGATCTACTGGAAAAGTGATCAATCATGCCATCTCTCGTGACTTGGTGGTCTCGCACGTATCCTTGTAACATGCTGACGGATCAGGTGTTGGACGTCAAGGGAGGATAAGGCTGAGGCACGCCTGGAGGGCCCCCTCCCCTCCCCGGGAAGATACGTATAGGACGCCAAGCAGGAACCTGGCTTTTGGCCCCCGGTCTTCCTGGACCACGTTGGGATGCCGATGGTTGAGACCATGTAGCCATTTCTTCTGATATGCGAGATACTCTGGTGAAACTAGGGCGTCCCCCGCGGCATAGCGAGCAGAATATGAAGTGACCGCACCGTCACCCACGCGAAAGCGACATCACTCAACGTCCCCCCTCCGGCTGACACCCACTCACTTGCACCGGCCAAACCTGCGCCATGTTGAGCTCGTTCGTGCAGAAGTTCATCGAGCAGTCTCCTCTCTCCGCGAACAGCGACAACCGTCCGTCAAAGGCGGCGCTCTTTCGAGAGCAGTTCAGACTCCCTGCTGGACAGAATCCCCTCCACGAGATCACGGCCGAACTGTTCCTCCCCCTCCCCTCGTCCGCGGCTGGAGGCCCCATCACATCGGGCGAGAAGTCGAGCGACAACGGCAACAAGTATGTCGGAGAACTACATCTGAGCGAGCATTTCCTTTGCTTCTCGACGATTCGGACGAGTTTCCTGCCTACCGCAAGCCATGCCTCATCCACTTCCTTTACGGGCCCGACCCAGGGTGCTGGCCCCGGCGGCCATGGCTTCACCCTGCCCTTGTGCTCGATTCGGCGCGTCGAGCGACTAAACACCCATCACGACAAGTTCTCGCTGGCCCTCACCACGTTCGAGTCCGTACCGAAATCTGCTACAGAAAAGACCAAGGCACCATCCCCTCCTGCCCGCAAGCTGATCCTCACACTCGACGGGAGCCGCAATGCCTGCGAACGGTTTTGCGATGGGCTGAAAAGGGGTCTGAGGGAGGGTATGAAGGAGGTGGACAGCCTACGCCTCGTTGTCTCGCAGTGCTACTCTGAATACCTGCTTGACCCGAGCCGGCTGAAGGCCAAAGAAGAGGGGACCACTCCGCCCGAGCCGCCTGACACTGGTCTGGGGATGCTGTTCAGATACCCCGGCGATGCTCGAAAGCTGAGAGACAGGAGCAAAATCCGTCTGTGGGGCGAGTACCTGCGAGAGAATGGCCGGAATGCCACGATTGTGCGGCAGCCTACATTTCACAAGCTCATCCGTGTCGGCTTGCCCAACCGGCTGCGAGGCGAGATATGGGAGATCAGCTCCGGGTCCTTCTACACGAGACTACGAAACCCCAACCTCTATGCCAAAACCCTGGCCAAGTTCACCGGAAAGGAATCTCTGGCCATTGACGAGATCGAGAAGGATCTGAACCGCAGTCTCCCGGAATACCCCGGCTTTCAGAGCGAAGACGGCATTGGCCGACTCCGACGCGTACTGACGGCCTACAGCTGGACGAACGAGGAAGTCGGCTATTGTCAAGCCATGAACATAGTGGTGGCCGCCCTTCTCATCTACATGTCGGAGGTCCAGGCATTCTTCATCCTCGGCGCATTGTGTGACCGGCTTCTTCCCGGATACTACTCCAAAGACATGTATGGCACGCTCCTGGACCAGCGGGTCTTTGAAAACCTCGTAGAAAGAACGATGCCAATCCTCTGGGAGCACCTGGTCAAATCAGACGTCAACCTCTCCGTTGTATCACTACCCTGGTTTCTGTCGTTGTACATCAATTCTATGCCCCTCGTCTTTGCGTTCCGAGTGCTCGACGTCTTCTTCCTGGAAGGCCCAAAAGTACTTTTCCAGATCGGCCTGGCAATCCTCCGCATCAACGGAGAAGAACTACTTGATGTCAGCGATGATGGCTCCTTCATTTCAATCCTCAAGAACTACTTCTCGAGGCTGGACGAGTCAGCCCATCCGCGTTCGGAGAACGAGAAGCTGAGGGCCATTACTCGGTTTCAAGAACTGATGGTCACGGCTTTCAAGGAATTTGCGGGCGTCACGCACGCGAGTGTCCAGGAGTTGAGAGAGAAGCATATCGACGGCGTCAAGGAGGGCCTGGCAACGTTTGCTAAGCGCACATCGATACGCAACCTGGGCCCGGAAAGCAAGAAGCTGAGTGCAGAAGACCTCAGCGCCATCTACGATCGGTTCTTCAGCGTCCTGGCCGATCGGCAGGGGCGGGCGAAAGCGCGTGAGGAAGAGAGGAGGAAGTTACAGGACCAGAGGACTCGGCCGGGTCTCCGGACGCAGCATTCGTCGCGTAATAACGACGAGCCGGCACGGAATGCGCCACCACTCCAGACAATGGACTATGACGCCTTCAGGGAGTTCCTCGCCAACACTGCCAAATGGGCAGTCACCGACTCTCCCTCATCACCAGGCAAGGATGTCACGAGCCCGAATCAGAGTCAGAGGAATCGCAGTAAGACCTTGTCACAATGGGGTTCGGGGCCCGAACCGGCCGACCATGACTTCATGCAACGCTTGTACGGCAAATGGGACGAGTCACAGCAAGGGGAAATGACATTACAACAACTGGTCCGGGGCCTCGCTCGATTCAAGGGAACGACGGATATCATGAATTCCATGAGCCTGTTCTTCGACTTGTTTGACGACGAAGGCACCGGCAAAGTCGACCGGGAGGGGATCTTGCGCATGTCTGAATCTCTTTTGTTCCTGTCTCGACGTGGCTTTGATGGCGCCATCACGCCCACCGAGCCCGCCCACATGGTGGCCTCTCCACTCTCTGCAACGGAGCAACAGAACGGTCTCAAGATGAGCACAAACGAGAAATTCCTTGGCAGTGTCAGCGCCTTTATCAGGCGGTGTTTCGAGTATGCTGATCCTGACGAAGAAGTTGATGCTGGAGGAGCGAAGCCAGAAACTGCAGACGCCCACCAAACCGCAGAGGAAGCGGACTTGCTCGATCTGACGGAAACAAAGTCCGACACCAAGACGATCGCCTCACCGCGAGCGACGGAAAAGGACCCTCTCTCAGAGACGACACCGCCACACACGCCGTTGCTGTCGATCGTGCACGATAACCGCCGATCGTCGTCGGCACGGGCAGCCTCGCACAACCTCGCCCTCGACCCCAACAAACCTCTGCACATCACCCTTCCCACCTTCCGCATGGTCATCCTGGCAGACGAACTCCTGGAGCAATTCTTCGAAACTTTCTTCCCGCAATCCTTCCGTCTCGCTGACACCGCACCAGACGCAAGTAGCTTGTCTTTAGCCTCGTCCAGCAACACGCTATCCGGGAACCTGACGACTTTCACAAACTTGGGTACCCCGGTCAAGAACCTCCTCAACGGTGCCGCGACCAACAAGACTCTCCCCGACGTCGGCCGCGCCGGTGGAGTCGTTGAACCGGGATCACGCGGCCTCAGGGGCGTGCTAGACAATATCGTCAACGACGGTATGCGCATGGCCGCGGAGATGCGGAAACGCATGGACGACGCGCAACGTGAATTCGAACGCAACGCGCGTGAACAAGGCCAGAAGGCGTACAGGGACGAAGAAGACGAGGACGAAGAATATGACGAGAAAGACGTCGGAATCGGCAGGAGAGATCAGGAGTTGCTGGAGGGGGCCGAAGTGGCTAGTATTCGCACCGCAACCGGGCTCAGTGGTGATGGTACCAGTACCAGAAGCCGAGCCGAGAGTTCGGCGTCCCGGGAGAGCGCTACGAGTGGCGGTGGCGGTGTCAGCGGCAGCGGCAGCGGCAACGGCAACGGTAGCGGCAATAGGCCCGGGACCCTCAGTCGAATGACCTCAAGCAGTGGCGCGAAGAGTGTGAGTATCTTGGACGTGGACGTGGATGATCTGTCTTTGACCTCGAGTTCGATTCCGAAATGATACCTGAGAAAGCGGAGGGGGAAAGGCTGGCGAAAAACGGTCCTACAGTAATTTATATAGTCCTCACGTCGGGTTGAGCCCAGGCAGGGATGAAATGATACTACTTGGTGCGGAGTACGGGGTACGGAGTGCACCATGCCCTGCGATATGCACGAACCTCTGAATGTCTGAAGGCACGAAAAGCTAACCCCTTACTAAGGGCCATCCATCTACACTTGTACGGAGTACGGCTCTCTCTATCGTTCGTCAATGGGTAGTCCGCCATGAATGAGTTCTACCGTCCCAATCTTTTCTCTCCTCGGTTTTCTGCCACAGGATACTGTCTCCATGTCTATATCTATCTATCTCTAGAAGTGATGGAAGTGAGCGGGGAGGTTGATAACCTGTGACTTAGATAAATACTGTCCGGTCGCGCCACGTCCACACAACTTCACCATCGACGGTCCAATCTATGTGGTCAGTCCAGTCCAGTCCAGTCCACTCCGGTCCAATCTATGTAGTCCAGCCCAGTCCAGTCCTTACTCAGAGCGTTTCCGCGTCCGTGGCCGTGGCCGCCATTGCAAACAACCCGTGTATGTCAACCCGCTTGCTTACTTACTTGCTGTACAGGAGGCGCGGCTGCCCAGGCGGAGGCAGGACGAGATCACCGAGCCTTCGTAATCAAGTGAAATAGTGGAAAAGTGAGGTAATATTGAGTAAAGTCAAGTCAAGGCATTGTGAGTGAGTGGGCGAGCCTGTGTCCCAGGATCACCACCATCAACGCCATCCAGATCGCCTGTCAACTCGTCAACCCGTCAACGCCGCACAGAGATTGTCGTGTGCTTTCCCTCCCTGACCCCCTCCTATACAGGATATGATGGATCCATGTGCGCCGGTTTCCTTTGCATGCTTTGCGTCCCCCTTGCGGCTTTGGAGACCAATATAGTGTATGCAGACGCAGACACCGACACCGACACCGACACCGTCCCACGTCCATCGTTACCATCATGTACCGTCCTTACTGTTCGTACCGTTCCATATCCCATCCCGTGTACCAGGTATCATGCACCATATACCATATACCATATACCACATACCGTAGAGATGCATGCCTTGGCTTGAACGCATCGATGTAATGCATTCTTTCTCCAGACGCCGTGCTGGAACGCAGACTCGAAATCCAGGCATTCGTGTATTTCATTCGCCAAGTGTGTCCGTGCGTGTACCTCGGGCGTCGTATGTGCTCGCCGCGTGTCGAGTACGTTATCCTTACTCGACGTCGTCATCATCATCGTCTTCCTCTTCCTCCTCATCTTCGTCATCTTCGTCGTCATCATTGTCACTTTCTTCCACGGCCTTGGGCCTTTTGACGCTGTGCTTCGTAGAGCTTTGGTCGGTCGTTGTGGCTTCCTCATCCCCGGTGTGTTCCTCGTCGTCTCCTTCCTTCTTCTCCCCGACTTTGTCAGCCACGGCTTGGACTTCGTCCATTGCGCTCTTGGCGACGTCGTCCCGGTCGAGCGTCGGCATCTCGTTGATGTCGTCTTTCGATGGCACAATGACTTTGAGGCCCAGGTCCGAGTGCTTGCTGTACACGCGGAGACCGACCACGCAGCTCGCGTTCCACGGGTTGCGGTTCGGGTCCTTCTCGATGTCGTCTTCGTCTTTCTTCGCTGCTTCAGACACAGAAGCGGTGGAAGACGCTGCTGAGGCAGGGGTGCGGACACCGCCAGGCACAGGGGTGGAGGTGCCAGACGCCGAGGCCGAGGACACCCCTGACCCTGACGTGGATGACGCGATGGGCAGCTGGCCCTTTTGATGGGCTAGGTCGTAGAGCTTGCCGATCTGCGTGATCTTGTCGCGGCGGTGGATGTTCTTCCTGATGACGTCCTCGACCTCGCCACGGCTGGTGGCCTGAGCCTCGACCTTGATGAGCACGGTATACGTGCCTTTGGTTAGGTGGAGTTCCACGTTCACCGACCGCACAAGCTCATAGTTGAGCTTGCTTCGTGAGAGATACTCCTCTTCGTCGTCGTCGTCCTTCTGCACCCGGAACTGCATCGTGAAGTTATACTTGCCCTGCAGGCCTTTGAAGTAGCGGTCGTCGAGCTGCGAGAGCACAATCACGGCATCGGTGTCTTCCGGTACGTCGATGGAAAAGTGGTTGGTCTGGTAGTCGAGCGTGCTCCAGGGCACTTGCACGGACATCCACTGCTGCGCGACGTGCCAGTCGGGGCCGAAGATGCGCGTCCGGTCGATGTACTTGTACTTGCAGAGCATGTCCTTATAGGTCATCCAGAAGATGCCGTCGTCGCCGAATTGGTGGCTCAGCCTGGTCAACCACTCGGCCGTCCACTCCTTCGAGCCATCGCTCCAGGCGCCCGTCCATTCTTTGCGACCCCAGGGATTGCGAATCTTGACCAGTCGCTGGCCGTGACCCTCGTACACGTCCAGGACTGCATAGGCGTGTTGACTGACGATGCCGGAACGGCGTTCCTCGCGGACCTTTTCGTTCGCGACGAGATAAGGGCGCCATTCACGCCAGCGTGCAGCAGCGCAAGAGAACACGAAATCTTTGCCAATGCGGCTGAGCTCGTCTTTCCAGAACGCCTCGGGGTCGAGGATGTTGGTTGTGTAGATTTCCGTCGTGACTCCGCCGGTAAGGTCCTCGATGGCTTCTCCTGTCTGACCACCAGAAATGGAGGCATAGTCGCCATGGGCCTTGGCGTAGGCTTTCTCGAGGAGACTGACCCAGGTCTCATTCTGATCGCGGCATTGGGCGAAGTACAGGGACTTGGAGCCGCGCTGGAAGAGTTCCTGATATTGATCCTCCTGGTCGGGTCGACGTATTCCATATTGGGTCAGGACGACGTCTCCGCTCTCATCGTATGCAGGAGCCCGAAGGTACAGCTTGTCGTCGATGATGCACTGGTGCCATTCACCGTCTCGATGGAAGACGAAACCGTAGACTCCGACAGCCTGGTCTTGAATGACGCAGACACGGTCGATGAACTCCTGGTTGCAGCCGAGAGCAGAAATGGCAGCGAGGAACCAGCAGTCTCCGGCCGATCCTTGCAGAATGTCGTCGTATGAGGCTCCGTTCACATAGAATTTTGGCTCGTCAAAAATGTCCTGAAATGGTGTTAGATGCAAAGACTCTGGCGAGCATGAAAGCTCCCAATTTTACTTACCGTGACCCGTTTTGCATCAGCAGGGTGCTCCTTGTCGTCGTCGTCGATGACCAGGCCGTCCAGGCAATCCCTGATCCGCGTGATTTTGAGATCCCTTTCGATATCCCAATGCGAATCGGTGTACTTCTGGTTTGCGGCTCGACATTCCTTGATTATCCGTTTCACATCGCGAATGCAGGCTTCTTTGGCGTCCTCGTATGACTTGATGGCCTTGTGAGCAATTTCGCCGACGAGGGTGACGGCGCTGAGATCCTTTTCGGTGATGCGGTCGGGAAGAACCCGAGTAACCTTCCCGGTGTACTCGGGATCGAAGTTCTTCCAGAATTTCTTCATCTTGGCTTGAGGGTGCGGCTTCTTCTCCTTTGCAGGGGGTGGTGGGGGAGCCGGCGGCTTGTCGGGCACCAGCATGAGCTTGATCGTTTGACCACCTCCCAGGACCAAGCCGTCCTTGGGCACGGCCGGTTCATTGCCGGTTGGATGTGCTGTGATGTCGATATCATTGTGTGCCTGGCGTGCCTGTGCATTATCACTTCCCGCGTTGGCCGAGGCAGTTCTTTTGCGCTTCATCTCGAAGTCGATGCTGGCGGACTCATCACAGTCACCATCTTGGTATATAACCCGGGGGGCACGGTCCGGGTGGCCATCACGAACAAAGGGTGGTCGAGGGCTCATTGTTTGCGGCAAGGCTGTAGAGTATGTCAGGAACAAAGGAGTGGAGCAGGACCCTACATTTTCAGGGTCCAGATATTTATATGCCTCGATCGTATACCCGGTAATCAGCACGACGAGGCTTGGGGAAAGAGGTTAGGCCGCCGCCCTGCGTTTTCCCTGCGTGTGAGACACTAGGAGCAGGCACCGTAATCCTATCGTCGACGATAGCACGGTATAGCGAGGCTTGGTTAGTCACACAAATTGGCGGTAAGAGAGCTATCTCTACCAGTCATGGTTTAGCCGGAAGGGGAGGCTTTTGGTTGATTAGCCTCGTTGGGCCCAGACCCAGCCAAGCGTGATAAGACAAGTCGGGCTGGAGAACCCGGCATGCTGCGAGGGTCTTCCGGGCGCCAATGAGCGGGCGCCGGCGATAACAATGTGGACTGGAGAAGTTCCGAAGTCGCCTGCTCGAAGGATGAATGCGGCACATCCCTGGGACAAAGAACACCAACCACAAGGTCAAAGCGTAGAATGGTCGGCTGGGCAATGGGGGGCAGTCGTCGAGGCACTGCCAAAGGGCTGGACAGCAACGTTTAGCGTTCAGAACGGCGTCGACCTCTAACGGCCTGCGCACGGGCTGTCTGATGTGGAGGGGAGTCATGCCATGGTTGCAACGTGGGACGAAGGAATTCGGCAGGACTGATCTGGACCGGCAAAATCCGGCTGGAGCAGACGACGAGGGCAGCATGGCCTAACCAGTAGACGAGCTGAGAATTGGGGTCACGCAGCGAGCAGCGCGAGACTTCTCCGTAAGCGAGTCAGTCCGAGTCAAATTGATTGAGAGTTCAACGTGGAGGCAAGAAGTGAGATGAGGCTGAACCGGGGATGAAGGCCACATTCCGCTGCAGCCGGCGACGAGAGACGCAGGCACGCAGGTCGCACTTCCCCCAATCTGTCTTGGTCAGCATCCGGCGGTGTATCACCGCCAACGCCTCCGCCAACACCACCCTCAATACCACCACCAGCGCTCCCACTCACGGCGCCATCCCCAACAATCTGGGGGGACAGTGCTCAGGCAATGGTGAGCGTGGTCGATGGAGGTTGTTTGGCTACCATTTCTCGGCCAAATTCCTTTCACTGTGACACACCACAGGGTGATATTCGCTAGTATGGTTCGGACCCTGAACTGCAGGCAAACTATAGCAGAGTGGAGCTGTCGGCTTGATTCGTTGCGGGACTACTGTGGACTATCCCTCCCTCTGGATCTACGAGTACTGTGCAACGGCAAGCATATCAAGGGCAGCTCATCTGGACCGCTGGGCCATGCAGCGTTGGCGATCAGGCCGTTATGCAAGGCATCTGAGCCTTCATCAGCGACCTTTCTGTAGCAACCCGGACCTTTTGGCGCATCGCTTACATCGTTGAAAGTGCCAATTAGTACGAATCCTCGGATCAGCAGGCTCATCATGAGGCATTTCCCCATGACTCTGAACAGGCGCACAAGTGCGAATGAGCAACTAGTCCAGAGGGACCCAGCTTAACTGCTCGCTGGAGGACGTTCCTTCGTGGCATGGTGTTTTAGCCTTCCGAGATAGGGACTTTGAGTAGGCCGGGTGGAACCCCGTTTGGTAGCTTCTGCTCAAGTCCTGAGGTACATATCCCGCGGCTTGTTCCAGGGCCTTCAGAAACTGAATAAATGGGGGAGGTGCATGGCACTAAGATTGCGTAAGGCGCCAAGCGCCGGGAACCAGTTACCCGTAACTGTTGGGTATACAGTAGAATTGGGGAGTGTTTCGAATATTACAGGGATAGGCCGTAGTCTATGTTACTGTAGTAAGTCCTGGACATTGTCACCATGTACCCAGTACTAAGTACCTGCCGCGCCCTAATACAGTAGTTGAATTAGCCCCGCCCGTCCTTTCCCCGCCTTGTCAACAAATATATTTCAGCCTTGCTAGGCGTCTGATGCACATTAGAAGGTGGCACGAAAATACTACACCAAATACTCCTTCTGTAGACGATCTGTAGCCAGCAGCTCTCATCTGTAAGGGAGGCAGAATCATAAGACGCTGAGTCGTCGTTAGAAAATACATTCGAGATAGGCCGCCAGGCACTGCCCTAAAACTGTGACTGGGATATCGAAAAGTCTCGGCTCGGCAACCTGTAGTAGCAAAACCAATACTTCATATTGTACCTCAGTCCCAAAACTCACAGAGAGGCAAGGGTCAGGTCAGTGATGCTGATCGTACTCGTAACGCCGATAAAGCCGGGGAGTGGCCGCTCTGCTCCTCATTAACCGAACTGCGCATCATCTGAGCTTAGCCTACGTCGTCTGCATTGCCATTTGCCGTGCGTTAATCTTCCCATCACATTGAAAACTCCAGCTCATCTGTGTTCTTGAACGATTTCACGGGCTGTTCCTTTCCTGCGGGCCCTCCCATGCTGAGTCGATTGCGATAGATGAGGGTTTCAGACGGGCTGCAGTCTGTGTTGACTGCGCACTTTCCGCCGAACTCAGTTCATCCTCACCATCACCTCGAACCTCTGCGGCGACAACCACTATGTGGTGATCCCGAAGGCTGGGGCCCTGTGAGCTCCCTCCGATGGGACTTGACACCCTGCTTCCTTGACGTCTGGATCATTGGCGTTGCCCTCTGGGGAATCTTATTCGGGACTGGGGCCCTTTGGTATTTGTTCAAGAAACGCATCGCCCAGGAGGTACCCAAAAACTGGCATTTCTATGCAAAACTGTAAGCTACGGTGCAAGTTAGCTGTGACTGACCGAGGAGCTGACTCAAAGCCAGAGCCATCATTGTTGCCATCGTTCTTATTACTGCCCTTCAAGCCGCCCTCCAAATCGAATCGTTACCCGGAATATGGTTCAAAGACATCAGGTTCTACACGACCATTACCACCATCGTGTCTTTGTTATTCATATTTGCTGTACAATACCATGAGCATTGGCGGTCAAGAAACCCAAATGGCGTCGTTCTGTTCTATTGGGTCTTCTTCGTCCTGGCCAATGCCGTAAAGCTGCGGTCGCTGGTGAGCAGAGAAGCGTACAAGAATCGTCTCCCATACTTTGTCGCATTCAATGTCGGTCTCGGTCTGGGCATTGTGGAGTTCATTCTCGAGTATTTGGTGCCCAAAAAACAGAGTGCATACGACGCACTGGGAGCAGACGATGAATGTCCCTACGAGTATGCCGACATCTTCTCCGTGCTTACTTTTGGCTGGATGACTCCAATGATGAAATTTGGCTACAAGAATTTCCTCACTCAAGATGATCTGTGGAACCTGCGTAATCGAGACTCTACCAGGGTCACTGGGGATCTGCTGCAGAAGGCCTGGGCAATCGAGCTGGAAAAGAAGAAACCGAACCTTTGGATAGCTCTGGCCCGAGCGTTTGGAGGTCCATATCTTCGAGGAGCGTTCATCAAGACAATCAGCGACTCTTTGGCGTTTGTGCAGCCGCAACTCCTCCGACTTCTCATCACCTTCGTTGACTCCTACCGGCCGGGTCATGAGCGACAGCCAGCAATTCGCGGTGTGGTCATTGCATTGGCAATGTTCATGACTTCAATCTGCCAGACGGCGGCCTTGCACCAGTACTTCCAACGTGCCTTCGAGACCGGTATGCGAGTAAAGTCATCCTTGACTGCTATGATCTATTCAAAATCCCTCCGTCTATCCAACGAATCGCGTGCGACCAAATCCACGGGCGACATCGTGACATACATGAGTGTAGACCAGCAGCGTCTCGCTGACCTGATGCAGTGGGGGCAACAGCTGTGGTCGGCGCCTTTTCAAATCACGCTCTGCATGCTGTCGCTCTACAACTTGGTGGGTGTTTCGTGTTTGGCTGGAGTAGCCGCCATGATCGTCATGGTCCCGATCAATGGATTCATCGCCAGGTTCATGAAGAAATTGCAACTCTCGCAGATGAAATACAAGGATCAACGGTCTCGTCTGATGACGGAAATACTCAACAACATGAAGAGCATCAAACTATACGCATGGGGTTCTGCATTTATGGATAAGTTGAGCCATGTGCGCAACGACTTGGAATTAAACAACCTGCGCAAGATCGGCGCGGCGCAGTCATTTGCGACGTTTACATGGTCCTCGACCCCATTCTTTGTCTCGTGTTCGACTTTCGCAGTCTTCGTGTTGTTGAACGACCGACCATTGACAACCGACCTGGTATTTCCCGCATTGACGCTGTTCAATCTCCTGACCTTTCCTCTCACCGTACTCCCGATGGTCATCACCAGCATCATCGAGGCTTCGGTGGCTGTGGGGAGATTGACTGCTTTCTTCACCGCGGACGAACTTCAAGACGATGCAGTCAGATTTATTGACGAGCCAGCCAAGCAGGTAGGAGAGACGTCGGTTTCCATCAAGGACGCCACTTTCACCTGGGACAAGGATTCAGGCAAGAACGTGTTGGAGAACATCAACTTCAACGCAAACAAAGGAGAACTTACCTGCATTGTGGGCACAGTAGGAGCTGGGAAGTCGTCGCTGTTATCATCAATCCTCGGTGATCTTCGCAAAATCCACGGCGAAATTGTCCTTCGAGGCCGAATTGCTTATGTGGCACAGTCGGCCTGGATTATGAATGCCAGCGTGAAAGAGAACATCGTGTTCGGACACCGGTGGGATCCGCACTTTTACGAGCAAACCATCAATGCTTGTGCTTTAGTGGACGACTTCCGACAACTCCCAGATGGTGACTCAACGGAGGTCGGAGAGCGTGGGATTTCTCTGTCAGGAGGACAAAAGGCTCGGCTTTCCCTGGCACGAGCAGTCTACGCGCGAGCAGACGTTTATCTCCTAGATGACGTTCTCTCTGCGGTCGATCAACACGTTGGACGCCATATCATCAACAATGTTCTTGGCTCAAATGGACTATTGAATGGAAAAGCGAGAATTCTGGCTACAAATGCCATCACAGTCTTGAAAGAAGCAGATTACATGTACCTGATTCGCGATGGCTCCTTTGTCGAGAAAGGGACTTACCAGCAACTCATGGCCATGAGAGGCGAAGTCGCTTCACTCATCAAGACCTACACGGCCCAAGAGCATGAATCAGAGGGAGAACGCAGTCCCAGCATCGAGGGAATGGAATCCGATGGTTCAACCACTGTCGTCGGTACGAATGGTATTCACGATGAGCTCGATGCAGAAGAAGCCGAGGAGTCACGACAAGAAGTTGGCGGGTTGGTACCCATTCGGCCGGGACCCAGTGGACCTTCCAAAGCTGGGCGGAAGTCCAGCTACGCCACGCTTCGTCGCGCTTCAACCACAAGTTTCCATGGACCTATGGGCAGACTCACTGACGAAGAAAATGGCGGCATGAAGACCAAGCAAACGAAAGAGACCTCCGAGCAGGGGAAAGTCAAATGGTCCGTATATACCACGTATGCAAAGGAAAGCAACCTTATCGCCGTGGGGATATACTTCATTGCTCTCCTCGCTGCACAAACAGCGCAGATCGGAGGCAGTTTCTGGCTGAAGAGATGGTCTGAGATCAACGAGTTGTATGGTCGAAACCCCGCGGTGGGCAAGTACATCGGCATCTACTTTGCTTTCGGAATCGGTGGTGCTGCATTGGTTGTCGTTCAGGTACGTGCTTGTTATTTCCTGCCTTCCCTCCTGGCTTGGATCTGCTCCAGGCGATTGAGATCTGTCCACTGTCTATGACACTGTGTTATGTTGCTTGTGCGTTACACAAGAGTGACTGGAACTGACACGAACTGGTGTCATATTTTTAGACTTTGCTGCTCTGGATCTTCTGCTCAATTGAGGTATGTTTTCCCCTTTCATAGGTACCAGCTGCCTGGCTCCACGACGTCCACGTGCTCGGGACTTTCTCCCTTCTGTATGCTGCTTGTGTCCTCGACCAGTTGACATGCACGAATCACCACGTCAAGAACAATGTTTCAAGCACTTGCATGCGAGACATGAGAAGAATCACAACTACGAGCTCACATTGTGAGCCATGTGATCACTTTGCCTTGCTGACGCTTTCCTCAGGCTTCGAGAAAGTTACATGACCGAATGGCATACGCGATCTTCCGTTCGCCGATGAGCTTCTTTGACACAACTCCTGCCGGACGTATCTTGAACAGGTTTTCCAGGTACGTCAGAACCATTGATTGGAACACATGTGCTGCATGGTGGGATGCGCCGATATGGCTGGGGTGTCGCTATTTTCAGCCGAGTCCGATCAGAGGCTTAGAAAACGGCATCGTTGAGATGCGTGCTGTTTGCACATGTGCTAACCCCGCGCTATGTTTAGCGACATCTACCGCGTTGATGAAGTTATTGCACGCACGTTCAACATGGTGAGGATCCCCTAGTTTCACATCAACACGTTGCCTCTCACCATGCCACATCTTCTAACATGCGGGATAGCTCTTCGTCAACACAGGCCGCGCGCTCTTCACCCTGGGCGTCATCGCTGCCTCGACACCGATCTTCCTGGTCCTCGTCCTCCCCCTCGGCTTCATCTATATCATCTACCAGAAATACTACCTGCGCACGTCTCGTGAATTGAAACGTCTGGACAGCGTCTCTCGCAGCCCCATATATGCTCATTTCCAAGAATCCCTGGGGGGAGTGAGCACCATCCGCGCATATCGCCAGCAAGCGAGGTTCACTCTTGAGAACGAGTGGCGTATGGACGCCAACCTGAGAGCTTATTTCCCGAGCGTTAGTGCGAATCGGTGGCTAGCTGTGCGACTGGAGTTCATCGGGAGTATCATTATCCTGGCAGCTGCGGTTTTTGCAATCATCTCGGTAACGACGGGAAGTGGGCTGACTGCTGGCATGGTGGGCCTTGCAGTACGTTCTCCCTTTTCTCGGCCCCTCTCGTCCTCCGGGGTGTCCTTGCATGTGTTACCCACAGGCGAACAGGCCGTGGAATCCAAGAAATGCTAAGAATACTGACCTGTCGCAGATGTCATATGCCCTGCAGATTACACAGTCCCTGAATTGGATTGTACGGCAGACAGTCGAGGTGGAGACCAACATTGTCTCCGTGGAGAGGGTACTCGAGTATGCAAACCTGCCCAGCGAGGCTCCGGATGTCATCTTCAAGAGCAGGCCGAGCATCGGGTGGCCGGCACATGGACAGATCACATTCAAGAACTACTCCACTCGGTATCGGGATGGCCTGGACCCCGTGCTTAGAGACATCAATTTTAGCATCAAGGCCCGGGAAAAGATCGGCGTGGTTGGAAGGACGGGAGCAGGGAAAAGTTCGCTGACTCTTGCGCTGTTTCGGATTATCGAGCCCATATCAGGGCACATCAGGTATGTCAGATCTGTTGAGGCGGATGCTGATGCAAGAGCGCTCCTGAGCAAAGGAGCGTTCGCTGGCTTTGGATTTAGCCGGGTGGCGGTAATGCTAACTTTCTCGGTTGTAGCATCGATGGCCTCAATACTTCGACTATCGGCCTCCTAGATCTGCGAAGGCGGCTGGCGATCATCCCCCAAGACGCTGCCTTGTTTGAAGGCACCATACGCGACAACCTAGACCCTCGCCATGTTCATGACGACACGGAACTCTGGAGCGTGTTAGAGCATGCCCGCCTGAAGGCGCATGTCTCAGGCATGGAGGGTCAGTTGGATGCTGCTGTACACGAAGCTGGTGAGTGCGCCACCAAGGACTGACCCATGCAGTTCGTATCTGGCTGACTCTGAGATCTCGGATCAAGGTTCGAATCTGAGTCAGGGTCAACGCCAGTTGATCTCACTGGCCCGCGCTCTCCTGACGCCAAGCAACATCCTTGTCCTGGACGAGGCAACTGCAGCCGTCGACGTTGAGACGGACAAACTGTTGCAGGCCACGCTCCGAAGCAACGTGTTTGAGAACCGCACCATCATCACCATTGCCCATCGCATCAACACGATCCTGGACTCTGATCGTATCGTCGTTCTCCAACAGGGAAAGGTTGCGGAGTTTGACACGCCCGACGAACTGATCAAGAAGCGCGGCTTGTTTTACGAGCTCGTGCGAGAAGCTGGATTGTTGGATGGGTTCGGAAATGGGACAGCGGTTCCGAACCAGCAGTAGCCCACGCTGCCTGCGTTGTTATGCAGTCTCCGTGCTTCTAATACATCATTAGCTTCCCGGGGAACCAATGCTCTCTGATCCGTATTCCTCTAGCGGCTCCAGCGTTCCGAGCCTTCGGGAGAGACGTTCCTCTCTAGGACTGGCTCAGAGATCCTCCTCTCAAGCAGAAGAGCAAGGATGTTGATTCGCTGGATGCCCCCAGTGACACAAGTTCTTGCAACAAAAGCCAGCTCCGAAGAAGGCCCACTACTCAGACAGAAAGTCTGCTCTTCTGTGCGTATCAGCATTCGCCTTCAAGAAAGAGTGATATTCGCCAGGATGCAAGATGCGAGACCCACGTCGTATGGTTGCGTCCGGATCGGCCAATCAGATGGATGTACCACGGCTGACTGCGAGTAGCTGCTCGGCAGAATTCAGGTCGGCATCTGCTGTGTAACGGTTGAGCAGGGCTATCCTCTTTCGGCCATCTCACAGGACCGATTGCAACAGCTGTGGTAATTGCTTCGGCTGGCCCCGGCTAGGCCAACCCACCGTGAAATCTCTGCCGAGTTGTACAAATCGACCGAAGGTGGCACATGGTGGTTGCAGCAAGGAGGGGACTGTGGTAGTCACGCTGCATGGAACCGCGGAGGGTGGGATATGTCGCCCAGAGGTACACTGAGTAAAGGGACTTGTAGAGATACCTTGGAGGGACGTCTTCATTGTGCCATGGTCGTTGTACCTGTTACCTGGTTGATCGACTTCCTGACCAGATCGTGGTTGTACAGGTCCCACAACCCCTCGTCGCAACAGCAGGAATCTCAAATCCGGCGCGACAAGCCACAAATAAGCCCGGCCAATGACAAGGTTGGGAGGGACCGGAGAAGGCGGAGCCACCCATGCAAGCAATCGTCGGAGCGGTTGGGAGGACGGCCGGCCATGCCCCCTTCATGGTCTCCCTTCATTACGTATGGTGGAGATAGGTTGGAAAAGGACGAGATCCTCTTCGGCCATGGCGCTCGTCAAGGGGACTGGGCCTAGCGCATCTCGCATGTACGTACGTTGTGGTATGCGATAGGCCTTGATTGAGAAGTCGCCATTGGTTGCAGGGTGCTGCCGCCCCCATGCTGGATTCTGCGTGGTCGGTTTGAAGTTCAGTGGTAAGGAGGTGTGCGCCAAAGCCGTCATAACTCCCAGATGAGGCGAAGTGGTGGCCGGTGGTACCATCAGCAACCGCCATCTTGGGCAGTTCGATCAGACCCTGGCCATCGTCGACCCGCCGTGTGCCTTTGGTGTGGAGGCAAGTCACGAATCGAACCCCCCAGAGATCCATCTCTGTGGTGAGCGAAGGTTTGTTCAAAGTCGGTAACTATGTGACCGCCTCATCGATCTAGATGAGGCTGGCTTCGAACCAAAGCATGAATCCCATCCGTGCCGCGACGGAAGTCTCGAGCTGGAACTTGGATCAAGCACCTAGGACCGAACTGGATAGATGGGGGGTGCAAATGACGGACGGACTCCATGTGCCAAAGCCCACAGAATGACCAGATTCTCCATCCGATTCATTGTTTTAGATGTCATCAGTTCGGCTTCGTTGGCTAGAAGCCACCAACAAGGGCGACCAGAAGCTTACAGCGAACCATAGAGCAGGCGAGGAGCCTGGGACGCAAGGATGTAGAAATCTGGAGTATTGGGTATGTACACAGTAGCAAAGACCCCCGTGAAGACCCCTCCTCTGCGTGCGCATGTGCCACGCAGAGTCTCTTGCCCTGCAACCCACGCGGTCCTGTGTTGTGTCCGGTTTCTCATCAGAACTGGTCGGGCACGAAAGGTTTCAGAGACGGGATCCTGCCGGCATGTGAGTCTCCAGCTTGGGCGATCCACTTGATGTTTGCTTCACCCTCGCGGGTTTCTGCGAGATGCGCCTCCCAGAGAACTCCCTGGACGGTTGGCCATGCGTCGAAGCAAGGGAGATTTGCCGGCCAAAGCTTTCGTATCAACTCGACGGGCGGGTGGCATACTCTCACTGCGGCCCCTTCTCGGGTTGCTTTGCTTCGGGCTCATTGGCATGCTGAACAGAAGTATGACAGAGGTTGGCGCCTAGCATGGAAATTTCACCAATTCGGAGTAGAGCAGGATGACTTAGTGGCACAGACGGGACGCAACAGAAGGGCGTTGCATGATAGTATGGCGCCGTCGAGGTGACGGAGCGAGGACGAACCAGCCGACCGCTGCATTCGTGTATCTGGCTTGGAAGTCGGAAGCATCAGCAGGGGCATGGCCAACAACCACAACGCCTGCCCTCGTAGCCATCGCCAGAACGCAGGCGGCGTGGAGTCTGAATGGCATTCGGGCTGCTTCTCCGGTCGTTCTACTGCGGCTTGCATCATGTCATTCTGGTTCGAGAGCGCCCATGGCCACGATGCACCGTGTCCTGTGCGCCAGTGCTTCCCCGGTGCACAGTCGCTTCGTCTTGCGGGCCCCCCTCCTCGCACACCAGTCTGGCTGCTGCGGTATTTAATTGCTCCACTGCCATTGGCAGGCGCTTGTCCGACTCGCTGGACCACGACACTCCCACGTATAAAGATTTACCGATACGCTTGAGCGGGCTGCTGACAAGTGGGAGACTGCCCCCTGAAGACCTAGCGACGGTCCGTAGCTTGTGCTCGGGCCTACCGGAGTGGAAACCCATAGCATGGCTGGATGGTAATCACAACTTTCCCACCAGGCTCGTTCTCGGGCCACCCCCCTACCGTCCGGCAACCGCTTGCCTTGCTCCCTCGCAGGCTGAGCAGGCACCTCCGTACAGGAGCAAGAGGTCATTGAGCCAGCCATCGGCCACTTGCTGACGGCTCGGTGCAACGGTGGACAGGCCGACAACTTGACGGGGCAAGACACCACACCTTCACATAGACCTGGCATGCCAGATGCCGGACTTGATCAGGCAGCACAGCCTCGGGGCTCGAGTCTTCGCTCTCCAGTTCCCCTTCAGTATTCGTGTCCCTTCTGTGACAGCAGCTGCCACTCCCAGTCTCGATTCCCGCTAGCTCTCGAGCCAGGCTGTCTGCAAGCCATGCTTCACGCCCCTCTCCTGCGATCTCTGCTCCACGATCTACTCCGTAATGTGATTTCTAGCCGGCTCGCTCGCTCCCCCAATCGCCTGCCGCCCTCTCTGCTCATTGGCTGCGTGCATGCCCTCGTCCAATTGAGAATTGCATATACATCTCCGTCTCGACGGCACGAGAGATGCAGTTCTCTCCTCCTTCCTGGTACCCGTTCTCCTGTACCCTGTCTGTCCATTCGCCCTAAGCGCTGCCGTCAGCCAGACATCAACACGAGGTGCGACAGCAGAGCCCAAGCAAACGTCGTCACGGTCGTTATAGCGTCCATTTCCTGAACTCTGCTGAAGTGAATCTCTCTCTCGACAATCTTCTTTCGACCTCTTCCTTGACGCCCCGCGCTCACCCGTCGTCAGCAAGCAAGAACTGCCATGCTGGCCGCTTAGAGCTGCGTGTCTCCTTCTCTATCTCGACTGGCCGGCTCTGTCTTTGTTTTTGATCAGTATTTTGGGGGTCTCGTCTTGTTCTCCGGCAGGCTGTCCTGCCCATTGTTCGCATATTCAACACGCATATCCAACAACGCATCTGCAGCAACCTCGATCGCACCGCCACAATTATTTCCACACAACAGCTACGGGTGCTCTGGCCATCGTCACATCAGAATACTCCCCTCCACGCCCAGCTCAGAAAGGTCAGTCACGAAGCCACTTCGCTTGAGCCTCTGCTTTTGGACATGTCGTCTTCCTTGACGCGTCGACGGCAACAGATTCAGCACTGAGCGGCACAAGTGGGGAGCTCTACAGGACTGTTACGGTTTAGCCTGCAACGGCGGTTTCCCCCGGCGCGGGTGGTGCATCTCGCTCCACTGTAGACCGAACAGCGAAAGCTAAATAGGCTCGGGGGCCTTCTGGTCGCAGGGGTGCCGCCGTTGGACAAGCACCTGTGTGGTCCGCCGGGGCGTGGCCCCTTGCTGATCTCTCAAACGGCCTGCGCTCCACCAGCTCCTCTGCCCCAGGTCTCCACCAGCTCACCGCTAAGAGCTGCAGCCGATAAGCTGGGTGGCTGCGATTGCCACGATTGCCACGATTGCCCCTCTGCTTGTCGCCGCCGCCGTCACGCTTTGTCGCTGTGCCGTGGGAACGGGCTAGTGGTGCACTGGCGCGCTCTTTGCTCTCGGCTCGGACCAAGTTTGCTAACTGTTGTCTCGTCCTAGGCTGAAACTCTCCTGGGATAGCTCTTTCGAGCCCATCCCCCCACTTATCTTCTACGCCTCGACCGCTGGGATACATAGAAGTCGACCCGGCCACGCTACTCTCCGCCGTCGCAGGTCCGACGTTGAATGTCAACCAGGTCGGGCCGATCAACATGACCTTGGACATGGGTTCGCCTCAGACGGGTCTTACCTCAGCGGACAGAAAGGAAGACATAAAGGCCGAAGCTGCGATCGTGGTCCCTGCACTGTCAAGGGAAGAGAGGCAACTGCATTTGATTGTGAGCTCTTGAGCCGAGGCGACAGACCAGGCTCCCGGTCGGCTAACAACGGCTTGCAGAATGAAATCAAGAAACTTGTCGCTGACTGCGAAGATTTCATTGGACTGGTGCCGGGCCCTCGAGGCGTGCCCGAGATTGTCGTCTCCCCCAATCTGAAGAAGGACAAATGGACCATCATCCGAGACGCCCAAGAGACCTTTACTCAATTCCTGTCCATGCGCACCCCCAGTGGCAAGGGTATGTGATCCGCGGGATCCCTGGGCGCAGTGACTGACATCTACAGGCAACTCTTGTGGTTCCTCTCGACATTGTGGCAAAGTGTTCAAAGCAGAAACTGACGCAGAGGCTCGTGCACCGGGTGGCTCGATCTCTCTCTCGGTACAACGTCCTCTGAAGCGCCACAGGTCCAGAAAGAGCGCCTTGCAAGATCCGTCCTATGCCAAGTCTCGACATGGCGGTGGCGGAGTCAGAGTGGTCGAGTCTTCTGCATCGCAGATACGTGTCGATGATGACAAGGCGCTGGCCGAGTGGTACAGAGATGCATTTTTGGGATTGCAACAGGTATCATGTCGCCTGGTGGCCAAGATTTGGATCAAGAAAATCCACCCAAAGAAGGTAGGTCTCCGCCACCAAGAAAACGCGCGGGGCTGTGGATTGACGAGACAAAGCAATCGACCCATCCGTATAATGGCCAAATGCCGCGGAATACGACGCCCGATTCAGATCGGACGAGGCCGCCTTACTGGCCCATCGGTACGTTATCTGCCCGGGCAAGTGTCAGCTAGCTGCGGTGTGGTGGACTGACATGACCGTGGTCCTAGACGTCCGTCACCGAGAACCCGATCATATCGGCAAAGACGGTACGCCACTCCAAGTCCTCCACAGCCGGACACACATGCTGACCAGGTGTAGAAAGGACACAGCTACTGGTGCATCTGCTCATGAACACCCCCCAACCAGTGGTCACCAATCCACCGCCCGATCCTGTGCACCAGCAATTCGTTTACGCTCAGGATCTGTTAGAGTGCCTGGAGCCGAAGAAAGGCGAGCGCGAGTTGACCAATGAACGTTGGGATACGATTGAGCAGATCATCAGAACCCGGCAGATGCAAGAGCAGTATGCTGCTGGCGAAATAGGTCGGTCCTCTTGACCTGCAGTCGAGCTTTGTCGCAGAACTAACACTGGCAGATGGCGACACGCTCATCTTCCTCGCTGACTTCAGCAACACTGCTCCCTCAAAACTGGGCGCGATTAACTCCGAAGATGACGAGCTCGAATTCGAGGGCAACGTGCCAGGTATATCTAGTGAAGGTTCGGATGCAGCGGCCGAGAATCGGGAGCCTACCCCGGATACTTCGACACAAACGTCCCCTGCGGATCAAGCCACCTTTGATGGTTCGGTGCCGATCAGCAGGTTACGCGGCTCAGCCGACACCATGTCGTTTCCCGGACGTCGTATGGCCACTCGTCGATCACGGCCGAGCTTCATTGGAGGACAAGTGCCACCATCCATCCCAATCCACACAGAGGCAAGTTTTTGTCCGGAGCTGTCGATGAGTATGGAGAGTTCAATGCCGCACGGGGATGCGGCAATGCTGTCCCTCGTGGGAATGACTCCACGATTGCCTTCGCTCACGTTTGGACGTATGGAAAATCACACTGGCACCTCAGAACTGATGCATATCACTGGGCACAGCGGACACCCGGCTGCAAATTTGCACCTGTCGAATTGGCCAGAGATACCACCGGACATGGGACCGGATCCCCCAGCAGAGATGTTCGGCATCCCACCAACAATGACACCATCCAGCATGAGGCATCCATATTTCGGTGCAGAGAGGCTCGACGCGGCTCGAGATCTGCAAGGCGGGATGCACCCAGCCATGCTCAGCCCCGTACAATATAATGACTATGGGGACGGCACACGTCGTGATTTGCCCTTCCGCGCACTAGACCCACAGCATCCGACGATGATGCCGACCCAAGATGTGAACATGGGAATGATGGGCGGTCATTTCTATTGATTCTGCGACTTGGGCGACTTGTGGGTTTCATCCCCCCTTTATCGAGGGGCGCACATTCAGCAAAAGAGCCACACACAATCGTGTGCCAGCACTTCCTGAGCTCTATAGTCACCCATACTGGACCCACGTCTCAGAAACGTTGATCTGGCCCAGTGCTGCCCACCGCGGCCTCTCAATGCGCCATAACCGCTCTCCCCAGGGAAGTAATGGTCGATGTTACCGACAAACCGTCGCACGAGTCTCCTTGGTTTTGAATACTTCTTCGTCTACGTCTGCATTTCTTGTTGGGGCGCGTCTTCGACATCGTGTCTCCGTGTTCGAGGGGATCGCACAGCGTCCATCCCGGTTTGATCCAGTCAAAAGGAAAAGTTTTGGTGCGTTAATGAATTCAGCTGCAAACGGGCAGCATTTCTCGCATGCTGGCGGACGGCGCTCCCCACTGCATCGTTGTCGCCGCAAGGCAAGGGACGATCACTAGTCCAATTTTCGGCATCTGAATGGTTTTGTTGTTCGCAAGCGATTTTGCCATTTTTGCCTTCTACCCTCGTGTGGGTTCAGCGAAGTTACTGCCTGTGGTGGATTCTCATGATGGTTGTGAGCACGTGCTGAGGCATTTCCGGGACGGTGTAGATTCTATCAGATACTGGACATGAAGCATGTCCGATGCAATGGATTGAAGGCAAGCAGACGCCTAGAACTCGAGGAAGACTCGTGAACAGAGTACGAGTAGTGTTGTTGATATTGAGTTCGCTGGCCTAGAATGCTATCCGCGTGCAGTATGGGGCTCCCGCCTAGCAAGCCCAGCTAATGGTGCCGGGCTTCTGTTCCAGGCGCCCCCATCCGGTGCCGAGCTGCCTGCGCGGGCGCGGCTTGCTTTGTGAATTCCTTCACCTCAACGCGACAAATCCGCCAGTCGCCCGCCATCTCTCCCTCCCTCGTCACTTGACATTGAATTGTTCTCGACTCACTCGCCCCTCGCCTCCCCATCCCATCCCATCTCCGGCCGATACGCATCCTTGCTCGAGCATGCCAACTCCCCGATGTTGATCGACACAATTTGCGCAAATGTCGACGCCGCAGGCCACCCGCGGCCAACGCGGTGGCAGCTCGACCAGAGGAGCACGAGGGACGTCGAGCTCGACTGCTCGAGGTCGCGGTAATGCTCGAGAAACCACCAACCCCCGCGGAAGAGGCAGGGGCGCCGCCACGGCTCGCGCAAATGGGAATGCGAGGGACGCAAGCCCCGCTGGTGAAGGTCTTTTGCAACGCATCCGGAATGATCTCAAGAGAGGAGCGGACACTGAGACAACTGGGCGAGGAAGAGGTGAGTGCGCCTCTGAGGTGGTGAACGAAGGGCGAAGGCAGGGACTGATTCGAGCCAGGGCGCGGAGCCGGCAGGGCAACACCTTCGACACCCAGCCAGCGAGGACGTGGTCGTGGGTTTGCGAACAATTCGAAGACGTTCAATGCCCCAAACTCGCAGCCGTCGACGTCTGGGTCCCGAAGAGGGTCTCCGGCACCCGCGAGGGACCGAAACCTCATGAACACCAAATATGCCGAATTTCAGACGGTGCGTCTCTCCCCCGTCCGTGTCTGGCTGATCACGACTACGCATATAGGTGTCTGACGTGCGAATAACCCCTTATAGCTCAAGCAAAGCCGCGAAGAGGAACGTGCAAAAGCAATCCGTGATGGATTTTTGGCAGATCCGGAGAAGAAGACAAGCCTGGATAAAGCCATCACCCCGGTCGGCACCTGCACGGATATGTGTCCGCGATTTGAAAGAGTGGAGCGCATTGTCCAGAACATGGTCGACAGGGCGGAGAAGGTGAGTATACCAGTATGTTGATCGCAGGCCATTTGCTAAAGGCATGTGTAGGAGCGCGATGATGAAGACGGGAAGGACTGGCCTGCGGAAGATCGCATGGTCAAACGATTTCGTCGCTCTGCTGCGGGCTACGACGAGCAATTGCCCTCGGATATCCGGACGCCGGAGACTCTCAAGCGGACACTGGATTACCTCTTTGACAAGGTGATTGGTGGTGCCGAACGACTGGCCACGGTACAAAAGTTTGTTTGGGATCGAACTCGAGGAATCCGGAACGACTTCTCCATCCAACAAGTCACCAATGCTGCGGATGTCAAGCTTGCCGTTGAGTGCTACGAGCGAATCGCCCGTTTCCATGTTCTCTCCCTGCACCAGCTGTCGAATCCCGACAACCTCCTAGAAGGAGAGCACTTCGACGCCTTTCAAGAGAGAGAGCAGCTCAACAATACACTGCTGTCTCTGATGTACTACTACGACGACCATCGAGACCGCGTCAACTTTCCCAACGAAGCAGAGTTTAGGGCATATCTCGTCATCTTTGAGATCGTATCTCAGACGCCGAACTTGGAAGACCGTATGCAGTCGTGGCCGGCCAGCATTCTCAACGACCAAAGAGTGAAGACGGCATTGAAGCTCTATGCCGCTGCAGGAAACACCACGCTGCCTCTTGGGCCTCTACAACCCTTGGCGACTGCTGCCATCGCGCAGGGCAATGGAGGGAGCTTTTGGAATGTCCTTGCCTCGAGATCTGTGCCGTATATCATGGCGTGTCTCGCTGAGATGTACTTCGCCGAGGTCCGATTTGCGGCTTTGGACGCTCTGTGGCGATCACTCAAGCAGTCACCTCTGGGTCAACAAGCACGATCCAGGGAGTGGAGCCTCAACGACGTGACGGACTTCCTGGGGTTTGACTCGGAAGACCAAACCAGGGAATTCTGCGAGGCTTTTGACTTGTCCTTCGCCACTGACGAGAATGGAGGGGGATACCTGGACCTCCGGGCCAACTCTGCTATGTCTTTGGACAGTGCGTATACCCGTGTCCACGCCACTTTTCGAGAGCAAGTTCTGATATCTGCCTAGAGTCATCGACACCCGGACAGCAGGTCTTTTCCCACAAGTACGTCGAAAAGAAGAGATACCGCCGGACCTTTACCGCCGTGGTCAACGGTGTGACCGTGGCTGACGCGATCCGGTCGGGCGCGATCGAATCCGATGAAGGAGAAGATGGACGAGCCGAATACGACCCTGAAGACGACGCCGAGAGCATGTTCGTCGCCGACGACCAGCCCGCCCCGTCTCCCGCGAATTCTTCAAAGCCCGGCTTTTCGCTTGATCCGACCGCCTCGGTCTTCACACCAGCATCTGGGAACACTACAGCCTCGTCGACCTTTGGAAAGCCAGCAACGGCGTCACCCTTTGGCACGTCGACGGTATCTGCAGGCTTTGGGAGTACAAGCAATACTACGTCAGACCGAGCTACAACGGCATCGACGTTTGGAAAGCCTTCCAATTCCGGCGGCTTTGGGTTTTCCACGACAGCTACGCCATCCGGGTTCCTGTCAAGCTTTAACAAGCCAGCTGATTCTGGCGCTTTCGGCTCTAGTGCCACGAGCTCTCCGTTTGGACTGACGACAACGTTTGGAAATTCGACAATCCTACAGCCACAGTCAGCAACCTCGACGTCTGATGTTTTTGGCTTACCTACAGCCTCCATATCTACGGAATCAACCGCAGCGGGCTTTGCGTCGTCCACAATTCCCTCCGGTTGGAACTTTGGGCAGTCCGCTTCTGCATCCCAGCCTCAGCAACCTGCCGCACCCGCTTTCGGGACAAACTTGGGATCGACGACAACGGCGCCTCCCTCTTTATCATCGGGGAGTAATTTTCAACCTCTCTTCGGCCAGCAACCCGCGACACAGGGGTCAATACTCCCCGCGCCAGCAACACACGAAGGTATGTTCTGTTCCAATCTTGCTCTCAATGTGCTTGCAGCGTCTTGCCCTTGGGAGCGGCCACTGATACCTCTCTTCCATAATAGATACGAAATCGACAAACCCATTTCCCTTCGCCGGCTTTCACTTACCTGCGACGTCCAATCCTCCACATCAGTCATCAGAAAATAAACCTGAGACGTCCGTATTTACACCACCGGCCTGGCTCACATCTCAATCACCACCAGCTCAGCCAGCTTTGGGTGCAGGCCCCTCATTACCATCCATCACTGAACCATCACAAGAATCCACTCCCACGTCCACTGGATTTGGCAAGACTTCTCTCAAACCATTCTTCGATTCGAAAAAAGATCTCCAGCCTTCCCTTGATACCACTTCCCCACAACAGCACTTTGCAAAGCCGCCATTAGCACCAACCCCGGCCTCACCTCAACCTCCGCGCAGCACAACTCCTCCACATTCTCCCCGCCAAACCCCAGCCCAGCCTGTCTTTACCCCAGCTGACCGTCACCGACTCGCTGCGAATGTGGCCCGTGTTGGATTCACTCAGCCAAACGGCCTCCTTCACAGTTTCCTGGAGTTCGCCCTGCGGGAAGTGTTGACGACCGCCTTTAGACAGCACCAACAGGAGCTACGTGATGCAGCCATTGGTAAGTCAAAATCGGCCTCGCCAAGACTCAACGCTAACCGCGCAATCTAGCATCTATCCGTGGACGTATCCTTGCACGAAAATTCGGCCACCTCTGGCGACAACGAGCGTGGAACAATAGCCTCAATCGACGCGCGAAGAACAGACGCCAACTCTTTGCAGAGACAATCAGAGCTGAACAAGCAAGAAAGCAAAGAAGTGATGAAGAGCTGGAGGAGATCCTGAAGGCAGCTCAAGAGTCCAGACGGCTTCAAAAGGAAGTTGAAGAGGCCGTCAAAATGCAGAAGGAACCTTCTACGATGCCGAACGGTGGTGAAGTGGTCAAGGTTGCTGGACAAAAGCGCAAGAGCTTCTCTGGTCAAGACCTGAGAGCCAGCACCGTAGCATCGGCCAACGGAGCAACCTCCGTCTCCGGTCACAAGAGGTCGAAGACGATGAGCACCTCGGCGCATTCGAGTCCAACAGCGGGTGGTGGCGCGCCGTCTGGTGCTAGCCTTCGTTCGTCCACCTCCAGGCCACCTCAACATGTCTCGATCTTCTCTCGTGCCTCAACCCTGGGACGATCGACCAGCAACTCAGACTTGCGCAAATCAGCGTCGTCTTACAAGCTGGATGCCACACGCACCGACTATTTCAGGCTCAAGGCTATGGGTCTTGATCCGGATACGCCAATCGTACCGGATACGAAAGAGACACTGGCATTCCGTCGACGAAGAGAGGCCGAAGAAAGACAAGCAAGCATTAACAGAGCCAATCGTCGCCTCCGAACCTCAACCTCGGATCAGAGTCCGCCGACGGCGATGCCACCGCCACCACTGCCACGTGCTCAAACAACCGAGACTCAACAGACACCGCGGACGAGACCTCCTCCTGCTCCTACCTCTGTCGAAGACGACTTTCTTAAGCAGATCCGAGAGGCACGAGAGGCAATGGCTGAGCAGACCGAATGGTTTAAGCAGCAAGCTGTCACTTTGGAGAAAGAGATCGCCCAGGACGATGAGTTCCGAAAAAGCCAGAGCAGTCTTGATGCTGGCAGTCCTGTGTCGTCAAGTGGTCTGGCCAAAGTCAATGGATTCGAATACCTTCCGGCGGATACAAAGCCTGGCTTTACATTGTCAAGGACTGAATTACGCATCCGCCAGACTGGTGCTCATGGGCTAGCCACTAAACCTCTACGCTCGACGGCGGACTACGTCGCCGTGGCCATGTCCAAGAAAAGTGCGCTCAATTACAGTGGCGGATCACATTCCAGTCCTGGAAGGAAACGGCCGCACAACGATGTGGAATCCTCGGATGAGATTTCGAGTGCCCACAAGGCTGCCCTCCACGCTTTGAAGCGTCCTCGGGCTGCATCTCATCATATCCAGGTGGCCACACCTCAAAAGCCAAAGCCGACGGCTCGAAAAAGTGGCGGAAATCCATATCAGTTGTTGCAGACCGTCGATTCCGACGAGGAAGAAGTAGAAGACCTGTCTGGGAACGACGGTGATACGGCAGAGTCATACGACGAGGAAGAAGAACTCCATGGACAACCTGGATCCCACCCTCGCCGCTTCGAGCCCAATGGCAACCACGCGGACGACGAGGACGAGGAGGAACTAGACGAAGATGAACTCGACGAAGAGGACGAAAATGAGGAATCCTACCTCGTCGAAGAAGGCTACGAGGATGAGGATGAGGATGGGGATGAGGATGAGGATGAAGAAGAATTGGATGAGGAAGACGAGGGCTACCGGTATCCGGCACGATATTTACAGGGTGATCAGCATGAGTACGAAGATGCAGCCACACCGGCTTCGAACCCCCAGATCAGTCGAGCGGCCAGTAGTGCGCCGGGCGCGAGTGTGGACGACGCCTTCGTCATTGATGATAGTGATTGATTTGGGCAATTCTAAACATATGGCCAAATGTCTCTTTCCTGGGCGGAAGTCGTGGGGCTTGGAACCACAAGGAACGAGAGTTTACTGTCAGGAGGACACAGTGGATTCTCCTTTATTGTTTTATCCAGGCCCAAACACAAAAGAAGATCCCGTACGATAATGGTGTGCTCGCACAGCAATTTATATTGTTGTTGTTGTTGTCGTTGTTGTTGTCGTTGTTGCCGCGCGAGTCCCCGTGTGTCGTAATTGCCTCAATATTGATTTACATATGTACCGTGTACTCCGTACACCTTTAGGCCATCAATCTCAATCAAGGGTCCATTGCTGGTAGTCTGTACGGGAGTATGTGCCTGCGTATGATATAGATGGACCTTGGTAATTATCCAATCAAACACATACGGAATATGTCTCTACATCTCTACTCTTCCATTTCTTTAGAGATGACGACGGCCTTGAAGATTGTCTATATAGGTACGGAGTAGATATCTCGTAGATCAATAGATAGATAGGCAGGCCTGTTGGTGCGTATGATAGATAGAGCTTGGTAACCATTCAAAATACGTCAAATATATACACGAACAGGTCTCTCCTCTTCCCTTTCTGTAGAGATGACGATGGTCTTGAAGATTGTCTGTATAGGTAGATACCTCATAGATAGATCAATAGGGTCCTCTGGTGCAGAGTATTGTAGGAGTCTATCTACAGTATCCTAGGAAAACCTGGCGAGCTCATTCCAGTCCCCTCCAACGCTTGCAGCATGGCAGCACGTTGAATCAGCGAACACATCCTTTCCTTTCCTTCCCTCCCATCGTCACTCTCTTCCACCTACGGAGTACAGTACTTTCTTTTTCTTTTCGTGGTCGGCTACAGTACCTTTCACTTTCCGTCCCTTCTTTCGTTCCTAGGGCGACTGACTTCGGCAGCCAAGTCTCCTTTCAGGCCTCCCCTGCGCACTGCCCGTTCAGAGGAACCCCCCTTGCAAAAGCACAACACTACACTTTTTCAATGCACGCTGCACAGGACATGCATGGGTTCTTCGCGTTCGAAATTCGACATGGCCGCAACCGCACCACCCCCTACCGAACCTTCATGGACCGTCTGTCTACAACTTGGATTTTGGTCGGAACTTTGCGGCGCCTAACTCTTGCTTCTCGATGCCCATTTCGCGGAAGATTTGCTCCGTCTTGGCATGTTGGCGCGCGATGCGGGCCTTGATCTCGTCTTTGCGCTGCTTGTTCTCGCGGCGGCCGAGTTGGTGGAGATGCGCTGTGGGCAACATGTCAGTAAGTCTGGGACGATGACAATTTGACAGATAAGGTAATAGCACATGTCATATGTAACAAACATATCACGCGGGGCAAGCAGGACGAGACAGCAGGGAAACGGGACATCGTGCTACGTATAGAGCACTCACCCTCATCAGGTCCATCAGCAATCCTCAACGTCCTCAGATGAGCCCACATGCTCGCGAGCGGCGTGTCCTGGCACACGCCCATGGCGCCGTGGGCCTGGATGGCGCGATCGATGACCTCGAGCGCCACCTGGGGGACCTTGACTTTGGCCTCTGCGATCTCGCGGAGCGCAAACTTGGCGTCCTTTTGGTCGATCTTGATGGCCGCGTTGAGCACGATGAGGCGCGAGGCGTCGATCTCGATCCGCGCCTTGGCCACCCACTCGAGCAGCACGCCGTGCTCGGACAAGGGCTTGCCAAAGGGGACCTTGCGCTCGTCGTTCAGCCGGTTGATCATCCACTCGAGGGCGCGTTCGGAGGCGCCGATGGCGCGCATGGCGTGGTGGATCCGGCCGGGCCCCAGACGGCCTTGCATGATTTCGAAGCCGCGGCCCTCGCCGAGGATCATGGCGTCGAGCGGCACGCGCACGTCCTTGAACGTGATGTGCCCGTGGCCGTGCGGCGCGTCGTCGTACCCGAACACGCTGAGCATGCGGTGGACCTGGATGCCCGGCGTGTCCGCGGGCACCAGCATCATCGACTGCTGCTTGTACTTGTCCGGGTTGTGCGGGTCGGTCTTGCCCATGACGATGAAGATCTTGCAGCGGTCGTCGCCCGCGCCGGATGACCACCACTTGGACCCGTTGAGCACGTAGTGGTCGCCGCGTCGCTCCATGCGGAGCTGGATGTTCGACCCGTCCGACGACGCGATGTCCGGTTCCGTCATCAGGAAGCCTGACCGGATCTGGCCCGCCAGGAGGGGCTTGAGCCAGCGCTCCTTTTGCGCCGCTGAGCCGTACCGCGCGATCACTTCCATGTTGCCCGTGTCGGGTGCCGCGCAGTTGCACGCCTAATGCAGAAGAGAGAGACTGTTAGTGGCGAGTTCGACACCAAGAAGCGCTCGTCCTCTTTATCCCCCTGCTCCGTCTACATACCTCACTGGCGGTGATGCTCTTGCCCAACTGTTCGGCCATCAGGCCATACTCGACATTTGTGAACTGCGGGCCGTCCTTGAAGTGGTTCTTGGGCAGGAACATGTTCCAGATGCCCAGTGCGTGCGCCTTTTTCTTGAGCTCGTCCAGGACCGACGGGTGGCCGTGCCAGCGTGCGTCGCCCGAGCCGATCTGTGAGGAGTAGACCACATCGGCGGGGATGCATTCTTCGTCCACGAACGTGTAGACCTAGGAAAAGTAAGTGAGTGAGTGGGTGAAGTGAGTGGGTGAGTGGTCAGTGAGGGCGCAGTGAGTAAGTGGTGAGTGAGTCGTGAATGGGTCTTGACGGATGCGTGAACGGAGGAGATGTCGGGTTCGTCGGCGGGCTCTAGGAACGACTGTGCAAGAATCCGTACCTTGTCCAGGAGGTCTCTTGCCCGCTGCGACACAAACGGCTGGGCAATGGGCGGGATGTTCTGAGTTGCGGGGGTCGCCATGATGGATGGAGGTGGACGTGACGGTGACTCGTATGTAATCTCCTAGAGGTTCTATCAAGAGGCAAGGTTGAGGATTTATACACCTACGGGACAGGCAGCCCAGATATCTTCGACGAATGCCCTCTTTCAATCAAACAAACTTAACAATGTCCTCGGCTGCAAAAGAAGGGAAACAACGAGGCGAGGAAGATGTGGAGAAATATAGCTTCGGCTGGATGCTTGATCTGGGGAATTGGAGTCGGGGTTGGCGAGGGTTTTGCCTCGGCCTGGCACCCAACCCGAGCCGTAACTATACTGTTATCCAGGGGTGAGGCCCCGATCAGGGTTAGTGGGAAGACGCCCATCGTTGGGATAGCGAGGTAAGAGGGCGGTCGTGGCCGGTCTTGGACGGTCCAAATTATGAGCAGTCAGCCATCGGTAGGGGTAATGCCTGGATGGAACGCAACCGCCCTGACAGTACCAAAATACACAGCGACCGCGAGAGACACCGCAAATGAGCTTAGATTGAGAGGGTTGAAATTCTCCATTGTCGAAGACATGCCACTTCTGGCCAAAAGTATCAATCTAGCTACTCTTGCTGGCACCAGCACGTCCAGCTCTCTCCAAGCCAACAAAGTGAAGTCCTCGTCCGGGAGAATTGATGTAATTCAAGAGAGCACACGCCTGTTTCAAACACCTTGATGAGCTTCTCCAGATCTTTCGATGGTGAACCGTTTCCCCGCCTAACAGCTTGTCGCCTCCGTACCTGATAATGCTTCCTCTGTCGAATCATGCTAACTTCAAAACCATACTCGCAGCCGCAAGCCCCAATGCCATTTGTCCAGGGTATTTTTTGAGTTTGAATGTTGTTGGTACAGTCCGTGACACCTCGTTAATAAAACAGGCCCATGTTTGCAAAGTCATCAGTGTCAAGGTTCCAATCGAGACAAAAGCGAGGGTGGTGTGGAGTATTTTTCCGGTCGTCCCCTGACCATCCAACAAAAACACAAGATTCTCCTCCCCTGAGGTTGTAGCTCGCCTGGTTCACGCAGAAAGTTCGAATATAGCTGACAAGGTGATGCTCAAAGAATTACAAATGGAAGTTGTGCCAACCTCCAACCCACTCAAGATCGTCTTCATCCGCGGATGAGTCGATCACGCGTTGCTGTCGCCAATCTTGATCCAAGTACGCGGGACGAACCTTGTTTCGGCTGTCCCGTCGATGGCTTGGATTGTGATGATGCTCATGTCCGAATCCTTGTGTCGGTCTCTTGCGCGATCCTGTTGTCATAGATCGTTTCTTGGTCTGGACCTCGGGCTCGGTTTGGTAGTTCCGTCTCTTGTTGCCCAAAGCAGCCCATTTGTCGGCGGGAACCTGCTTTGGTGAATGTCGAGGGGTCCGCATCCGCCATCCGAAGGGGTCGTTCTCGTTGACTCCGAAGCTGGCCTTCACCGGCGACGTTGGCTTTGGCGTGCGGCTACGACGAGCGTTGCTGGAGGAACGGCTCTTGGATTCGCAGAGGACGCCAGGGGGTACCGGGAGAGCCTTGCGACTATCTTGACTCCAGCTTCGGGAGTTGTTCTCACGTCGAAACTTCATCTCAGCCTCACGTTCTGACTCTTCCTCATCTTCCTCAAACATGTCGCTCCAGCTCTTGGCCACTGCGTCATCACCCTTCTTTCCGAAGACGGACGACATGGCAGGAATAGGCCGAGACGGGCGGGTAGGCAGGGAGTTGGGGATGGGCAGTGGGTCTGGTTGGGGTGGACTCCGACCAGCAGGCCGCTTGATCGCCATCGACTTGAACGAACCATAAGCCGAGTCGAAAACTGACGCCAACGATGGTGTGTTGCCGGAACCAGAGTACCAAGACTCGCCAAGCTTGATGCTCTTGTCAGAGTCAAAGAGTTCCTCCTCGTACATGTCCGGGATGCTCGCCAACTGCTGCTTGTGAGCAGGACTCGCGTGCAGAGCCTTGGCCCACGGGAACGACTCGCCATCGAGCTGAGGACTCTGGATCGACGGGGTCCGTAAAGGCTCACGGTTGGCACTGGCCCGCACGACATCCCGCTCTTCAGAGCAGAAGAAGTCATCGAAAGACTCGTCCTCTGTAGTAAAAGCAACCGCTCGAAGCACGGCTT